TCAGCTGCATTGTGAGACTTCTCTCCACTCACATGCTTCCCTTTTCTCTGACCAGGCAGTAGTGTCACTCAGGGATTTTAACCCTGATGGAAGGATAGGAAGATCTGATCAGTTTGCTGTCAAAGACAAAGCGTATGTCGTATTTTTGATTTTTTTTGCGTGTGTAAAGTGCATCCTGTTCGTAATTTCCAGACAAAGCTTACGTTTCGATTAGCCTGGGATCGTCAAGCTCCTGCATCGCATTAGCTGATCAATAGTTTACAAGCTCTTAGTCATTTGCCATTTCGGAGACTTCACAATATTACCACTTGGATTTAATTGCTAATCCGTCACCATCCATACATTGCAATGAGACATAACTGCATTTCAATTGTTCCTCTTTCTCCAATCATTCTTTTCCCCTCCACCCCACCTCCTGATGCTATATTGCAAGTGGATTAGACAGGCTGGGCGACTCTTCAGCCTTGAGAGATATTATTTTCTAACAGAAAACCATCTAATCTGCTCTTTAAAGAATCAACACTTTCTGTTTCCGCTGTCTCCCTGGGGATCCTGTTCCATACGTTTACTACTCGCTCACTTTCCATTTCCATTTGCTTTAAATCTCCTGTTTCGTGAAACGAGACAGAGCTGAGTACCCACCGATAAGGAGACATTGCTTCACTTTTATGTAGGAATAGACTGGAAGGGGTTTGAAGCTGAGCAGTCAGCTCCCTGAACCCCACAGGTTCGCTGATCCCTAAACTTGTAGCACTGGTCAGTGTTCACTCTACAGGCTTGAGCACAGAGACCGGCTGATGCTCTTTAACCTCATTGATCTGAACCACTGCTGCTGCCTGTGATTATAGCTGGGTCGTCTTTGCATTATGTTACTGACATTTGGATCAATGTTTAAAATCCCTGCCCTTTCACCTTCAAATCACGCCTACAACAGCCCTGCAGAATTCACATTTCCGACCTTGCTAATGCAGGGCATCAGCATTAGTAACTAATATCCTTCAGAGAGTTGGCAGGGACTGTGGGAACGAGTACTTGCCGGGTAGGAACAGCCCCAGTTGAATGTTAGTGCAGTTCCTGCCTGCGCTAACTCTTTGTCGCCTTCTCTTTGTTGTTGCAAATTATCATTTAATAAGCAAACAAATGATGAGGGGCCACTGTGAAGCTAAACGTTGTCCCTAGGCTCTAATTTCAACAGCAGTAGAGGACTCAGCAGAAAGTCACTTCTATTCTAGCTGTTTGTGCATTCGCCCCCCTCACCCTTTGCCTCTCCTTTTCCTCTCCGCCATCTCCATTTACTCTAAAGATTAGTCCAAACAAATAATTTGATGGCAAGTTGGAACAAGCAACAAAGTAGGTGCAGCTGCATACCAACTAAGTTTGCAATGCTACGTTTTGTTTCTTTGACTGTTTTAGGTCTTTTGATTTATCCAGACTATGACAATACTTCTAATGTTTTGTGTGTGTTATTATGATATGGAGACATAGGGCAACACGGTAAACATCGTGTTTACGTACCGGCCTGGCTCAGTTAGCAGGGCTCTTACCTCGGAGTCAAAAGGTTGTGGGTTCAAACTCCACGTTGGGGACTTTGAGCTCATAGTCTAGGTCGATGCTCCAGTGTAGTGCTGGCGGTGTACTGCATTGTTGGAAGTCCTTCAGTTAAGACATTAAACCAATGTCTGATCTGTGCCTGTTCAGATAGACGTTAAAGATCCTATTGGCAATGTTCGAAAAGAGAAGGGAGTTTCTCCCTGTGTCCTGGTCAGCAATTTCTCCCCCTCCCCACCTCCCCTGATAAAATTGGGCACTTACCTCATGATTGTTTATGAGACATCGCTGTGCACAGTTTTGCTGCTGTCGAAGCCTAGACTGCGAGTTTGAGCCCAGAACCCTCTGACTCAGCACACACACACACGTTAGAAAGAAAAAGTAATTTGGAAGAAAAAGATTGAACACACAACCAGCTCCAATAATTGGACGTGGAGTTGCTCCAAAGAGATCCCTCTGACTCTCCTCACCAGAGTATACATGTCCAATATTTGATTTGGCATTTGAGTTCCATAAACGGTCATTCAAACACAATGACTGTAAGATATTTTGCGTAAACATTTACAAGTTTGCATGTGGCAGAGAGAGAGAGAGCTTTTGCAATGCTTTTTACCTGCTCTCCTCCACCCTCCCATCTTCTCTCTTGTGATGTGATGTTTTTCTGTGCAAAATGCACGAAACAAATGTTGGATGGAGTCCTTAGCTCACTGTGTGGAACGTGACTGTGAGCGTCTTCTATTCAAGGTGCTGTGGCTTCTAGAAATGGTGCAATATGTAAGATTTCCACCTGACTCAGGTGGTAGCATTCGCTCCTTATAGTCTTCTAGAAGGTTGTGCATTCAAACCCAACTTCAAGCTCTTAATCCAGGCTGACACCCCAGTGCAGTGCTGAAGGGGCGCTGCATTGTCAAAGATGCTGTCCTTTGGATGAGATGTTAAACTGAGGTCCTGTCTGCCTGTTCAGATGGAAATTAAGAATCCCGTGGCACTAGTTGAAAAGGGAAAGGTGTTTCTCCCAATGTCCTGGCCGACAATCCCCCTTAGAGAATGTAAACAAACAAGGCAGCCGATTTGCTCACAGCAATAATAATAATAATAATCCTTGCATTTGATATAGTGCTTTCCACATCTCCTCGACGTCTCAAAGCGCTTCCCAGAATATACTGTAAAGTGAATTGACTGTATATTTGTGGGCGAATGTCCTGGAAGTCATGAAGTCAACGTCCACCTGATGTGAAAGTCACCATATAAATGTCAATTGCATTAGATATTGCTTTCTGGCAAAAGAGTTTAATTTTGACAATTCAAACTATAGCAATAAAAGTATTGTTCATCATAAAAAAAGGTCGGCCAAAATATTTCTCCAATTCCTGGAACTGAAGGGAATTGCATCTAAAAATAATTTGAAGGGGTAGCACTGAAACCGAGACTCTGATTATCAGTCGTTGTCTCCAAATGTTCCTTCTTTTTTTTCCTCACTTCCTCAGCTCTCCCTTTTCCCTCTAAAGCAACCCATCTCCCCACCATGTAAAGCTAGACAGCCCACTTATTGGGATATAATGCACTTAAATGCAAAGCTGATCTAATAAAATTTCTGATGCAAGTAGTGAGCTAAGTAGTTTCTGGCAAAAGGCCAGTTCCATTATTTAATGTTTCCTCTGCCGCATTTTGGCAAATGGCCGGCCGTTTGTATCCATTGCAGTGTTTATGTTCCACTACGGAAATCTTGCAGATACACCTCAGACTTAACGTCTTGTACAACTGCGTTTGAGAATGCGTTTGAGAATTTGTCACCTACCTATACTCCATCAGAAAAGCAACAACAACTTGCAGTTGTATAGTACGCTCCCTGCTCCAGCATTGTATTGGAACACCAGCCTAGACTGTGAGTTCAAAGACCTGATTTGGGGGCTTGAACTCACAATCTTCTATCTCGGAGGTGTGAGTGTTACCGACTGAGCCAGGCTGACGCCTGTTTTCATTTTAGGCAACACGCCAATATCTCCTCTTCCACTCCCAACACCTCATCTTGGCAACTCTTGTGGTACCAACTCATCCCGACTGCTGCGTTTCGCCCACAAAATACCAGAAACATTTTGAGATGTCTCAATGATGTGATACGGCGCTATTTCAAATTCAAGGAAATTATCTTTATTATTAACTCCATACACCAATGGTCGAGTGTTCTCTTTCAGAAGATATAGGACTATTCTTTGTGATGTGGGTTAGGAAGTAGCTGCCGAAGAGCTGAAGGCTGTAACTCAGTCCCACAGCTCATGTTTTCCTGGGGGCATCTGGGCCATTCGATTGAATTGCCACCTTGTATTTGATTCATTATATGCAAATCTGCAATGATGATTACGATTACTGCACTGTTTGTCATCCGGTCCTCACCCTCCCTGATCATTGTAAGGTAGATAAGCCTCCGAACAATGCCTGTTCAAAACGGATGGGAATTGGCAAGGTATCCAAGTGCTGTGCGCATGATATGACTGCACTTGTCAGAACAGCACATCGTTGGGTGGGGTGGGGGTGGGTAGCGGCAAGGAAAATGAACAAAGGTTCCGTTATGCTGGGTTGTGACTCACTCTGGGTATATATTCCAGGTTGGTCGTGTTTGCTTTGATGATGGACACTAGCAAACTGCTGTTTAACAGTAATCAGAGACGAGTGAGCGCATGTTAATTGTTGGCACGGTTACACCCCACTGTATCTCTTCTTGCCTGAGCTTGACGGTTGAGGAAGTGAGAGTTTTAATACATATTCTATATTTACTTGACTGGAAAAGAGAGATATCTAGTGAAGAGAGCAGATAATGCCGATGCACTGACAAGTGCTCTGTGATGAGTTTTTAAACAAAAGGAAATTGGCACAGCTACCAAGGTCGCCCTGAGCAGTTTCTATTCAATGCAACTGGCTGCCGCGTTTCACCCACAAAATACAGTCACTCCACTTTAAAGTATATTCTGTGAAACTCCTTGAGACACCTCTTTTCAAAGACCCGGCACAGACCTGATAATAATGATAATAATAATAATCCTTGCATTTGATACAGCGCCTTATCACATCTTCTAGACGTCTCAAAGCGCTTCACAGAATAGACTGTAAAGTGAATTGACTTTATACTTGTGGGCGAAATGTGGCAGCCAATTACACACAGCAGCGTCCCACATACAGTCGTGGATTGAAATGACCAATTTTTAATTCTTTTTTGAGGGATTATTATCAGGCGTGTGGAGTAAGGAAACTTACCCAAGGTTTTGCCCTGGGTAACCCAGGTCTCTCACTTGCAAAGCGAGTGCTCTAACCACTGAGCTACATGACTCCACGATGGGCCGAACGGCCTCCTTCTGTGTTGTATGATTCTATGAACTACATGATAAGGTGCTTTATTAAATGCAATGATTATTATTATGTTATTGTGCCTTATTGAACCGTATTGTGTCTTGCAGAAAGGACTGGCAAGATCCTGCAAGAGTTTTTTCAGTTCTACGAGGATCAGTATCCACTGGCACTCTTCAATAAGATCCGCTACGAGGTGGAAGAAAATGGTGGCCCACAGCCCCAGCTTCTGGAGAGAAAGGCAAGTGTATTGAATCAGAGGCTCCTGCCCTGTGGCTCTCCGTCACCCGCTCAGGGAGACAAGACCTCACGTTTGTAATGTACTAATTCAATGTGTCCTAATCTGTTTCTCCACGCTGGCCTCCATCTCTGGCTTCCGCTCAGCAGGGGAGATGGTCTCAATGTCTTGTGGAGTTGGGAGCACAGGCTTAATGTAACAGAATATAAATGCAAGTTGTTGTTGCCATTGTTGCTGGCTGTTACTAATGATGCCAAGTCCTCATTGTCAAAACTCAGAGTTCAGGTTACTCAGGGGGCTGAGGAGCAAACAAGCCGATGGAATACACAGAGCCAGATCCTGGCAGCAAACAAATATCCTTATCATTGTATAAACCATTGTTGGTGGCTTGCTCTGTCGCTCTTTGGCTTCTTTGGGTCTGGAAGCAAATGGAAAGTAAATGAATACTTGAATTCTTTACTGAAATCAGGCGTTAGCACAGCCTGAAGGCATTTGGGATCTGTTTACTTGTACCAGTATTTACGATGCTCATCAATGCTGATCTCCACTGAACATCCTCCAACATCTTGACCAATGTAAGGTGTGGGTTATGACACCGGTGCAGAGTATGTCAGCTTCACTCGTTGAGTTGGGCACCTCATGGACAGTGATGAACAATCAAACACACTACGAATGGCGAGTGGCCATGTCTGGCTTTGTCTACAGCAAAGCTCCACATTGCTTCATTGTCACCTTCTCATTATTTGGTTGTAGGCCAAGGAGTGATGGGTCGTGTGATCTGGGACTTTTCACGAATAACCAGGTTTGAGTGGCTCAGACCATTTTCCTTTCCTGGCATTAACATGTGCTGGTTTTCATGCAGTTGTGTTGAGACGGTTGCTGTGGTTCGAGCTGGCAGGTTGGGTTGCTGCCTCTCCCCACCGCACGTTGCTCCCTGGTTAAGTATCTCTGGAACTCATGGCTTGCAGAGAATGACATCTTTCCTTGCGTTGGTATCTCCTGTCTCAAATTCCATATTTCGCTTGCTTCAGATAACTAGTTGGCTTGACCTCCTGTCCCGAGCCGTCATGCTCAAGGGAGAAGAGATCATTTTGTCTCCCCGATGTTTTTTCAGTTGTCTCGGTGTTAAATCAAACATTTTACTTGTTCAAATTTCCTCTCTGCAGAAGATTAAAAAAAAAATTGTTTGGTCAGCCGGGTGTCAGACTCACATGGGAATCCATCACCATATTGAGGCGAGTCCAAACCAAATTACTGAGAGTTCCACATGTGGGTGAAAATTTCCATTTGTCTGGTACAGGGGGTGGGTGCACTCTTCCTTTCTTTCTCTCTTTCTGTTCCACACCTGCCCTGAGGGAATTGCCCTAATTTCAGAGAATTTAGATGCGGGTTGATGACAGCCAAGGCTTAGGGACCCTAGGGTGGGTGTACTTGAGGTAAGTCCTGGAGATAAAATGTTGCATTTTTGTAGATTTAGCAAAAGCTTTCAGTAACTAAGCTTTGGAAATCCATTGAGGGCAAATAGTTATTTTTGCAGAACCTCATGTAACCTTTAAGGTCAACCTTCCGCAGAGGTCAACCTTTAGAAAAGTTCAGCAAACTTCTGGAAACCTGATCTGGTAACTGGAGAAGACTCTTTCATAAGAATGAGCGCTTGTGTGTTTATTCAGGCATCAGCTTTGCACATCCCAGTGTTTGGGTCTCCAGTAAGTCAGTCCTGAGCTGACAGTGCCTTCAGACCATGAGGACCACCCACAGGTTTGTATCACCATAGACAGGATGAAGAGTACACTAGGCTGACAAGATTCCAATGACCTTCCCATGTTTTTCCTTCCACTCATCCTCATAGTAGGAACATAGGAGATCCGATCTACCATTGCGTACTTGATCTGCGTACCGCAGTGTCCCTTAGTTCCACCTTTCTGTCATATCCCTTAATAGTCTTACTGTCCAAATAGCAATTGTCCCTCTTCCCTCATCAAGGCACCCCTCAATACGTATCTCCTGTACGTGCTTTTGGTCAACTTCCCCCCGCAGACCCCCTACCCACCCCGACCCCAGCTCCAGTACCTATCTAGCATTGTCAATTGCTTTGCGACGTCCTCTTGACGTGAAAGGCACTGCGTAAGAGTAAATTGCTCTCTGTGAGACTATTGTCTCTTGTCCTGGTCCTAACCCATTTTTGCGCTAGTTTTAAGGTTGTACCCTCTTGTAACTGACGAACCCACTGAGAGAAGAATGCATTTATCTAATCCTCTCCGACTTTCGGGAAAAGGTTTGATCTCCAGGGTTTGCTGGGTGAGCATGGGGATTGCGCTGGTTGGAGATGGGCCTTGCCATTGAACCAGCCAGTGGGAGGAGAACCTCCTAAATTGGCTCTGCACTAATAACTATCTGGTGGATTGTGTTGGCCGGGACACTAGGGAGAAAAGTTACTATTGAAAACCAATATCTCCTTGCAAATACCTGGTGACAATCAAAGGTCAGATGGGCGGGGGAAATTCAGGCAGTTTTAAAACATCTACAAACCTGCAATGTATGGAATGCTTGGTCTCTCTCCAAATATTTTAACTTGGCAATCCATCCTGATCACCCTGCTCGGCCTCCAACCCTCTCTAGTGTTCATTTGCCCTTCAGTATACATTTACTGAATCGGTCACTTGCTCTGCGGCTGTTTGTGGGATGCCCCTATGTGTAAATTGGCTGCTGTGTTTCACCTACAAAATAGTCATTGCAATTTACAGTATATCCTGTGAAGCGCTTTGAGACGTCTTGACGATGTGATGAGATTCTATATCACATCCAAGGATAATTATTTGTTATTATTATTTTCCGCTCAGTACCTGCAGTAATGGATCAAGAAACTGTTCAGGAGACTACCTTGCAAATGCCTATTAAGTCGATGGCTGAGGAGTGTGGGGGAAGAGGTGAGGGCTAGGAAGGGGAAGTTATCAGGGTAGTGGGGGGTGAGAACCCTTTCCATCAAAGTCATTGGCTGAGTGATAAGCTTTTGATTCAGAGCTCGTATTGCTGTACTTTCTCCAAAAGGAATGGTACTGGAGATGTTGTGTTGGGATATGTCCTTGCTCCTTTGCGGCCAACTGCCTCTTGGTTTGGCAATGTGGAGCTGAAACAAAAAGCATTTAAGTGACTTAGTGGATTCCTGTAGTGTTGTGTACATCATTTGCCTCCCCCCTCCCCACCTCCACTCTGGTCTACTGCACGTCTCCCATCCCCTCTGAACCACCATCGGCAGGAGAATAAATCAGATACTTTGGCCCTAACCTCTGGAACTCCCTCCCTCTACCACTCCATCTCGCCTTCTCTCTCTCTCGCTCTCTCTCTTTCTCTCTCTGTCTTTCTTCAAATTCTGCCTTAAAGTCTACCTCTCCGATTGTACTGACGGTTACCTCCACCATCTCTCTTGCTCAGTGTCCAACCCCATCACTGTGAAACGCTCTTGAGACGTTCTCCTATGTGAAGAGGACTATATGATTGCTGCTCGTGTGGTGTTGGAGGGTTGTTGGTTTGAGCCTCTTACAGACACAGCAAGTCCGTGTGAAATCTGTTTTGTGTTGGATTCCAGACAGTGATGGTAATGAATGAGTTAAAGGATGATCAGCCTTGAGTTATCTGGTTTGGCATGCACCTTGTTTTTTTCCCTCCTTGAACACGTAAAAAAGAAGCATTCAAACCGTAGACAGACATTGCTCATTGTTTGTTACTGTGAAGAAACAAAAGGTCACATTGATGGAATAGATGCGAAGAATTCTGAGGTTTGTTTATGATGCTTTTATTGAGTTAGTCAATCTGGGTCATTCCCTAACCTTGGAACACACAAACTGTGGATCCCAGTCGTAGAATGGAAACCAATCCATTCCCAAGCTAAATGACTAAGTCAAATTGCTATAAATGTGAGCAAAACCTGCATAAAGAACAATTGCTTAACTCTTGCCTTTGTTGCTCACAGGTTCCACTCAAGGATAAACTTATCTTCTCTGGCAATCTGTACCAGTACATGGAAGATAGCAGGAAGTGGAAGAACAGGCATTTCGTTGTCCACGATGATTACAACATCCTGTTTTACGACAGCAAAATGGTGAGATGTGCATCAACTGATTGCATGAGCCGTGTTTCTACCTCGACGGGCAATTTCACTAAGTACTAGAAAGTACTGTTATTTTGTTTTTTTAAGAAGCAAATTGAGCAGATCCACAGCACCTGTCCTTTCTGCGACAGAGAGACAGATTGGTGATGAGGACGCTCGACAACAGTGAAAGGTTTTAACTCAGAATTGCCCAGGTTAATTATCACTCACTGAACATCATGGCCGTGGGTCCTAACTGAATTGGGATCCACAAACCGGATCCCGCTCTCTCCTCTCTCGACCTGGTTTCGGAATGTCGGATCATGACCATTTACTTGCCGACTTATTTTTCCCGGCATTCAAAGTTCTGTGTCCTCGCCCAGTCAAGAACAACAACTTAATACATGCTTTGTGCTGGCTCTCTTAAGAGTCGATCCTTTCAGTCCCAGGAATTTTTCCCCAGGAATTTGGTCAAGGGCAGGATGGGACTTGGCTGTGAACCCAGGGATATCGTGCTCATTTCTCTCCTTAGCTTGACGCTGGCAGTTTCCTCAGGAACTTATCAGTATTTATACCACTTATACCACTGTCTGGAAAATCAGCAACAGAGATTCTTTGTGGGGCGCTTTTAGTTGTGTGATTCCATTAAGAAAGGCACCATACAAGCTGCACATTAGTTCAGATTACTGTTTGCTTCCACATCAAAATGATTCTAACCCCACCCTTGGAAAACCAGTTTGTTTTGCATGTAATGAATGCTTATGTCATGAGCCAGCCCAAGCCGCAGTTGCAACCAAAGCACTATTTTCAGCACAGAAAGAGGCCATTCAGTCCATCTCGTCTATGCCAGCTTTTTCACAGAGTTAACCTTCTGTTCTGTAGACTAATCCATACAGAATTAATTGCCACCAACAACTCCCATTATTGTAGCAAGCGACGAGCAGGATGGTAGAAGGCGAACTAGATGGATCTTTGTCTTTTTTTCGTCTAGCAATTTCTGATCTCCCTTTCCCTGTTCACATTTTGTGTGTCAGCCTGGCTCAGTTGATCGCACTCTCGCCTCTGAGAGGGAAACTCATGGGTCCAAGCCCTGAGCTAGAACTTTGAGCTCCCAGTGTAGGCTGTCACTCCATTGGAGGGGTGGGGTGGGGGTTGGTGGGAGGGGATGTGAGCACTGAACTGTCAGAGCTACCATCTCTCAGAAGAAACGCCAACATGGGGTTGGCCAGAACACCTATTCAGGTGAACGTTTAAAGATACTGTGATCCTACTCCATATTATTATCTTTATCGATAACAAAGTTTGACCAACTTGGATCAGTATAAGTAGAAAATTCCCCAAGACAATCTGCCTGAGTCTCTGGTCAATCTCGAGCCCCAATCATTACTTAAATGCCAGTCTTTAGATTACAACCTGCATTATTTACGTCTGACGACTTACATTCTGCACACAACATTCCATCGTCTTAGGCAATGTCATGAGAGTGACATTGCCTGCGTTCTTGCTTGACCTGTGAACCACTCACGTACCAGGGCCTCACCTATCAATAATAATAATAATCATCATCATCATCCTTGCATTTGATATCACGCCTTATCATGTCATCAAGATGTCTCTAAAAGTGCTTCTCGGTTTGTGCACAGCAACGTCCCACAAACAATCATGGATTGAGTGACCAATTTTATTTTGAGGGATTGTTCAACATGGCACCCGGGGAGAGAGAGAAAGAGAGAAACTCCCTACTCTTTTCAAACTGGTGAAGGTCCTACAGTAAATCAATCTTGTTTTAATGACCTCTGTGGTGTGTACGGCTTTGCAGGCTCTCGAGAAAGGATCCAGTCCAAAAGGAGTCATTAACTTTGCGGGTTACAAGGTGCTGAACTCAGCTGATCACTATATGGAACTGCTCAGTGCCAGCATGCCAGGTACGTACCATGTCTTAGCCAGGAAGTGAGTGACGGATGGTTTTTGGGGCTGTGGGGGCAGCAGGATGTGCGACACATTGTGGAATTGACGGTCTGGGACACCGGGAGAAAGTTACTTCTCTTTTCAAATAACCTCTGACTGTGCGGGGAAGGGGGGAGTGGGGTGGCTCTGCAAGGGGAGGGGGGTTTTGGGGGTGGTTGGCAGGTCATGAGCTGGCGCTCACCCCTTTATCCTCCTTGTGTTTGAAAGGGATCAAAGGGAAGGCGAGCAGCTCGCCCTTTCTAAAATGGCCGACGGAGTTCCGTACCATGATGTGGCATCCATACGGACGTCACTTTTACTTCTTTGTCCTGGCGGAGAAGGAGCAGCAGAAGTGGCAGGCTGTCTTCCAGGATTGCGTGAGACATCTCAATAATGGTGAGCACCGCGCCGTTTGTTTTACGTTTCATTTAAGAACATAAGAATTTTCTAGACGAAAGAAGACCAAGGTCCATTCCAGGTCGCCTTCGATCATCCTGGCACTCGCTTGCACATGTCGTGTCCCAAGGTACACATCCTGAGATATTATTTTCTAACAGAAATCTATCTGATTTGTTCTTGAAAGAATCAACACTTTCTGCTTCCACCGTCTGTCTCCCCGAGGAGCGTGTTCCGTATGTTTACTACTCGCTCACTGAAGTGGTGTCTCTGCAGATTTGTTCATCTATCAAAAAAAAAAGGCTTGCTTTTCTCATCTGCCGAAGGCGCTGGCTGCTTTACTGCTGGATCCTAAAAATGTTTGCAGCACAGGGAGAAACCAGAGTATTTCAGTAACAAGAGTTGGAGGAGCATTTTACTCAGCTTCAAACTTTCAGAGTGTCTTGCTTCTTGGCACATAGATAATAAAAGAATATCCTTGCGTTTGATATAGCGCCGTTCATGCCAGGAGCATGTCTCGAAGCACTTCACAGGATTTACCCTGTACCAAATGTGAGGATTATAATTATTATTATGTGTCGGCAGGAAAAGCGCTTTTCCGTTCTATTCCTTAATAAAACACAGTCAAACCTGAGTCCTTTCCAAGGCTACACGTTGCCATGTGCCTAAAAGAACTCCTGATGCCATATTTAGAAGCTCTCTCAAAACTCTTTCCTATGAGTCAAAATTTGTGATGAGTCAAATTTTCTTTATATAAAAAAAGCTCCCATCTGGTGTCTGACAGGCAGGCCACTCGCTGGCTTGCTTACAGAACCCACTTGCTACCAGTGAGGTAATGAATCCCAGGTCTTGCAGTGACTTTGCTGTACATGTTCCCTCAAGACTTCCCCTCCCACCCCCCCTCCCAAACCCCTTGCTCACGTGCTGTTCACCCACACATTCCCTGTAAAATGACCTTGTTTAAGATGACATTCTCCTGTAAACGGTAAGCGAGAGGACCCGGGTTTGATTCCCGGGCAGGGCAAAACCGTAGGCGAGTTTCATTACTCCACATGGCTCTGTTTAGCTCCCAGTAAGTAGGAATCCGGCTGTTAGTCGATTGGCGGATTGCTTTCCATGGACAATACATTTTTTAAAAATAATAATTTGGTCACTCAATCCACGACTGTTTGTGGGACGCTACTTTGCACAATTGTCTGCCGCGTTCTGCCCACAAAATATATAATCTATAGAATAAATTACAGTAATATATTACAGCGTATCCTGTGAAGCGCTTTGAGGCGTCTCAATGATGTGATAAAGTGCTATATCAAATGCAAGTATTATTATTATTATTTGTCCTACAATGCCTCTCTTTAGATACGCACTGATTGCAGTGTCTTGGAGTGTGTTCGTGTATAAATAAACACAGCCCTCGCTTGAGGCCGGCTATGTTAAAGCTCCCTTTTCATAAACTACTTTTTATTAGCCCCTTGTTGCTCCACACAGTGACTCCGAAATCCAATTGGCTCGAAAGGAGTCTGGGACAGGATCATAGTCCTGACGTGAACCAGATTTGGAGACCACTAAGAGCCATTGTAGTTTCAGGGGTTCCCGTGTTTAACTCCTGTAGATTCTGGTGGGTTGTGAGCTCACTGGTATTTCTGACCAGATTCTCCAAGTGACTCTCCAGGCTGGCCCCGGCTTTGAGCTGAGACACGGGTTCCATAATGGCCCTTTTGTTGCCACACAGTGAAGCTGTGTTTGGTCCGGTATTTCTCTCTCTCTTTAGGTGGCTGTCTCCAATTTTTTTTTAGTTTTCGGAGAAGATTTGCAGGGAGAACTCTTATCGAGAGGTTCCCAGGGAGACAGTGATACTCCCTCGCTCTGCTCTGTCCTGCCCTCCCCTCCTGTCGGGTGGTGCTCAAGGAACTGACCGTGTGGGAGAACAGGCAGCGATTTTTACTCTCGATTTTGTATGAGGTACTTTTTCTTAGGGGATAATGTAGAATGAATTCTGTGCCTATCGTTTCATAGGAATCCAGGAACAGGGAGAAGCCATACTGGATGTCAACCTGGCTTGGTCGGTAGCTCTCTCTCACCTCTTGATTCAAGAGGTTGTGGGACATCATGAAGTTGAACTCGCAAACAACCATGAAGTAAATTATCAATTTTATCCAGTGGGAGAGCGAATTGTTGGCCAGGATATGGGGAGAAAGTGTCTTCTCTCTTTGAGTAGATGAGAGTTGCTGGGTAAACAGAGGCCACAAAGTCTCTCGATGTGCAGCCAGGCTTGTGCTGGAGCCAGGCCAGAGACCCGCCTGTGTAAATCCTACTTCAGGCGTAGCTTGTGTCGATGCAACACCTGAGGCAATGCTACAGTCCTACAGAGTGTTCAGCCTGCCTTACTCTAAATTGCTCTCGTCAAATCTCGCTAGGCGTTTTGCCTCCAGTTCGGATTTCAGCTGCATTTTCCATTTTAAAAAATTTATAAACAATCATTTATCGCATCCTGGAAGGTGGGTGGGGGGGCATTTTTTTGTTAACAAGTTTTTTAAAAGTTTTGGCTTTTAAACTCCTCTTGTGCACCACTCTGCCCTCAACAAAATGTCTGTGTTTTTTCTGGGGTGGGAGGGGTCAACACTTGCACTTGAAAAGCTTGCTAGCGATGGATCTTAATAATCCTTGCAATTGATATCTTGCCTAATCGAGATGTTTCCCTCCTGATGTGTTGGCCAACAATTCTCCCACCGCAAGATAAAATTGGTCGTTCACTTCCTGGATGTTTGCAGGGTTAACACTGTGCATAAATTGGCTGCCGTGATCACCAATAACAACTAGAAGAACAGTAATTATTGTAAATCACTTTGAGGCGTTTTGGGATTTGATCTCTTGTCCATTTATTCTCTCGTTTTACCAACCACCTGATTGAGCAAGCTTCCAAACAGCCTAGAAAGACAAAAACAACTTATTTTTACAGTACTGGACCTTATCATGTCGAGACATCTCAAAGCGCTTCACACATACTCATTGTGAATTATCGTGACTGCTTTTTGCAGTCAAGTCAGCTCACTGTAAACAACATATAATAATAATAATAATAATAATAATAATCCTTGCATTTGATATAGCGCTTTTCACGTCGGGAGGACGTCCCAAAGCACTTCACAGAACACACTGTAAAGTGAATTGACTGTATATTTGTGGGCAAACGCGGCAGCCAATTGCGCACAGCAATGTCCCACAAACAGTTGTAGATTGAAAATGACCAATTTATTATTGTTTTTGGTTTTGGAGGGATTATTATTAGGCTCTGTGTGGAGTAAGGAAACTTGCCCAAGGTTTCGCCCTCTGCCTGGAATTGAACTCAGGTCTCTCACTTGCAAAGCGAGTGCTCAACCACTGAGCTACAGGACTCCACGATTGTTGGTAGATGTGTAGAAACTACTGCCTGGATTCCTACTGTTACTTGCAGTTGAGGTCTAGGCTGATGATCCAGTGAAGGGTGGGGGGGCGGGAAATGCATTGTCAGAGGTGCCGTCCTTCGAGCTCTATATCCCCTGTACACTCGACACTCGAGATGCTTGATGTTTTTAGGCTGTGCAGACTGCAAGGATTATGACGTTACTGACAGCAATGGTAAACTACAGCGTTACTGTACAAAGCCTAAGCTTTCTACACAGTGATTACCCCTAAAGCCCTTCCCCCAGAATCAGACTCTGTCGTCCCCAGTCCCACATGTGGAAGATATTAATTTCCTTTCAACTCCCTGTTTATTGCCAACCATTTTGGCCGAAAGGGGACCAGTTACATAAGGGAAGTGGGTGGGGGAGGTGGGAGGGGAAAAGTGCATTAAGAAAAGAAACTCTTAACTTACATTCTATTCTTGGTCACATAGTTGTAAGAAAATGTTAAAATGCCTTATTAAAAACAAGTATTAAAAAAAAAGGCACCAGTAAATCAAACATTCACCAAATAACTTTGTGATTTTATTACCACATTCTTGCGCCCGGTTGGTGGTCGGATCTATTTATATATTGATGGTCGCTGGACGGAGCGGCCATAGTTAATGGAACGTCTTTGATGCCAGTTCGGAAGTAACATAGGGCAAAAGGAATGCAACTTGGCATCCTAATCGTAGAGCAAGAGCTGTACTTTTGGGGGCCGTTTTGGTGATTTTATTATAATCCTTTTGTTTGGAGTAGCTCCTCATACATCGGGAAGCCGTCTCAAAGTGCTTCACAGTATTTTACTGTTAGGTGTAGTGACTGTATTTGCGACCAGTTTGCCCACAGCAGTGTCCCACCAACAGCCATAAAGTGAATGACCATTTTTATCTGGGGTATTGTCGACCGGGACACAGGGCGGGGGGATTGGTAATGTCCATCTGAACAGAGAGACGGGACATGGGTTTAACGTCACGTGTAAAGGAAGGTGCCTCTGGCAGAGCTAAGACTATATGAGCTCAAAAGAGTTGTGATGATGTGAGGCTTGAACCCGCAACTTTCCGACTCCAAGGTGAAAGTGCTCAGCCAGGCTGACACCAAATTTTTATCTTATCTGTTAAAATTATCGTTCTTCCAGAGTAGGTTTCGACTGGTACGAGGTATGTTTCTGACTGAGAGCCAGATGCCTTAGCAAATGGAAATGACACGTCTTCTCTTTCTTCCTCCTACTTCCCCTTCTTGGAATCTGGCTCCATCCACTGCACAATCACCAGGCTCTGAATAATCCAACTATAAATAAATATTTTTACACATCGTGAAATGTGACTGCCGATCACAGTGCCTTTGAAGCATCCTTTGATCTGAGCTTTTTCCTGCCTCTATTTTTGGACTCTTCAAAAAGAAAATCATTGTTTATTTTACATGCTGTTTGGGGAGGGGAGGAGGGAGTGGTGGGGGGGCGGGTGCTGAGATTATGCAACCTCTCCTTACGTGTTCAATGTGACATGATAATCAGTGAACGGCATCGAACACGTGTGTTACGAGGAGCACCTGAACACCTGTGTCTGAAAGGCACAGTATCAAACACAAGCATTATTGTTGCTTCAGGCTGCAAAATGCTCATTATTTCACATGCTCAGAGTGTATTAGAGTTAGAGCGTTTGACAGCACCAACTCATTGTAAAACAAAGGCACGTTCACAGATGGAAGCAGAACATTCACACCCCCACACCCTTCTCTTTTTCTCTCTTTACCCCCGGTCGCTCCCTCCCTACATCTCTACCATTAGCTTACACAAACCACAAGGCTCCCAGCTGTGCTGCCTCTCACACTGCAGATTGGAATGTGGGCACCATGTTAAGGAGGTCATGGTCTGACAGTGAGCGCGGTCGTGCCAGTGAACTCGCTCGACAGTCAGCAATATCCTCGCCACTCCTCAGCTTCTGAGCAGAATGATTCAGTGTTAAATTCACCCTCATCCCCCACCCCCCTCAGTTTCACTCGGCGCTAAAGACACCCCAGACACTTTCTGTCTTTCTGTCCTCCTGGGCCAGCAGCTTCCTGGGAAAGATGAGTGCGCTGCGCAGACTTTAGTCTGTGCTGTTGTTTGAAACAGTGGATTGATGTCTTAAGTCCTTCCACATGTTCCCATTTCCTATGATTAATGGCTGCGGCCAAAGGTTCATAACTTCTGCCTTCGCTAAGTCATTCCCTTTGCCCTGCACTAATCTGTCTGCGTGATTTACTCTTTCCTGTCTGTATAGTAGCTTACTGACTCCCCCCACACCCCCCACACCCCCTGCTCCCCTCCTGTTCAAGTGCTCATCACATTTTATCTCTGGGGCGTTCAAAAAAATTCCAGTTATTTGTGTGTTTGTTGGGGGGAGGAGTTGGAAATACCAGTTAGGAGGGGGGGGGGGGGTCATCTCTTTCTGTACATTACATCTTGTCAACATTGCCCCTAAACTCAGATTTCCCCTCGAATCGCTGTCTGCCGGCTGCAATCCTGTGCTGAAACCCGAAGCTTTTATGGAGTCCCGTAGATTGGTGGTTAGTGCACTCGCCTCGCCAGCGAGAGAGAGGCCCTGGGTTCGATTCCTGGCTTGAGCGAAACCTTAGGGCAAGTTTCCTTACTCCACACGCCTTCTGTCTACCCAACAGTAAGTAGGAGCCTGGTTGTTAGAAGATTGGTGGATCACTTTCCTGAGGGGTAATAATCCCTCACTAATAAACACGCGTGCGGTTTAACAGCACCTGGCTCCGAAACTGCCCGTGCACAAAGGGCCAGTTGGAGTTAGGCGCTAATTACTATAGAGTGAAACATCACGGTATTTTTTTCTAATGCTCCTCTCCTCTTTCCTCCCCCCCCTCGTTTTACAACCTAGGATTGCCGGAAGATTCCAAAGTGGAGACTCCGGCGTTCAGCGATGCCGTCCGTCTGTACCGTCAGTCAAAGGATCAGTATGGCACCTGGGACATGCTCTGTGGCAACCAAGTGCAGGTAGGCTTGTGGTGAATGGTCTGGCTGGCAGCCTGGGTGACTCAATCGGGTGCAAACCCTCCAGTGCCTTGGTACGTCCTCCGGATGTGAAAGGCGCTGTTTACATGCAATTTGTTGTTGTCATTGTTATAAACTTCCTCCACTTAGTTGATGATCTGGCAGTGGCTCCGCGCTCCGTGGGCTGTGTTCCAGGGCCTGTGTGCCCAGCCTTTTGAACGCTGGCCCTCAGGCTGTGCCAGTCAGCGGGTCTCGGGGAGGAGTGGTGCTGAAGTGAGATTAATTTGAGGGACATGAAAAGTTGAGCCGTGCCAAAATCAACGTTCCATGAAGGAATGCGAGACTAATCGCATTAAAAATTGGTTCCTTTCTTTGTTCAGCAGCCAGGGCTGTTGAGAAATATATTATTCTTTCTCTCTCTCTCAAGTCAAGTCCAATCTGTGCAACCCGCTGCTTGACGTGATTTAATGCAATTTACATTTACACAGCGCCCTTCAAACTGGGATAGCGTCTCGGAGCGCTTAGCAGTTTGATGCCGAGCCGGGGAGAAAGGGGGAGGTGACTGTAGGCATGGTTGAAGAGTAAAGTCGTCAGGTGCGATGTGAAGGTGGACAAGGCAGAAGGAATGAGTCAGTGAGCTCCGGTGGTATATAAATAGTATGTAAGAGGTATTCACAGCAAAATATATAAATCTATAAAGTGTTTTGGTGGAATGTTTCAGCCAGGCCAGCTGATGTATCTCCTGAATGCAAACTGCCGAGAGGAGTAGGGATCAGATCTTCCTCTGTCAGGAGGGAGAGTTAGGAGAGAGATATCTAGACTTTTGCATAATTGTTTCAGACTCAATCTGTGATGGGCGAACGGTCTGAAAACAGCAGATGGCTCTTGGCTGCCAATGACTCTTTCTCTCCCGTTCTCCCTCTCTCTCTCTGTCTTTTTCTCTTTCTTCCTCTCCGAAATGAAAGAAAGATGGCCGTTTAGCACAATGCTCTACTTGTGGCTTTTCTGCAAATGTTTGGAGCTGGTAGTCAGAGGTCATGTGAAGTGACGGGTTTGTTCCATGGGCCGAGTGCCTCACACTCAACAGCTGAAGGACAGAGAGCCATCCACCGAGCTTCCTCCCAAGATGAACAATTTTCGCTTTGTTATTTCTCATCAGCCGAGGCCTGAATCCAATGTGAAACTAAGTGCATAAGGAAAACAGAATATTGGCAAGAAACAAGTCGGGTGAAATAATATGAATTTAAGTGAACACCTATTGGTATTATGAGGGGCTTAGTTCCTGGGGAAAGAGCTGAAAAGAGCCACTAATGATGAAGGACAATAATACAAGGTTGGTGTATGTTAAAGCTCAGTGGAGACGCCATCAAATTGAACTTTTCTGCTCTTCCTATAATTTCATGTTATCCAAAAAGAAACCTCTCCAACTCTCCAAAAAATACTATGCTTTTTGCAATGGAGATTGGCCTAGAATCTCTTGCAATTCATTTGCGTGTTTGTCAAGGTTGGACTTTGTAAACCAAGCGGGATTAATTCCTACTCCAATTGAATAAGGCCTAATGAGTCCTATCATAGCAATGTTCAGCCCCATTCTCTCTCTCTCTCTCTCTCTCTCTCTCTCCTTCTTTTCCTCTAATTCTCAAAGGTGCTGACCATCAGCAGAAAAAACAAAAGTCCGGTCGAAGATGTCAATCTTAACTCTGCCCTGAGTGGCCCCCGTATGTTGCGTATCAGAACAGTAGAAATACGAACGTTTGGCACCACGCTGTAATGAAAGGAATTTGCCATGAAAATATAGGTGTTTAAATTTTTTTATAAAAGATAAGGTTGGCAAATTGACAGATCTCTTTTCATTCCCCTCTTTGGAAACATTTATGGAATATATCCTTATGTGCATTATATATTAATATACATATATATTTATATTCCTGGCAAATAGCATCCCCACTATTACTAGTTTCAGCTCTACTTCTATCCTATGTTCTACCCAATGGTTTAATGTAACATACAGTGTATGTGGGAGGGAAGGAAGAAGGAACATTTCAGTGAGAGCTTGATTCATTTACTCAGGATGTTCCAGGCATTAAAAACCTCATGGTCTCTCTCCCATTCGCTAGTTTTGGAAACAATCTGCAATAGCAAAACATTGTCCAATTTGCATGCGAATTAAACCAATTTCTAATGCCAAATCTTGATAAGAGTGAGCGACTGACCTGAGAGAGGGACTGCCCATATAACTGATTTTGCCAGCATAATGATTGACGGAAACAGGAACAGTATGTTCAATTTAAAGACCTCGCAACAACTGGCAGCTTACAGCGAGCGAGAAAGGTTTATTACAATTGCACTCTCTTTGAGTGAAAATGGTAAATTGCTCGCAAACAATATTCTCCTTGAAATTGAATTTGCATGTGAGCCTGTTTGCTCAGCACTGCAAGTGAGCGCCTTGTCCCTTGTAGTATAATGAAGTTTCAGCCCTCTGGCTACTTTGCATTGCCTTTCGGTTCAGAGGAACTTCTAACCATTCACGTCTGCCTACAGCAGGTTGGAGCCACTCGCAGGCCACATCTGGCCCGGGGGAATGATCTCATCCGGCCCGCGAACCAAATCAGGAGACTGGGGGCTCAGACTCTGAACGGCAATGGGACTGGCCAATCAGGATAAAATACTGCTTATGGTGCTCACAAACATTTCTCAAATCCAGCACCCTGGCTTACAATATACACAGTCATTATGTTTCACAGTCTGTCTATACCGGGAAGTGCTTTGAGACATCTTCCGGACATGACAGGCGCTGTTTCAAATGCAAGGATTATTATTCTTTTGCTCAGCGATCTGTAATAGCTGAGTCTCCTTGTATGGTAAACTCACACAACAGTTCTTGCTAACAGAGACCGAGAGAAAACATTGTGCCTTTTGCAAGATGGTTGGCAGAAATTCTCAGAAGGATTGTGAAGGAGACTGTGTTTTATAATCTTTTTTTTAGTCATTGTGTTGTTATTCTGCAAAGGTTTTTATTGCTTGATCAAAGGGCGCATTAAAGTCTTTCGGAAACCTCGTGGCTGAATAATTCACTAATGTGGAAACTTGGCATCTGAAAACTCTGCATCGCTCTTTTATTGAAGCCACTTTATTGGGACCAGTGTTGTAGATGGCATCTTACTGTTGTGCGAAAGAATAGTTCCCTCTGTTTAAAGCTCATGCTTTAAGAAATAATGCAGCTGTCCATGCTGAGAAAACTTCTAAAAGTTCCCAAAATATCCTGGAATGGGTCGCTGAGTAAATCCAATTATTAATAATGCTAACAATCCTTACATTTTCTATAGCACTTTTCAAAACAAGAGGACATCTCAAAGTCTTTGCAGGATACACTGTAAAGTGTAGTGACTGTATTTTGTAGGCGAAGACGGCAGCCAATTTGAGCACAGAAATGTCCCACCAATAGCCATGTAATAATAATAATAAGGGGATAATAATCCCTTCCAAAAAATAATAATAATTTAGTCACTCAATCCATAACTGTTTGAGGGACGCTGCTGTGCTCAATTGGCTGCCGATTTTCACCCACAAAATACAGTCAATTCACTTTACAGTATATTCTGTGAACCGCTTTGAGACTACTCAAAGACGTGATAAGGAGAGCTATAACAAATCTTATTATCCTTATGGAGTGACTGATCCTTTTTTGGAGGGTTTTACTTGGTGGATTTTGTACATAAATCAAATGACTTGTAACCTGCGGTTTAAGTTTTGCCTGAATTGAAATCCTTGCAGGCTTGGACTTTACCCTGAAGTGTGGAGCTAGTGTGTGGTCTTCTGTTTTTGACTAAGTAGCTTGAAAGTCCGCATCATATCAGAGGGCTACTTGCAATGCGAAAATAATAACCTAAAACATTTGATCTCAAGTCCCGAGCGAGATACAGTGAAGACGTCTTAAGTGATCTTTTTCTCTCCAAAAGAACATGTCTTTGATCAGCGCTCCATGTTTTTACATCAGATCAACGAGAGAGGTTTGGGTCGAGAAAACTTGTGGGCATATTTGATCTTCACGTCTGGGACTTTGAGCTCATGGTCTCGGCTGATGTGCCAGTGCGGCGATGGTGAGTGGAGGAGGTGCCGTCCTTTGGATGAGATGTTGAATTAAGCCAAGGTCTCTCTCTGTTCAAGTGTCGCGAAAGATCCCACGGGCAGATGATGCCTCGAGCTGACGTCTCATCCAAAGGACGGCACCTCGAACAATACGGCGCTCACCCAGCACTGCTTTGGAGTGTCGGCTGAGACTATATGAATTCTAATTCCTGATTTGGAGGCTCGAAGCACAAACTTGTGACTCAGATGCCAGATGACTACCTACTGATTAAGTGCCTCCACAGAGGAAGGTTTTACTAACCGCTGGTTTGTTATTTTTTTCTCCCTCCACAGATTATGAGCAATTTGGTGATGGAGGAGTTACTCCCAGAGCTGGGGACGTTGATTCATCCCAGGCTGAAAGGGAAAGTTCATGATCGACAGAGAGCTTGGATTCTGGTGAGTATTTGAGAATTTTTATAAATTATTATTTTCCCTCTATCCACACGTTTCTCAGCTAGAGTTTTTTTTTGCAATAATCTCCCCTCTGAGACCCAAGTCAGGATTTTGCACTCACAGTCTAGGCTCCAGTGTCATTCTGGATGGAGCTCTGCATTGTTAGTTTTTTTTGATAGAGCGCCTCATCACGGCGTTATAGTAAATCCTGACGAAGCACTTTGAGATGTCCTTGCTATGTGAAAGGTGCATTATCAAATGCAAGAATTATTAGTAAGACAGGAGGTTCTTGCTACTTCTTTCAAACTTCCCTGCCCGTAGGCAAATGGTTAATAGCACCAGCGAATATAGCACTAAATACGTAGACACGTAAACTGTAGTTTCAACCCTGTTAGTGCTGAGTCACCAATCTCAACCAGGGCAGCAACAAGCACATCTCATGTTTGTCTCAGTGCTCCTGGGCTTGAGGGGAAAATTGAGCAGCATTCTTTTCTCTTTCCCACTTTCCACCCCACTTTCAATCACTATCCTGTTACCCCCAGTCAAAGATTATGTTGGGTTGGAGTTGCCTAGCTATACCGTTAGATAAATATTTGTGCATCCAGGCTGGCTCAGTCGGTAGCATTCTCGCCTCTGAGTCTGAAGCTTGTGAGTTTAAACCCAACATCGGAATTTAATACTCGGATAGGGCCTGCATTATTGGGTGTGTGGTCCTTCAAGTGAGAATGGACGAGACCTTGGCTTAACTTCTCATTTAAGAATGGCACCTGACAATGCAGGGCTGCCCCCAGAACTAGGTTGGAATGGAGTCAGCCATTGCTAAGCCAACTAAGATTCTTCATCCAAAGCAGTCTTCAACAACAACAACAAATTGCACTTATATAGCGCCCTCCACACAGGGCAGCGTCTCAATGCGCTTAACAAGTGGCAGAGCCTGACTCTGAGCCTGGGGGCGGGGCAGGTGGCCATAAGCACGGTCAAAGAGGAAGGTGTTCAGGTGGGCAAGGCGGAGGGATTGAGGGAGAGTGTTCCAGAGTTTTGGGGCTTAGTGGTTGAAAGTGCAACCTCCAATAGTGGGGTGAAGGGTGTGAGGGATGAGCAGGAGCCAGTGCCAGTTGAGCGGAGGCACCGGGTGGTGGATTGGGGAGTGAGGAGGTCGGAGAAGTAGGGAGGTGCCAGGGAGTGAATGGATTTGAACACGAGAGTGAGGATCTTGAAGTCGATCCGTTTGGTGATTTGGAGCCAGTGGAGCCTGGGCCAGAACTGGTGAGATGTCTTGTGATCTTGTGGTGTAAAATGCTATGACTGTACAAGGACAGATAATAACATCCAATTTGTGTCCTGTCTGTAACATTCTGGAGAAGCTGTTAGCCTTTGTTTCCCAGTGGGAAAGTTCTTGCTTGAAGTGTTGTTGCAGAACGTGGCTTTAAACAAAGCTCTGGCTGTTTTGAGAAGATACTCAGCCATTGAATGTGAGCCTGAAGTGACAAATTGACATGATGTCATAAGGTTAGTTACACAACTCGATTTAGAAGTTGATAATGCGCTCTTTATACTCCACCATAAGGCACCCTGACACGGAAGATCTTTCATTTAGAGCAAGTTTATTTCCTGAGGTGTTTACTCAGAAGTTATTCCCAAATGATAAATCCTTTATGTATAAGTAGGAGTATATTTTTTGGACCTGCTGTATATGGAAACCCAACAACGTGTTTAAGAGTATACAAACCAGACTCAGTTCCTCTTACATAAGCCACCTTCATACGGAAATTAGCTATGTCTGGAATGGGATGCGTACTCTCTCTGTTGGAGGAACACAACCTGCTTGTCTAATTCCGGAGAGTATTAGGTTGGTGAGGGACAAGACTCGGGGAACCCAGAGTGTGGGTTAGGAGTGTAACTGCTGGAGTTTATGGAAGATAGACATTGCTTATGGCATTAATATCTAAAGTGAACATTCAACTGAACTTCAACATTGGTGGCTTGGTCGAGAAATGGTCAGATGTGATTCAGAGGTACGTAGAACATTGAGATCTAAATGGAGAGTGGTAGAACACACTGAGAAGTGAAAGCTCCTTGATGGGCTAAGCTTCTAACGAGTGGGGGGAAAATAGATGTGAACAAGCCACACACAATGCTTACAAATCCTCCTCCCTCCTGTAACTCATGTTAACTACGTCACCCGAGAAAAGTTATGTAGACTTTTTTCCTCAAAACTATGTTCCAAAAAAAAAGTACAATGTGTTTTTGTGTATAGGCAGTGTTGCCAACTGGAAAAACATGAACTCTAGCCAAGTCTAGGATCTGCCTCCAAACATCAGAATACGCTCAGCCACTTGAGATTGCATTAGATTTCTCAGTTACTCTCTTTTTCGCTCTATCGTCACTTTCTTATGTAAAACGTTAAAACTCAAGGAAGGCACAATGTACACATTGGATAAATAAATTGATAAATAAATAAATTAGAGTTGAGATGTAGATCAAAAGGCTCAAGAGCTGAATGGCCTCCTCCTGTTTCTATGTTCCTAGGAATGCACAGAAACTATTAATTCCCCTCTAACCAAAATCCAGCAGTCAATGCTATCAATGGCAACCTATAGACTCCAGCAGTTACCCCAATGCACACTCTGGTGTCCCCAAAGCCTTGGCACTTGCCAACCTGCACCTATTACTCTCTGGGATTAGGTAAGCAGGCTGCGTCCCTCCAGGGAGAGAGTGCATTCCATTCCAACAATCTATCTCTGGGATTTCCATGTGTAGGTGGGATGAGTGGAATTCTAAGTTTGATTTGGAGACTCTTAAGCACATTGATGGGGTTTCCACACATGTCAGACACCTGGCCGACCAAACAAAAAGGTCGAACCAAATGTCAGCAGCTGTGGAAAAGCAATGTTTTAACCGTAGGTTGAGAACATCTGTCTCTTACCCACTGTGTTGGTTCTGTGGGTACCGCAGGCTGTTTTTGTATGGAATACTGTGGTCAAATGACCTGAAGTGTTGGTGTGTGTTGCCATGGTGACTGCAATGCCTTTGAGCATGTGATTCATGATCCCACTAAGAATAGTGATGTTGTTTTGTTCAGTAGGGTGTGTTCTGAAAGCAATTTTCTTTAGCTGCCAATGCAGAAAATGTAGTCTAGGCTGATGCTCCAGCACAGTGATGTGGGAGTGACATCTTCATCCGAGACATTGAACCAACGTCCCATCTGTGTCTGTTCAGCTGGGCGTTAGAAGCCCTGTCGCTACTTGAGGAAAAAAAGGGTATTTCTCCTAGTGTCCTGGCCAACAATCTTTCTCCGCCCCCACCCCCCATCTGATTTAAAAATTGGTCATTCACTTCATGGCTGTTTGTGGGACATTGCTGTGCGCAAATTGGCTCCTGAGTTTGCATGCAGAGACATAGTAAAATCCTGTGAAACGCTTTGAGATGTGTCAACATTGTGGTGAGATGCTCTGCCAAGTTGCAAAGGTTATTAAATAAATCATTTTTTCTGCCTCTGACTTCATGTGTAGCCTTCTTCACATATGATAATGTAGTGAAGGGAAGAGACAAGACTGAGGCAAGAGGTTAAAGGTCTAAAAATCACAGAAGGATGATCTTGGTTTGTATCTGACCAAGTCTCTGCTCTTGTGCTCCACAGATCACGGAGGCTGTGTACAAAATAGTTCAGCAGGAGACAAGACGCCAGTATGAAGCTGTGCTACAGAAATGCGAGCGCTCCCGTCCTGGTTTGGAGAGCAGGATTCGTACAGACATGGACCAAATCATCAACTCGAAGGAGCACGTGGCTAACAAAATCAGAGGTCAGTGATGTTCATGGACAATGGGCTTACAGATGGGAGGGAAGGAAATTTGGGAGGTGATGATGGTATGGCGTGGGGATGGGGAAGAAATGGATTGAAGCCAATTATCCCCATTGGGAAGCCCTTTGAACCTATAGCTTGCCTGCCTTTCTCACGTCCCCCATTCACTTCTAAAGTGCGGGCTTCAAGACATACTGGGTATTTGGTCAATATTTATTTATTTATTGGCTGCATTTCTTAGCCAGAATGGGATTTAATTTTTTCTTTAAAAATGTCCCTTTTCAAGGCCTACTGAAACCCTGCTTCCAAAACCATGGCTGAATTTTTCACAATTTGCGCTGAGTAGCTTCCCTGACACAAAACACACATTCTCTCTCACACTCACACACAACGCTCTCTAGATGTCTAGACATTCATGTGAGGATTTCTCAAAAGGGGCCATAGACCACTGTGTTCAGGGGAAAATGGGTTGAGAGGCAACAAAACAGGGGAACAGTTGAATCTTTGTGCAGGTTCTTAAAATAGCAGGAATGTGTGTCTTGCCCCCACTGCAACTATTCAGGCTGACGTAAGTTATTATGCTTACAAAGTGGACATTTTTCTTATTGGGAATTGGCTGCAGTGCTCCAAGCAGGGATCACTGCTGACCAGAACAGCGATAATGTGCCCTGAGGAGCCCTAACCACAAGTGGACCCGTCAGCAAGGATTCAGTTCAGCGTGTTTGAGCCTATTCCAACTGTTCTGTTTAATTCTTTTGCCATCGTGCGCTGTGTGCTTTTTTTCTCTCTCCTGTTCCCGTTTCCCTCGATGGCGATGTGGGGGCTTCAGCCTTTGTGATGCCGAAAGCCGAGGCTTGTGTACGAAGCCAGGTCCAGCCGTACATTGGCTCAATCCTGGACGCCTTGATGGCCCCGACCAGCAGGGGCTTCGCTGAGGTCAGGGACGTGTTCTTCAAGGAGACCGTGGAGATGAACATGAATGTGACGAATGAAGGGAGTCAGCACAAGCTGGGAGAGGTGAGAGGAGCGTCCGTCTATACGTTGGGGCAGCGTGATATATGTCACCTGGCTGGTTGGTTGGTTGGTTGGTTGGCTACAGGAGGTGGGGGAGGGGGGGAAAGAGGACGGTTAGACTCCCCCAATGCCTTCAGGTCCACAGTTACTGCACTCGGCAGAAATTCACCGTGAAATGCTCCGCTACGTCACAGCCATGGTCTGAAATGTTGTTTGTTGTTGCTGACCCTCCCTACCTCTTCCTGCTTCTTCCCTCCATTCTGCCCTCACGCCGATCTAGCCTGTCTTTAAATCCCTTAAAGCCTGCGGTGGGACATCCTGACGACATGAAGGGCACTATAATAATGTCATTAGCTGTTTGGTGTTGCCTCTTCGACTGAACCGTGGCTCACTCCCCCCCACCCCCCGCTGTAAAGTGCTCCTAATGGAGGGACGTTGTGTCGGCGCGAGTTGTTGCTTTAGTTATGACGTCGCGGTGAGGCCTGTGTTGCTCTTGTGTTTCCCAGCACATGGAGAGGCTGACGCTGCTGCCGTACCACCCGGTCAAGATGCAGAGCGGCTACGAGAAACTGGAGCAGCTCCAGCCCCAGCTCGAGGGCCTCCAGCAGCGCTTCGACCTCTCCAGCCCGGCCGTCTTCGTCCAGCGTGGCCAGATCCTTATGAGACAGGTGAGCCGCGTGGCGGGGCCGGTACCAACTCTCTCATCTCCCGAGCCTGAATTCGCTGTGGGTTCAAGCCCTGGGTCGTGGACTTTGACGTCACAAGTCCAGGCCGTCTCTCCAGTGCAGGAATAGTTAAAAGTATTGAAAAACTCACTGTCCTACAGACAGAATCAATTAGGACGGTTAGAAGGGAGTGACTTGCCAGCGAAGTCGGGAATTTGCTGTAATCCTCTCAGACCGCCTGAGCACCACATTCCAGCTAAGGCGAAGGCGAAATGGCTGATCCTTTCAGTGCGGTTCAAAGGGAGTGGTGACTGAGTTCGTACACACACATACAACAGAGGCGTCATCTAGTGCAATGCTGCCCCCTACTAACAATGGTGGGGAAACACACAGTAAGGCTGAGCAATCCAATACGGTGTGAACCTTTTCCTCCTCAGCAAATGGACAATGCAGTCTACACGTTCGAGCAGCTTCTGCACCAAAACCTGGAAAAATCCTCCGGGAAGGAAGATTTGTGCAAAATCATTCAACGCATCCAGGAGAGAGTGCTGAAGGTGAGTGTTAACAGTGCGTTGTGCCAGGTTTGAGCAAGTCAGCTCGTTGGTTGGGTGGGTTGGTTGGTTGGTTTGTTGGTTAATTAGTTAGTTAGCTAGTTAGTTTAGAGTATGTGGGGCATGGAGGGGGAGGCTGCACAAATGGACTTGATTTCAGCGCAGTGAGATGTGTAGGATGCCGTATTCAGCTTTTGTGGAGCAACAGAGGAGAGTTGAGGGGGAGCGATGTCAGTTGCTGTTTAACGCCTCTGGTTTTGCTCTTCACCCAGAAATACGACTACGACAGCAGTACAGTCAGGAAGAGGTTTTTCCGCGAGGCACTTCTCCAGATCACCATCCCCTATCTGCTGAAGAAACTCTCTCCATCTGTCAACACGGTAAGAGCCAAGCGCTGAAGAAGGCCTTTGATCTTCCTTCATGGCCTGGGGTCGTGCTCCGCCTCTGTAAAAAGCGCTCTGGGGCGCAATCCTGTTTGAAGGGGGGGGCGATTATAAATACAAGTTGTTGTTTCACATTACTGACACCTGTGCTCAAATACGTTCGCAGGGGGTGAAATTCCAACTGGGTCCAGATTTATTCTTATTTGTTTTCTTAGCATTTCAAGAAGTCCTGAATTTGGTAAATTGGTTGAATTCGTCTTTTTTTATTACAAAACCTTCCGTTTTTTCCGTGTTTCTTCAGTAAAACTTGCAGGAACATAGTCTTCATAATTAAGAACTATTTATCTGTCTGCGACGCGGCGCTGGGGGGAAGCTGTGAATCACAAAGCGACGGAGAGGTTTAGATGAGATGATTCATTGTCGGTCAGAGTAGAATCTGATTATCTTCTGTACACTCTCGCTCTCTCTCTTTCTTTCCTCACACTCACTCACTCTTTTCTCCCCTCGTGCTCTATCATAGACTCTGCCCAAATTTCAAGAGTTCATCTTTGAAGACTTCTCAAAGTTCATCTTGGTCGATCACATTTTTGAGGAGGTTGTTCTTCAGTCAGTTTCGAAAGATATAATGATGGGTAAGTCAGCCACTTGTTTCTATAGGGGTTAGCGGCCTCTCAATTGGAATTGATGTGCCGTTTGAAGTGAGTAGGCAGAGAAAAAGAAGTGAGTGTGAGAAAAGAATGGGCGGTTGGATTGCAGAAAGTGCTTTGAAATGTCTCGACGACTTCATAAGGCACTAGATCAAAGGCAAGAATTATTATTATTGTTAAATACTCGTCCAAACAACCTCCATTTATAATTGCTGCAGTATTCTGGGCAACGAGTGGAGGGGGATAAAAATGGGTAAACGTGAAAAGACGTGCGCACAGGAAGCTTCAGTGTCTTCTATGTTGAGGTACGTGCTATGAATCGCTTTGAGACGTCTTAACGACCGATAAGGCGCCATGTGAATTGCAGGGATTATTATTATTATTATAAAGTTGGACGGTTAATATGGTTGGAGCGCTGCGAACATCTTTTTTTTCAAGTTTGTTTCTCTTTCCTTTCAGCGGTGAAGGAAGCAGCTGTTCAGCGGAAACACAACCTGTTCCGAGACAGCATCGTGATCACCGGCAGCGACCCCAACCTGCACCTTCTGGGCGAGGGTCCTCCCATCGACTGGAGCGGCGAGTTTGGGGGTCCAGAGAACAGTCCGCCGAGCACAGCAGAGAAACGCAAGCGGATGAAGCAGGTGGTGTCCATGATCCAGGAGGAAGGAGTCTTTCTCCGGCCGGATGAGGTCCAGAGTATGGGGGACCTGAAGGAGGAACCGGAGAGCCAGGAAGGTCCAGACGAGGACGTCTCAAGCCAGGCCAAGTCCCCCGACAGCGTCAAAGAGATCCGCGACCTGTTGCCGGTCATCACTGTCGAGAAAGCCCTGCCGACCGAGTGCTCCCTGAGTAACGGAATCGCTTGCCAGGACACGCCCGCGGGCGAGAGCAGAGTGGAGGAAGAAAGCGAGCGGGCGACAGCCACCGAGACCAGCCAGGTGCCCGCCCCGTCCTCCAGCCGTGACAGCGGCTTCCAGTCACCCTCCGATGAGGAGCAGAGGACCGGGGCCGGAGATGCCGATGGGGCCACGGCCACTGGTCAAGAGCCCAGTGAGAAAGTGACTGTTTGCCAGCAGGAGGACCAGGAAACCGGGGAGGGGGTCTCCTCCTCAGAGAATCCCATCCCAGTCCCGCAAGACGCCAGCGCCACAGAAACAGAGGAAACAAACACTGCGTTCTAATTGACAATCAGACCCAGAGAGAAATTCACTGACTGTCAGGACTGGAGTTGATTGTTTCTCAGAGGGAAATAAACACATACGTTTTTCTTTTTTTTTGGCTCGCCCTTGGATGACGGTAATAACTGAGAAACTTGCTCAGTAAGCCTGCTTGGCCCCCCCCCCTCCCCGCCATTGCTATCGGGTTCAAACTTGTTGCCTCTTTTTTTGACATCCCCAAAACTTCCAGCAAAGCCACTCGGTTTCTCCTCCTTGCTCCCCCGCTAACAACTTTATCTGCATTTTGCTTTCCTTGTGTATGTTTTTTTGTGTGTGTCCTACACCTTTGTCATTGTCTCGTTCCCTCTTTCTTTCCCCCTTTCTCTTCCCTTCCTCCTTTCTTTTGCCCCTTGCCTCTCTGCGGTCCATCCATCCTTCCCCAAAATGTTTGATACAATCACAGTACTCTCCGGCCAAAGCAGAAGTGCTCGCTGGCTCCTGCTGTTCTACCACAAACCATCTTGTCTTTGAGGCTTTCTTGATTGAAACCACCATCACCATCCTCACCTACCTACCCGTCCCCATATTAGAGCAACCTTCATCACCTCTACTTTGCTGGCAAATGCAATACACCACCCATGCAGACAAGCGGTTCATTTCCCTAAATGTTCATTTCCTAACACTGTTTACTGTGCATTTCTGGAAAGGAACAAAATGCTGCGTTTTTACTCGTTTTTGGATGGCGGATCGCGGGGAGAGAAGACGTGAAATGGGCGTTACGAAGAGCGAGCTCTGGGGCTGGAAACCAAACGCCACGTCTCCGCAACCGAGGCTTGGGCTACGATCAGAGAATCCAGGCGATGCTCACTTCTGTTACTCGGCTTGATTTTTTGGAAACTTGTTTTTCATCCACTTCCACCACCGTCTCACACACCTCTCCTCCTCTCCCACCATGTCCTCTCTTGCAGCTGTGGGCTGTATCGTCGCAGAAGCAAATGCTGTGTAAGTGCGGGGCTGATCGCTGGTGAGACTGGAAGTGTGTGGACATCATAATCAATTTTGTTCACACTCAGATGTCTTTCCTGCACTGCTACAGATACGCAGCCTTAAGGATCCTTTTTTAAATAAAGCAAGTGTTTATTTAAAAATGTTAGGGTATATAGAGGAACAAAAAAAACTTTCTGCGGGATATTCTTACAAGATGTCTAAAGTGACCTTCACAGGCTTTGTGATGATGAATGTATTAGAATCAAGCAGTTAAGACAATCACAGTAGGGGGTACGGAGGGAAAAAAAACTATTGTAGAGAATCATAGCAGTCGTTTCTATAAGATTTTATTATTTTAATATGACAGAAATCTGGTCGCTTCTACTCAGAAGAAGGGTTGCAAATCTCTGGAGGGGTAGAAAGAGTCCAATGCATCGCAAACCTCTTAAATTATACTATGTGATCATCCTTTCTTTTGGGGGTGGGGGGGGAGAGATTAAACGAAGGAGGCTTTAAATTCACAAGGCATTCCTGACTCAAAGAGCAATACTGTTGAGAATGATTGCAAAAAATACGCCAAAGAATTGTTATATATAAAAAAAAGTGCAATCTCACCTGGGAAACAGTTTAACATTGAACAATATCTTATTTTAATGTTGGGTCCACAGGATAAATATATTTATATACACACAGTGTAATAATACGAGGGCTCATGATGGCTTGTGGTGGAGGAGAGAGAGAAAGAGAAATGCATTCTATAATAATCCTTGCATTTTGATGTAGCGCCTTATCACGTCATGGGACATCTTAAAGTGCTTCACAGGATATACTGTTAAGTGAATTGACTGTACATTTTGTGGGTGAAATTCTACTGATATTTTGCCATTAATTGAGACCTGTGCTCTTCACAACCAACCTGCAACCCTGCTTTATTAGGAATGGAGGTTTTTATTTTTTAATAAGAGAATTTTATGAGGTATCATCTAGCGTTAAGTGCTTATTTAACTATTAAATATTTCCTTGGGTTCGCTTGAGGCCAGTGATCATAGCTTTTTGCATTTCCCTTTAATTACTACAACACTAATTGACTTGTTTTTTTCCCACCTCCCCCTCCTTTCCGCTGTATCATAGCTTACGGTTAAAAGCTTTTATTTTGTAGCTTTCAAAACAGGATGGGAAGATGTACAGAATCGTGCATTTAATCAGTGGACGTTTGTTTTTAAACCGTACTGAAGTGACACACTATGAGCAAATCCACGTCAATGTCCACCCAAATTAATCACTTTAAAATTCCTCCTCGACTTTTGGTTATTTTTTGCTGCTTTCCTTCTAACCTTTTGAGGGGGGCGGTGGGGGGTGGGGGACAGGGGGTTTGCAACCGGTGATCGTGACTGTTACACCTCAACTGTGGGTTCCCACAGGGATGCTCCTAATGTTTTGTTAAGCTGCCTTTGTCCAAAAGTGTTGAAAATATGCATTCAATAAAGTTTTTTTTGAACAGGACCAGTTTACGACATATATGTATTTGGCGGAGGACAAAACGAGTCATTTTTCGCAAAAATCTCTTCTTGCATGAAACTCCAAAGGGTGGGGGCAGAGAGGCTGAAAAGATCTGATCTCCGATTACGTCCACTGACGATGAAGTGAACGGAAGTTGTCGGCTGGGGTGGCAACAACAACAAATTGCATCTGTAACTTGGGAGAGGAGGAGGAGGGGATAAGATTGGCCTCTGTGTGAAACGAGGAGGATTGGGTGGGAAATGAGAAACCTGATGAGTTGCCTTCAGCCTCTGCCAACTTGGGTCTTGCTGTTGGGTGGAGCTGGTTCCAATTTTCTAGCGCTTGAAAAGGTTGCCCTCTAGTGGGGAGATGCTGAGGTGCCGCTTGTAGCAATCGGAATGACCCCACGTGCTGATAAGGTGGACATTTGAGTGTTTGTTCATGTTGTCACCGGCTTGAAGTCCTCTCTGCTGAGAGGCTGGATATCTGGGCAAACAAGTGCACGGCTCCTTATAGCAGCAGTTATTTCATGAGGCTTGTCCACGCCAAGTGGAATGGGTCGATAAGATAACAGTGGCTTTGTCAATGTGGTTTTATCACTCCACAATACACGGTGTAACTAAAGAAACAATAGCGTTTGCTATCCTTGTGCTATGTTGGTTCCATCAACAGATTCTGTTTTTCTCCTGCGACTATTTAACACTGTCTGAGTGTGTTTGTTGCTCATCGTTCGATTGTTTTGCGTAGAGATCAGTTTAACTAAAATGGATTTTGATTCATGTTCAGGGAACGCAGCTTAACCCAATCAAAGCAACGCTTAACCTGTTTAGCGGCGGTGCCCGAATGTTAAAGACCTTGCACTGCTATTGGAAAAGAAATAGGAATTTCTCCTGGTGGTTAACCCCCCGCCGATAAATATATCATAGTCACTTTGTGGCTATTGGTAGTGGGACAGCAATTTTTAACCTCTTGTCCAGAGGACGGCACCTCTAATAATCCAGCTCTGCTCCAGTACTGCGTTACAGTGTCAACCTGGACTGTGAACGTTTTACCCAACGTAGGGCTCAAACCAGTGAGTTTCTGTCCCGGTGGCAAGAGCACAGACACAGACTAATTAAGCTGAATGACACATCTGCGCTGGTCGGTCAGTTGGGCGCCTCCAGCCTCGCAGGGGACACGTGGACTGAGCTGTGCGATAAGCAATGAAACCTGTGGCTACTTTAGACTTCATGTCACTGAGAAACAAATTGTTACAAAGACAAGGAACCGTCACGCTGACTGGCAAAGTGTGGAAGTGTCAGGCTGACATCTTCCTTGTTACTTGTAACCTTCCTGCTGTCTTGCACCCTGGCTCTTGGCCCTCGAGTCTGTAAGAGCAGCAGGACACCGGTCTCTTGTTAGGGTTAGAGTCTACATTTGTTTCTCAGGCAAAAAACTAGTGTTACATTTCAAGGATTTGTTTTACCTTTAAACACTTCCGTTTATATATATTATATATATATGGTATGTAGATGTACACAAATAAGCGATCATACACACATTTATAATCATTTTAAAACTTTAATATAAAATGTTTTATTTTCCCAGACCGCCAGCGAAAGAAAGGGGGATTATTGGTCCTCCGACAATGCAATTACACCCACACTTGGAGGTGCAATGTTCTTTTCATAAAGCAGCATTAAAGGAGCAGATTCTTCCTCTGCGTGTAAATGTTTCTGGCAAAATCCATTTACGTATGTGGTGGAAATTGGAATGAAACACATTTTTCGGGTCATTTGCATGTGATTTCGAGCCAAATGAGCCCCATATCTGCTCTCTCTCGCGCTCTCTCAAACCGGGAAAGGTTTCCCAAAGAGATTGCAAGTTGCAGTTTATTCCATTCGGCATGGCGAGGGTTAAAGTCAGTACCGTTTAATACCCTTTTATTACTTTAAAAAGCTCATTCGCAAGTCAAAATTCGAAATGAACATTAAATAGACAAAGCTGTTTTGCTTAACAGCTTCGTGGGAAGATGCAAATGTACACAAAGTGCCTTTTGGGGCCTGTCTGGGGCTATAGACACGGGATTGGCTCGATGTCTGTCTGGTATGTAGTAATGTGTAGGACAGTCATGTGTGATGTATATCTGGAATAAATGCAGTCATGGCTTTAGCTGTGGGAATTCGCTGCCAGGAGGAAGTCGCAGAGACTGAAAGATACCGAGATGATAAGGTGTTGCTGAGGTCAGTTTGGACAGATTCCACTATTATCGAGGAGGTAAAGGGGAAGGGGAGAGGAGGGAGCCGGGAGCTGATCTCCGCTCAGTAACAATTGGAGGATTGTAAGCTGCTTCTCTGACCTACAGTTCCACTCCATGCAATGCCTGGAATTCACCAGCAAAGCAATACTGTTCACCCAGTGAAAGATTAAACTAAGAGAGAAAATAGCAAGAATGCTTGGCACAATTACACAATAACAATCATTGCAATTTGGTTCAGCATCAAGACATCGCCGAGAGGATGGTACATGATATAATCAATTCTTTTCTTGATTTCTTACGTGCACTGTATGTGTGTTTATGTACAGTTCATTCTACGGCTGACACTGGCATTTGAGTCATTCGTTAGATGCTGGTCTTGAGGAATGGAAGGAATTTTAACTCTTTTGTTGGTTGTCCTTCCCATTGTAACATTTGGCCTGAGATGAAGCTTCACTGTGTCAGCCTAGACTGTGAGCTCAAAGTCCCCGACATGAGTAGCTCTGAGTTGGCCTAATACACGCCTTCCACAATACCCATATAGGACTTTTAAACTTGGCAAAGTATTAAACAAGCGTATGTTATTTGTTTTTCTAAATCAATAAGTAGTTTTTTCTTTTTGGTTTGACAAAGAACGTTCCAGTTCTGATGGATAAATGAAGCCACTCGGTTTCTGTGAATTGCAGCCATTGACTGCTTTGAGCCAAAGAGCATGTTAACATCCACACACACACACAAGGAAAGGCACATGGGTGAAGAGCTTGTCAGACAGCTTATTATAACCGTGCTTCTTTTGTGCGTCGTTAACAAATCTTTTTTTTAACATTGAGTGCATCATTTCCCTTCTGTCTCGAAGGCTTAGAGGAGATAATGATTCCTGTCCAGTTGTTGACCACCAACTTGTGCTTTGGAGTCTCCTGACGTTTTTTTAAACAATATATAATCTTCTTTCGCGAGTCAGCACCTGTTGATCAGTGGGTAAGCCAAGAAGTAGCCGATTCCAGCCCCCACCACAATGCTCAGGAAAACCCACACGTTGTAGGACATGGCGCAGAGCATCAGCAAGTAACTGATCGCAACTTGGACGATATGTAGAAGTGACTGGGAAGAGTGCAGCCGTATCCACCTGCAATTGCCAATAAAAATAATATTAATAATAATCCTTGCATTTGACGTAGCGCCTTGTCATGTTGTTGAGACATCTCAAAGTGCTTCACAGAATACGCTGTAAAAGCGAATTGACTGTGTATTTTGTGGTTGAAATGTGGCAGCCAATTGCGTACAGCAGCGTCCCACATGTAGTCATGGATTGAGTGGCAATTTTTTTTAAAAAAGGGTTTATAAAGGGAAGGTGAATTGCCATTTGACTCAACAACCGGGTTCCTACTTCCTGCTGGATAAATGGAGGTTTTGGGGAGTAAGAAAACTTGCCTAAGATTTTGACCTGCCTGGGAATCGAACCTGGATTCTCTCGCTTGTGAGACGAGTGCTCTAACCAATACGATACAGGACTCCGCGCACCTGTTTCAGCATAAAGGTTGAGTCCTGCAACTTTCCGCTTGAGAACGCTTCACAAACAAACCTTGAGCGATTAAATTAGCAGCTCGTTCCACCTCTTGACACTTTAATTGCTTTGACCTGCCTCCTTGGGCCACAGAGTTTCCATTCTGCAGGTCGCACCTGGGTAGAATCTGAGGCTATCTCCAGCTCCCAGACATGTGCTAGATGACTGAGCTAGCCCCAAAATTCCACCGAGCCTCAGCCTGCGGGTGGTGTAAAACTATGCAACACTGGACTCAACTTAATGCTATGAAGGGGGTTGTGTTATGTGTGTTTGTGTGTGTGTATGGGGGGGGAGGGTGAGAGTGGTTCTGGAAAAGATGAGATGGGCCGAAGGGGGTTTCTTCATCTGAACCAATCTTGATTTCTGAGACTCTGACTCATTGATACAACACTGTTGCCCCATGTTTAACCCCATGTTTAATTGAAAACCAATGAAGCTCCAGCAGTTATTGCAGGTAAATCTGTATGCAATGTGCCAAGCTGCGTTCCGCACACACTTTATCGGGGTCCAACAAGTGGGGATTGGTTCAGATAAAGAAAGCGCCTTCGGTTTGTTTTAAAACGATTTTGTTTTCATTTTGAAATCACTACCTCCCACAGAAATATCAAAGATAAAACCACTTCCTCATTCCTCTGCACATGTTGTTGTTGTTGAGTTCTAACAAGGAAATTCGCTTGCTTCTAAGTTTTGAGTTTTCCACAGCAAGGCGGGACCTTAACTTTTAAGGCAAATAACTGCCTTGCAGGCTAAGACTATGTGGAATTTCAGGTATCTAGTAACTCCTAACTGTGGTATCTGAACATACAACTTTATTATCAATCATCCTCCATCTTCTAAATCTTCTTCCCCTCAGCCCTGATCCACCATTCTACCAGATCATGGTAGATCTGCACCTCAACTCCATTTACCCGCTTTTACTCCATATCTCTTGATGCCCTGACGTAAAAAAAACCTATCCACCTCAGGCTTGAAAATTTGAATAGATCCAGCATCCACAGCCTTTTGGGGAAGAGAGTTCCAGATTTCCGCTATCCTTTGTGTGGAAAAATTGCTTCCTGATTTCAATCCAATGTGACCTGGCTCTAATTTTAAGATTATGGCCCCTTGCTTTTAATTTAATTTTGAATTTAATTTTAATGTTTGTCCCACCACATGACTGACTGAATCTGCAACGGCATTCCACTCTGTTAGAAGGGGCAAAGGGGTCGATGAGTTCAGTAACACAAGGTCACGCATTTGAGAGGAAATCAATGAAGGAATAAAAGGGAAGATTCTTTCACCGGTTGAGACGAGGTCTGTCTGCAATTTATTTTAAAATCGGGAAATTGATTTTTTTTTTAAAAAAGGGATATGTTTGGTTAATAGGGAGTGCGCGGATCACAAGATGGGCCTTGGATGAAGAAGGCCCTTCAGTCCATTTGATCTGATCTCTCAGAGTTCCTGCCCTACCAACAGTTCTCCCATCACACCGTCCTGGCCTCAACCACCCTTCCTGGCTGTGGGGGCAGAGAACAGATCCCCCACCCTTTGGAACTCCATCCCACAGTCCCTTTGTCTCCCTCCCTCCCTTCAAGGCATTACCTCAAGACCCTCCTCTTCAACCACACCTTCACTCATCCTCATACCCCCTACCCTCCTTGCCCTGCACCCCTCCTGATCCCAACCCCCTGCTTTGGATCCTAAACCCTGACTGTCCAGCGCATTGGGACATCCTCCCGATGTGAAAGACACCATACAAATTTAATTTGTTGTTCTTGTTCCAGTCATCGATCCCCCTCCGGGTAAAGAAATACTTCCTGTTGTCTGTCCTGAAATTGTTCTTTGCAAACCCAGGACCTCTCTTCTGCTGTCTCGCTATATCCGAAATTGGGAACGAGATTGTATTAGGTGGCAAATGCGGATAAAGCATCAACATAGACTCGATGAGCCAAAAGGCTTGTTACAGTGCCTACAGCATGTAATTCTCCAAACTCTGACGTGTCTTCAGTTAATTAGGAGTGTTCCTCAGTCATTGCTCACTGCACATGTTGTGTTTACAGGGTTGGTGTGGGCTGTGCTTCCACTTGAACAGGACAGTAAGTTGAATAACATGCAATTATAGATTTTTTTTTCATTTTAAAATCATTGCCTCCCACAGAAATTGTCAAAGAGAAAATAATTTCCTGTTGATTTGGGTCTAAAGTTAGTATAATCAATGGTTTTCAAAATGCCTCCATGGGATGGCACTGCTAAGCGTGGTGACCGTGTATTTTGTAGGCAAACATGGCAGCTGATTTGCGCACAGCAAGGGCTCGCTGACAGCCTTTGTGAAGTCAAATTTGATAATGACATCAAGTTTGCACTGGTGTTTTTCACCACCTATTCGAACCACCTTCCTGGCTGCTCCCAGTTTATCACTCTTGATGAGCTCTGTTGATGGCAGTTTCATTTTGACTAAAATCTTACTCAGTCTCAACCAATCCCCTTTTCGCTCTCAACTTCTCCAAATACACACACACAGGTCTTCACTGTGGACACGGCTACTGCAGTCTGTTTGCTTATATTGAAATCCTGCCTTCTTCACGGCATTCGTTCAATTGTTGCAAATCTCCGTGACTGCTATTAATCCTCCTCAAATTACTTGCTCAGCTACAAAGCCTGGTGTCATTTTCAAACTGCATAATCTTATAACATGCTCTTTTCCTCCCCAAAACACAACACAAACACCCCACTACCCCACATACACACCACACACACAAAATCCAAAGTCATTTGCAAAGTCATGAGACCTAAATGAGAAACAGCTGAGACTGAGTCACAGCCATTAAATAGGGAAGAAGCAGGAGTTAGTGCACATTAGCTTGAAACTTTTGGTTGTTTAGTTCACTCCCAAAACTCTGAGTAGAAATACAAGTGACAAATAACAATAATCCTCAATTGATTATAGAGCATTTCAGGTTGAGAGGACGTCTCAAAACATTTCACAAGGTGATTGTACATGGCACCCAATTTGCACACAACAACAAGAAGATTACATTTGTATAGTGCCTTTCACGTCGGGAGGACGTCCCAAAGCGCACAGCAATATCCCACAAACTGCCATGAGGCAACTGATTGCGTTTATCTTGGAGGAAGGCTTGTTAACTAGAGGCAAACCCTCTTTCCTTTTTGAATAGCACCACGGGATATTTAATGTCCATGTTAACAGGCGGAGGGTAGCCTTAGTGTAATGTCTCATCCGAAAAGATGGCACCTCTGACAATGCACTGTGGAACAGCAGAAGTGTCAACCTGGACTGTGAGCTCAGAGTCCTGCCCTGGGATTTGAAATAGGTACCTGTGAGTTATGTGATGGAGAAATCTGCCCAGACGGAGGAAAGAATGAAAAGGTTTGTTCGCTCACCTTTGTCTCGAGCTGCTGTTCCTCGCTGAATTGTTAGGCGCTGTTTCTGTCACTTCCTCTGCTGTGAGGGGTGTGGGTGTTATGAGGTCCAGGGCTTTCTTGTCCAGTTTCACTGTCAGAACTTTTAAGATTTCGTAAACCGTGGCAATGAGCAGAATGACCATCATAGTCAGAAGCATTCCTTCAAACAGAGAGCGCGAGAGAGAGAGAGAAAATACTTTACACACAGAGAACACCTGGCCAACAATCCTATGGGGAAAAAAAAATTAGTCACTCACTTTGTGGCCTTTTTTGGGACAGTGCAAGTTGGAAATTGGCCGCTGCGTTCTACAAATACACTGTAACCACATTACATAGAAGCCTTGTGACATTCTTGCTGTCACTGATTAAATATAAAAGGAAGGATTATTATTTATTAAAATTTGTGAGCAGCCAGTCGGGAAAACTTTAAAATGTGGTTGGGAAATAAGAGGGAAGAAGAGATGGAGAGGGAGAGAGAAAAAAAGCACTTAGAGAGGAGACAAAGTGATGGTGGAAAAAATCGAGAGAAAGAGAGAGTGATTGAACTGGGCTGGGAACCGTGAGCTGCTTCAGGCAAATGTATAATCACTCAGTAACTACTGGAGATGCATACCTGAGAGCAAGTCACCTGGAACCTCCCTCAGCCAGGGAATGAAGTGTAACTAAGGGCAAACTATAGCAGGGATCAGTGCATTGGATTAAAACATTTAAGTGTACGGCGGTGAGGGAACAGGACTGCTCCATAAAGATGAACAGCGTGTTCACAGAGGAGTTAAAATGTAACCAGCAATAGCTTTGAGAACATCTCTGTGCTGCCAAGACTGCTCCGGTCGTCCGAGTCGAGAAGGAGCCTAAACTCACTCAAGAGGCAGGTGAAGGGAATAAACTCCGTACCTGTTAAAGAGTGGACATTCCAGCAGCTAAACAGCAGGAGCACTCGATCCGACACGTAGAAATGCATCTGCAACACACAAGAGACAATAGACACCTGCACTTTAGGGGCTGTTCGCGTCTTAAGCTTTCCCCCCCCCCCCAAGTCCAAAGCTTGCCGGCCAGGTGGTGCTATCAGCAGCGAGGTTAGACTCCGGCAGTTACCCCCAACGCACACTCTCGGGTTCCCAAGCCTTGGCTCTTGCCAACCTGTGCCAAATCCTTTACTAGGATTAGGAAAGCAGGAAGCATCCCTCCAGTGTGTCCAGTGTGAGATGATACAAATGCACAACAGTCACATTGTATAGCAATTATCTGTGAAACACATTGAGACAATTTGACGTTATGGGCGATACTGTATAGCAAACGCGAGAGTTATTATTATGAATCACAGGCAACAGTTGAGGTATTGTTAGCTGCTCGTTGCGGAGGGGGTGAGTAATCCTGGTCAGCTCTCAGCTGCTTGTGCAAGTCGCTCACTCCCTCCTGTTCTGGTGCCAAAATGCCAGCAGAAAAGTTGAATGAGTTCCAAAAGGACCGTTGGCCCGACATGAGCTGCCGAGGGGATTGCAGGGCACAGCACGACGCTCAGAACTCCACTATGGTGTGGGGAAGATTACTATCATGTCGGGCTTGTGCTCACAGCAAACACAGGATCTGAGCTGAAACCTGCAGCCTTGCATCAGAGAAACAGAATGTTTTTTNCCCCGTGGCAAGGCAAAACACGCACGCTGTGTATATATTTCTGTAGACAGTACCAAAGAAGGCATCGCTATTTGTATAATAATCCTCGCATTCGATACAGCGTCTTATCATGTCATCGAGACGTCTCAAAGCGCTTCACAGGATACACTGCAAAGTGAATTGATGGGATATTTTGTGGGTGGAAACCAGGTGGCAGCCAATTGCGCACAGCAGCGTCCCCACACACAGTCGTGGATTGGGTGACCAAATTATTATTATTTGTTTAAGGGATTATTACCTCCAGTAACAACTCAGTCCCTAATTACTACCGGGTAAGCAGAGGGGTGTGTGTGTGTGGAGTAAGGAAACTTGCCTCACCTTTTGCCGTGCCCGGGGATCGAACCCAGATCCTCTCGCTTGCGAGACGAGTGTTTTCACCAAATATGCTACAGAACTCCACAGTTTTGCTAATGCAAAGATAAGAGACAAAGTTCGCACCAGTGGGAAATAAGCCCCTTCCTTCCTGATCTTTAAATCATAAAATATCCTGTAGGAATGGAAGTCCTGAGAACTGTTCCCACATCACCTTCTGCCCTCTCACTCCCATCTGGAGAGTCTCTGACTGACACATCTCAGCCACACTCAGAGAGGTGTCAACATATCACATATCACTCACTCCCCTCACCCCTCACTCCCCCCCTCACCCCTCACCCCCCTCACCACCCCTCACCCCCCCTCACCACCCCCCCTCACCCCCCCTCACCCCTCACTCCCCCCCTCACCCCTCACCCCCCCTCACCCCTCACCACCCCCCCCTCACCCCTCACCACCCCCTCCCCACCCCTCACCCCTCTCACCCACCCCTACCCCCCTCACCCCTCACTACCCCCTCACCCCCCACACATGCCATGTAGTCTTAGAGAAAGTCTAAAATAAAAGGGGGGGAAAAAAATACATTCAGCTGCAATCCTTTGCATTCGATTTGCCCAATTTGCAGGAGCCACGAAACTTTATTTGCGACCGACTTGTTCCCCCACAATGTATGTGATTGCGATGTACTCACAGACACCATTCCGGCTGTTGACAAAGCGAGAGGAGCAGTGATCTCCCACAGCAGCAGCACTGGGGGTCCAACCAGATATGTCGCTGGGGATTCACCGCAAGATTCCCAGAACAAGTCACAGCTCTCTCACTCTCTCACACTCACTCTCACACTCACTCTCTCTCACACTCACTCTCTCTCTCTCACACTCACACTCACTCTCTCTCACACTCACTCTCTCTCTCACACTCACTCTCTCTCTCACACACTCACTCACACTCACTCTCTCTCTCACACTCACTCACTCTCTCACACTCACACTCACTCTCTCACACACTCACTCACACTCACTCTCTCACACTCACTCTCTCACACTCACTCTCTCACACTCACTCTCACACTCACTCTCTCTCTCACACACTCACTCTCTCACACTCACACTCACTCTCTCACACTCACACTCACTCTCTCTCTCACTCTCTCTCTCACTCTCTCTCACACTCTCTCTCTCTCACACTCACTCACTCTCTCACACTCACTCTCTCACACTCACTCTCACACTCACTCTCTCTCTCACACACTCACTCTCTCACACTCACACTCACTCTCTCACACTCACACTCACTCTCTCTCTCACTCTCTCTCTCACTCTCTCTCACACTCACTCTCTCTCACACTCACTCTCTCTCACACTCTCTCTCACTCTCTCACACACTCACTCTCTCTCTCACTCACTCTCACACTCTCTCTCACACTCACTCACTCTCTCACACTCACACTCACTCTCTCACACTCACTCTCTCTCTCTCACACACTCACTCACTCTCTCACTCTCTCTCTCACACTCACTCTCTCTCTCTCACACTCACTCTCTCTCTCACACACTCACTCTCTCACTCACTCTCTCTCTCTCACACACTCACTCACACTCACTCTCTCTCTCTCTCACACTCACTCTCTCTCTCTCACACACTCACTCTCTCTCACTCACTCTCACTCTCACACTCACTCTCTCTCTCTCACACACTCACTCTCTCACACTCACTCTCTCTCACACTCTCTCTCACTCTCTCACACACACACTCACTCTCTCACTCTCTCTCTCACACTCTCTCACACTCACTCTCACTCACACTCACTCTCTCTCTCACACTCACTCTCTCACTCACTCTCACTCTCTCTCACACTCACTCACTCTCACTCACTCACTCTCTCACTCTCACACAGTGGGTCGCTGTGCCTCTGGTTACCGCAGTCAGGAACCCTCCGATCTGTCACATGAAGCCGCCACAGATGGTGATGGCGATGGTGGTGGTGGTGAGAGGTTGGAAGCTCCATCTCGACTTCATTCTGGGAATTGTAGGCCATCCATTGGGAGATCCATGAGCCCTCCCCCCCCCCCCCCCCCACACTGACCTCACACACCCAGAGCCAATGGCCTCATGGCGGGGCAGAGACCGGGGGCTCCTCCGGGGTACAATGTCCCAGTGGAATTACTCATAATAATAATTTGGTTTGAAGAGGTTTTGGAGGTGGAAAGGAATTGTGGATTTGATGGATTTGAACTACAGGATCCAGAATGCCCGGCGGCAGAGGAACAGCTGTCCGGGTTTAAATACTCAGGATGTGGTTTGGAGGGAGTGAGTACATTGCAATGTGAAAGGAAAACCATCTGAGTTCTCTTCCTCCTTCAGCCCAGAAACATGTCCGAGCAGTGAGCTGAGCTGTGAGCAGTGGCTGTGGCTATGGCTGTGATCTGAGCTGTGGCTGTGATCTGAGCTGTGGCTGTGATCTGAGCTGTGGCTGTGATCTGAGCTGTGGCTGTGATCTGAGCTGTGGCTGTGATCTGTGGCTGTGATCTGTGGCTGGGGCTGGGGCAGGGGCTGGGGCAGGGGCTGGGGCTGGGGCAGGGGCTGGGGCAGGGGCTGGGGCAGGGGCTGGGGCTGGGGCAGGGGCAGGGGCAGGGGCTGTGACCAGGCAGACCAGGCAGACCAGGCAAGGGGGGCTGTAGAGCAGAAGAGGAGAACAGGGACACACAGAGAGCCTTTGTGGCAGAAAAGTTATTGATTTCTCAATGAGAGACTTACTTGGGAATTCCTGATGGCCAGAACTCTGTGACACAGAAAAGGGTTTCCTCCCTCCCTCCCTCTCCCTCCCTTCCTCCTCCCTCCCTCCTCTCTCCCCCTCCTTTCCTTATTTCTTCCCTTATCTCTTCCTCCCACCCCATCATCCCCTCCCTCAAAACTATAGCAGAAATGGACATGGGACTGTCACTTCTTGCTGTCTTAACCTTCACCTGGATTTATTCTCACCGGACTCTGGGGATGACAAAGGAAGAAAAGGGAAAATACAGGTAGGATTTTGCTAACTCTCTCCCCACCCCCCACCCCCTCACCCCCAATTCTGGTGTTGGGTGGATGGGCCTGCTGCAAAGCTCCATTGCAAGTGCTGTCTGTACCTGACAACTGTGTAGGTGTGTTCGTAAACTCTGGGACACTCTCCCTCTAACCCTCTGTCTTGCCCCCTCCTTCCCCATTTTCAGATCGCACCTGAAGACCTTCCTCTTAGACCTTGCCTACAGTTACCACCCCCCCGCGGCTCAGTGTCCTGCTCCATCACTCCATCACTGTCAAGGCCCCCGGGGCACAATCCTGTATGAGGGGCGCCATATAAATGTTGTTGTTGTCATGTGCAGTCAGCGTTAATTCCAGGATACATTACTCCCCCTCTCCCTCCTTCCAACTGGGCTTTAGTTTCTGACTCACACTATATCCTGGCAAGTGCTGTGAGACACATCAATGTATTGTTATTACACCGGAATCTCTAATTCAGAACAACAAATTACATTTGTAAAACTTCTTTCACAGGCTCACGACCCAAGGCGCTGGACAGCCAGGGATCGAGCTCATGTCATTTTAATATCTTACCATTGGAGAATGTTTCTCTTATAGTAGAACTGCACTCCTTCCCCTCCCTCCCCCTCTCCAAGAAATGGTGACCATTTTTACAGTTTTGTGGGTATACGCACTGCGAGGATCACAAATCTCCCATTTCTGCTTTTACAGGGACCAGATTCTTGAAATGTTTGACCACGCCTATGGCAGCTACATGGTAAGCTGGTGTTTCTCTTCCATTTGCTTTGGGTCCAAGTGTTTTGTAATAATTGCCTCCGTCCGTTCACAAGTCACATTGTTGAGACATCGTTCAAATAGCGAGGAGCAAAGATCTAAATACCTGCCCGCACTAATCTGGGATTAGATGATTTATTTCCTTTATAAAACACTGGACTCTTGCCAACCCGCACCTTATGCTTTCTGAGATGTGGTAAACCGAATGTTTTCCTCCAGAGAGCGCGAGCGAGCGAGCGCGCATTCCATTCCGACAATCTATCCCTGGAATTTCCCATCCGATGCAGTTGGGAGGCACGGGATCTCAGTTGGGTTTGGAGACCCTGGACGGAGGATGGCGATGGAGATGGGTTTCCGCTTGTGTCAGACACGGGGCTGGGCAAAACATGTTTGCTCTTGATAAACGTGGGCGTGACTGTGGTTCACTGCTAATGATTTGACTCCTGTATATGTCTGCACCCCCTCCCCCCCCCTCTCTCTCTCTCTCTCTCTTTCTCTCTCCCCCCCACCCCTGTTAGAAACACGCGTACCCGGCAGACGAACTGATGCCGCTCAGCTGTCGCGGGCGAGTACGCGGGATGGAGCCGAGCCGCGGGGACATCGACGACACTCTGGGAAGGTAGGAGCCCGAGCGCCTCACGGTCTCCAGTCGCCCGCACGGAAATGTGGCAGGAATGAATTTTGTTTGGGGAAACCAGCTGCATGGCGAGTATGTTCCTCTCTGCACTGGGCCCCGTGTTTACACTGCAGTCGCCTCTGGCTTAGTAAACCTTTCACATGAGGCCCTCGTTTTGTGTTGGATTTTTTTTAAGTGCCAAAAAAGATCCTGTTTTTTACTGTGCGTGTTCTTCCCATGTGAAAGGCGCTTTATACGTGTAATTATGTTGTTGTTTTTGCTTTTGGTCCAAATCCTTGACTGTCCAGCGCCTTGGGATGTCCTCCTGACATGAAAGGCGCTATGTATTGTTAGTGGTGGTGGGTTCTGCTCTCAATGATTTTTAAAATAAGCAAGTGTAGTAACTGTGCATTTGTAGAGCAAGAGAGAGAGCCTAAACTCAAATGATGTCCTACTTTGAGACTGAGATAGGTCGATGTGTGTGTGGGAGGGGAAGCTATTTATCAACACTGGTACTATACTGCTTATCAGAAAATAAATGTGGCAACGGAAAGTTCGCTAGCACAATGGACCTTAAGCCGTTTAAGTATTAACTTGTATTCTTTGATGTGGCTGTCTCCATTTGGAAAAAAAAACTTGGCAGAACAATGTGTTTTTATTCTGTAGTGCAGGTCCATTTTATTTCCCCCAAAAAAACCTCTTGGCCTTATTTTTTGCAAAACCTCTTCAAACGTCAAATCTGAGGTGGAACTCCTCTGACTTGAAGTGTCTCCCGGTGGCTGCAGCAGCAGCTTGCAGTCAAACTATTTTTGTAGCGTTCTTTTTNATTAAAAAAAATTGTGTTTTCCCCAAATGAGATGTCGAAGATTTGTACGAAGAGGTCAGCTTGGCTCAGTGGTAGCACTCGCACCTTTTTTTTTTAATGACAATAATGATCCTTGCATTTTGATACAGCGCCTTATCATGTTGTTGAGATGTCTCAAAGCGCTTCACAGTTTATACTGTAAAGTGGATTGACTGTATTTTGTGGGTGAAACGCGCCAACCAATTGAGCACAGCAGCGTCCCACAACCAGTCTTGGATTGAATGATTAATTAATTAAATAATTTTCTTGCTGATTTGTAACTTATTTTTAAATATCCCTCTCCCCCCCCCCACCCCCCACACGGTTCTGTTTTCTTTTCAGGTTTTCACTCACTCTCGTCGACACACTGGATACTCTTGTTGTAAGTACGATAACTTGTCGTGGGGTGGGGACAGGGTGAGGGGAGTTGAAGCCAACAGTTTCCTCTTGTTGGAAAACCTCCTAATTGTTCAGAGTTTGAAGATGACGGGTGGGCTGAATAGCTCTGACTCATCGCACGTGTACTAACAGTATTTTTCTTTGGGTGAGATCTGTCATGCCTTGCCACACTTGTCAATACCTCGCAGGCCAGTAGCTCAGCTGAGTAAAGTCAGAGGTTATTGAGTAAAGTCAGAGGTTAAGTTCAGGGTCAGTCGATCGGAACAAACCTCGTTCAACTGTGCGGTTTTGGACGTTTTATGAAACTCTTTCCCAGAACAAGGTGACACTCTCCCTTTCGCTTTATTTCACGCACGTGCTTTTCTGAATGGGAACCGAGCAGCTCTGAGACGATGAGAATTCCCGCTGTGTTTCTGGCCACTAAACATTTTTGCTTCAGTTAGTGGCCACTGTTTAAATAATAATAATAAATAATAATAATCCTTGCATTTGATATAGCGCCTTATTGCGTCGTTGAGATGTCTCAAAGCGCTTCACTATAATAAGATTGTATACTATACTGTAAACAGAATATATTGGTAAGAAGATTGACTGTGTGTTTGTGGGAATTATTTTGATGTATTGTATTTTTGATTGGTTTTCTAGGTGCTGAACAAACTGGACGAGTTTGACGCCGCGGTGCGCAAAGTCATTCTGAACGTCCGGTTGGACAATGATATCGTGGTGTCCGTGTTCGAGACGAACATCCGTGTGTTGGGGTCAGTTGAAACGCAGTGCAGCCGCAGTTCTCTTCTGGAATTCTGGGGTGTTTTGTTGCAAGTCGTTGACTTGGCCTCGTTTGGTTGGCAGTCAATCCGCTTGGCCTCCAGCTTTCTGTAGTAATCTTGACGGCCCAATGCCTTGCACAGTGGAGCACCAGCGCCAAGACATGTGCAACGGCTCCCGCTGATGGTGGGTTTCTGGCCACAACAATTCTCGAGAGTATTATTTTTAATAATAATTCACAGGATATGCTGTAAACTGTAGTGACTGTGTACTTTCTGGGGAATACACAGAAGCCGATCGCGCATAGCATTGTCCCACAAACAGCCGTGGAGTGAGCGACCAATTTTGTTTTGATGCTTTCAGTCATCTTTGCCTTTATCCCCACCCCCACCTCGTTCACCCCCCCCCCCCGCCACCCCCATCCTCTGTCTACAGCGGGTTGCTGGGAGGTCATGTGATGGCAACCATGTTGAAAAGCCATGGCAAGAGGATGGCTTGGTATAAGAATGAACTGCTCTACATGGCCCGAGAAGTGGGCTACAGACTCCTGCCGGCCTTTAACACGACAAGCGGACTACCGTACCCCAGGGTAAGTACAGACCACAACCTCGCTCAGACGCCTCTCTCTCTCTCTCTATGAAAGGGTGGTGGAGGCCGATTCGATAACTACTTTTAAAAACGCGGTGGACGGGTATTTGAGGAGGACGGGTCTGCAGGGTTATGGGGAAAGGGCTGGGGAGTGGGATTGACATTACATTGCTCTTCTCAAAGAGCCGGCACAGACTCGATGGGCCGAATGGCCTCTTTTTGTGCTGTACGATTCTGTGATTCTCTCTCAATGTGAGACGTTTTATCAACCTGGATATTAATAAAGAATGGCTGAGATCGATAGCGAGTTGCCCCACCATTTGCGGGCGAGCTTTCAGCCCATTCTCTGTCTCCGAGTCCCCGTGTCGGCTATCTTTATTGCTTGTTTCCCTCTCTTTTGTTTGCCAAGGTAAACCTGAAGCATGGGGTCTTGAGCCCCCTGTCCCGAACAGGCACCGAATCAGACACCTGCACGGCTTGTGCGGGGACTATGATCCTAGAGTTCGCTGCTCTGAGTCGGCTCACGGGGGAATCTGTTTTCGAGGTACCTGAAACGTTAATTCATCCGCTCGCTGTTGTTCCTCCAAGGCTTATTTTGTGCGTTAAGCTGGCATTGGGTTGCTTCACGTTGCCTGCCTTCCCCACCCCACCCTCTCTGCCCCCACCCTTTGGCAATCCATCCCAGAGTCCCTCCAACTGGCCACCTTCCCTCCACCTCTATCAACGTCTGTCTCGAGACCTTCCCCTTTGACCACGCCTTTGATTGTCTTTACCCCCCCTCGACCCTTCCACCACCCACCCCACTTGGCTCCCATCTGCAGCCCGGGTGTTGCACTGCATTTCCTAGGGACAGGAGTCAGCCACTCAGCCCACAATTCTGTTCCACCCTTCTATTAGATCACGGCTGATCTGTACCTCGACTCCATTTACCTGCTTTTTCTCCATATCCCTCGATACCCTGTCCTGACAAATATCCATCGATTTCAAAATTCCAATTGACTGAGCAATCCGCAGCTTTATTTCGGGGTGTGGGGGGGGTGTGGAGGAGGGAATTCCAGATTTCCACAAGACTTTGTGTGGCAGTTCTTGTTTCACAATAACTTAGTATTTCACTTCCCTCCCCATCCTTCCTCTCTTGGAAGGAACACGCGCGCAGAGCCCTGGACTACCTGTGGGAGAAGAGACAAAGAGGCAGTGATCTGGTGGGCACGGTCATCAATATCCACAACGGCGACTGGATCAGGCGAGGTCAGCAAACTTCACCCTGTGATGTTCTGTGTGGAGAAAATCCCAACTGGCTATACTGTTCCCCTATGAATAACAATTGGTCACTCAACCCACGACTGATTGTGAGACGCTGCTGTGCGCAATTGACTGCCGTGTTTCGCCCACAAAATACACAGTTAATCCAACTTCTGTTGTTCAGTTGAGAGCTTCTGCTATGGACTTGGTGTTGCTAACAATCTCCATTTTATTATCTCAGACAGTGGAGTGGGTGCTGGCATAGACTCCTACTATGAGTATTTGTTGAAGGCCTATATCCTGCTGGGAGATGATGTGTATTTGGAAAGGTTTAATACAGTAAGTGAGGTTTTCTTCTTTTCTGAAGGTTAACTCTGCTCAGTGGGGCTTCTGAGATAAGGAGAAGGAACTGTGTCACTAAGGTGTGATGAGCACTGAGCCAGAATGGTGAGCTCTGACACATGCAGAAACCCACCACCATTGCTTAAGAGTCTCCAAACCAAACTGAGTATTCCCCCCATCCCATCTATACATGGGAATCGCAGAGGTAGATTGTTGGAATGGAAGGTGCACTCTCTCTCCCTGGAGGTATGCATCCTGTTTACCTAATTCCGGAAAGTATTAGGCGTAGGTTGTCAAGAGTCAAGGCTTGGGGGAGCCAAGAGTGTGCATTTGGAGTATTGTTTCAATATGATTGGATGTGACTCACTTTGATTTTAATTGTCGTTCCAATTATTCTAGATTTGGTCAGTTATGAGGCCCGCACAGTGAATGGTGGGTTGGAAGGAAGGGACCATTAAAAAACACTTCAAAGTCCTAACACATCTTTCCCTGACCCGGTTCTCATCCCCCTCGGAGCCTGACTGTAAAATGCAATAACTGTTTCAACATCTCCCCTGTTCTTCTGGCCCAGCATTACAGAGCCATAATGAAGTACATCAGTCAACCACCTCTCCTCCTCGACGTTCACATGCACAACCCGACAGTTACGGTCAGGAAGTGGATGGATTCTCTCTTGGCCTTTTTCCCCGGCCTGCAGGTACGCCACCTTCGTTTCTTGCTGCGTGCAAATCGGACGTCGCAATCCTCTGTAACAAATGCAACGCTTTGCACCAAATCCCGTGAAGCCCTCCTCGAGACGGTTCGATGACGTGATAAGGCTCCCCGTCAATTGCAAGGATTATTTTATTATAATAATAATCCTTGCATTTGATATAGCACTTTTCACGTCTTCTAGACGTCCCAAAGCGCTTATGATCATTAATGTAGAACACTTGCACCTATTCCTTCTGCTGGGGGATGAGGTATACTTAATAGAAACCTGTTACTTTTTGTTTCCAGGTGTTAAAAGGCGACTTGCGGCCGGCGATAGAAACCCACGAGATGTTATATCAGGTCACTCAGAGACACAAGTTTCTGCCTGAGGTAAGGAAATAAGCAAATGTTAAGCAGGTGAAATCCTTCTCGAGTTCAAACTCCAGGCAGCTCAAAGCCTCCTTTAACACTATCCATCATTTCAAAGGTTTTTTGGCGATTTCATTCCGCCAAAGCGTTGCTGGCGTGTGACGCGCTTAGTGTTCTCGCTCATGTCACGGTAAATCAATTGGCTGGTGCTGGCGGGTGCCTGGAACACACCGATCATCTGCCGCGGTGCTGCATTGATAATGGAATGGGGTCGAGTTCAATGGCAATTTACTGTTTTCAGCGACTTTTGTGATCAGGTTTATCTTGTTCCAAAGACAGCAGTTCTGCAGTGAGAGAGATATGTTCAGTGATGTTGAACTGGCCAGTCTGCTGCGTGTGTTCTATGTATAAATGCTGCATTGAGGTTCCCACCTGTTCGTGTTGAGGACAGTGATTTTGTCACCTCACTCCTCACCTCACCGCTGCTTTTTTCAGGAGAGTGTATTCACAGCGGAGGAACGGAGGCAGAACCTTTGGTGTGAATACTGTAGTAATGTAACTTTTTAATTGATTCGATGTAACTTCTGAATGCCGTCTCTTTCGAACAGAATACAGATTATAATTTCCTTTTATTTTTTTCATTTATATATATAAAAGGCTTTCACCACTGATTTTGCGGTTCACTGGGCTCAGCATCCTTTGAGACCAGAGTTCATCGAAAGCACTTATTTCCTTTACAAGGTTAGTGCGTTTCACTGTTACAATATTATATTATTATACTATCATAATAATTTGGTCACTCAATCCACGACTGTTTGTGGGACGTTGCTGTGCGCAATTGGCTGCCGCGTTTTGCCCACAAAATATACAGTCAATACACTTTACACTGTATTACTTGCAGTGCTTTGAGACAGTGATAAGGCGCTGTATCAAATGCAAGTAATATTTATTATAATAAATGTTAATGTAAGAAACACTATTGTGGGGCAGCTATGCTTTATGTGTGTATATAGACAGAGGTGTAAGTGTGTGTGTGTGTGTGTGTCTGTGTGTGTGTAACATGTTTCACACAGGTGGCTGAGCACCTAAGCTGAGGGAGGAGGGATAGAAGATGACTGAAAATGTACTCAAAAAGATAAGGTGTGTTTGTGTGTCGGGGGGACAGGCGTAGACAGGTTGGAAGCTTGCCCGCTGATGGTGACCGGATAGATAGGGGAACAATAAAGCAGGCTGGTATTGGGTTAGTTTCACCATTGCTCCCTGACAAGCAGATGGGATTCTTTTCATTGCAACAAAGAAATGGCCCTTTCTTGGGCAGACTTTGCTTTTCATTCAGAGAGGAACCTGCAGTCTAAGCTGCTGAGCTGGCCTTCCTATCGCTTTATCTAATGGGCCAATTGTGCTGCTTTAGATGGTATCTGAGATAGCTATGCTCGTTCCAAACCATCTCATGTTACATTGCCTTTGCAACAACATGTGTGTAGTGTAGCTCAGGTACTGACTGACTCACTTGTTATTGCCAAAGGCTACCAAAGATCCCTATTACCTGCGCGTTGGCAAGTCGGTGGTGGACGGTTTGAACCAGTATGCCCGGGTGCCTTGTGGCTTTGCTGCCGTCCGAGATGTCCGAACCGGTCACCACGAGGACAGGTAAGGAACAGATGGAGACTCACTATTCTCAGCCCATTAACCATCAGCTCGGGGCGGTGCCAGCCAGGGCAGCCTGACCCAGTGCAGAGCTGCTTTAAGGCCAGGTTTGCTTCAAATCTCTTAAGCATATTTTGTAGATAATTCATAAACTGGGTTCAGGATGACGCAGACCCTTTGGTCCACTTGATCTCATCCTTTCAGTAATTCCAGCTTTATGGAGTCCCGTAGCATAATGGGTAGCGTGCTCACCTCGCAAGCGAGAGGACCCAGGTTCGATTCCCGAGTGTGGCAAAACCTTAGGCAAGTTTTCTTACTCCACGCGCCTTTTGTGGGGGAAAAAAAATTTAATCCACGATTGTTGGACACTGCTCTGTGCAATTGGCTACCTCCTCTGGCCCACAAAATACACAGTCACTACACTTTACAAATATATTTTATGAACCACATTATTATTATTAAAACGCAGTGATTGTTTCTGTGCTCGGTTGTTAAGCTGTGATGTTGTTGTTATTTCTCTCCAGGATGGATTCCTTCTTTCTTGCTGAGATGTTTAAGTATCTCTATCTCCTCTTTGCTGAAAAGAACGAGCTGCCCTTTAACATTGACGACTATGTCTTCACCACAGAAGCTCACCTCCTGCCTCTCACATTAGCCACGATCTGTCGCTCATGTAACACAAACACTACGGTAAGTTTTTACACAACTTTTTTTCCACAGAATCATTCCGATATTGGTGGTAAATTTGTTGCTTGGCAAATGTTTGGTGAGTGGATGGGCGAGCTTTCAGCTCCTCTCTAGTAGTTAAAAGTTCTCTCGCTACACTAAAATTACCTGATTCTGTTTCCCCCTTTCTTTCCTCCTCTTTCCCGCTCCTCCCTCTTCCCCCTATCACCCCCCACCCTCAGAGCACGGATTTGGAAAGCCAGGAAGAGGGCACCCTATCTCACACGTGCCCGAGTGTTCAAACCATGTTTCCTAATAACCCTTCCTACGCACAAGCCATCAGGGACACCTATAGAGATATGGTGGCTGACGCTGGCCCCCGAACATCTTCTATCAGGTATTTTGTACAATAATATAACAGAATCATAGACATTTACAGCACAGAAGGGAAGCTCAGTGATTCGTGGTATTGGTGGTAAATGCATTGCTTGGCAAATATTTAGTGGGTGGGTGAGCTTTCAGCTGTTCTGCCCCTCCCACACGAGCACCGGAACTCCCTCCTGGAGCCTCCCTCCCTCCTGGAGCCTCCCTCCCTCCTGGAGCCTCCCTCCCTCCTGGAGCTTCCCTCCCTCCTGGAGCCTCCCTCCCTCTATCCCCACTTTTAAAGCCTGTCATACGACTTGCCGGTAGTTTTGGGTTATCATTATTCTTTCCCACCCACCCATCTCCCGCCAGCCTCGTGAAGCACTTTGAGTCATCCTCCTGACATGAATAAGAGCTGAATAAATACAGGTTATGCTGCATTGTATTTCTGTTTGTAAAAGGTGTAATTAATGATAAGCTTTTCTATAAGTAAGTAAACTTTTGCACAAAGCACAGACACACACAATCTCCTCAGGCGCTTACACATTGTGCTTAATGCCTCCCTCCCCCCTCCCCTAATGTCCATCTTGTAAAGTGACATGTTTGTGTGTGGTGTTTGTGTATTACAGGGAGGAGTGCATGGAACCCACCCAGACTCCCGTCCTTGCTTCCCTTCAAACCAAGGACTTTGTTCCCAGCAGTACAGAACATGGGGATCTCCTGAAACAGATGGGGTTCACCTTAACATTGGGGGGCGATGGCAGCCTGCATTTAACCCACGTCCCTGACGAGGTGAGTGGCTGAGATGCGGCTGGGCAGCAGAGGAGGAATGGGGTCAGCCAGTCTGTCTTGCACAGGGTGGTCACAAAGTCCTGTTACTCCCTGCACTGTGTGCACTGACCAACAACTGAGACGTGGAAGAATGATACTAATCATATTCAGTACAAGTGTTTAACTGTATTTATGGACTGTCCAGAGGATCGGTGTATGTGTGCATGTGTGTGCGTGTGAGAGTGTGTGTGTGCATGTGTGTGAGTGTGTGTGTTTGTGAATGCGTGTGTGTGTTTGTGAGTGCGTGTGTGTGTGAATGTATGTGAGCGCCATCCTTTTCATGGCAGCACGGCCTGAACAGGTGGTGGAAGCAGATTCAATAATAACTTTGAAAAGGGAATTGGATAGATACTTGGAAAGAAAAAGATTGGCAAGGCTCTTGGGGAAAGCATGGGGGAGAGGGAACGGTTGGTAACTCTTTCACAGAGCTGGCACAGGCTCGATGGGCCTCCTTCTGTGCTGCAGGATTATATGATTCTATACCTTATCCCCTTAAACCCACATGAAGTCCTGAGCAATGGCCTCACTTGACGTGGTCAGGGTTTAGCCAAGTAGCAGCACTTAGAAGAAATCCACACCCAACTGCCTTTTCTCTCTCTGTTGGCTCACCCATGTCAGTGTGTCTTTCTCAGGCTTCGAACCCCCGAAGTGCTCAGCACAGCCTCAAGTTCATTGCGGAAATCATCGAGCTCGCCAAGACTCAGGGCAAGGAAGAGGCAGCCTCGCTGGCTGTGCAGATCGTGTCTCCCCCGTTTCTGGGGAGGGTGGTGCTGGCTGCTGGCCCGGCTCACTTTGGAATGGATCTTACCAAACAGGAACATGGGGTGAGCCACCAGATTTCGCAGCAGAAACGCAAACTGTTGTCTGTGTCTGTCTGTACAGGTTGCGGCCACGGTTGGGGATGTTGTGGATGGGGGGAGATGAACGGTGCTAGCCGTTGGGAGGGGTCCGAGACTGGATATAATTAATGGTATCACTTGGAGTCTCTCCACTTGTCTAGATGTGTAAGACTAAACCTTTGGGTACAGGATCTGCCCTGGTGCCCCATCCTAACATATTCCACCATTCCTGCCTTGTCGCCTAGTTGACTTGTATCTTCTTTGCAGGTGAAGGGGAGCCTGGCTAAAGCTGTTCCATTCAATGCCTGCCTGGACATAGCCAACCCAGCTGACATCAGGGGGAGAATTGTGCTGGCCCAGCGTGGGGACTGCATGTTCGCGGTCAAAGCCAGGAATTTACAGAAGGCTGGAGTGACCGGCGCTATCATTATTGGTGGGTGTCTGTCACCGTGTGATGCAGAGAGAGAGGATGTGGCCACTGTAAGCTTGCATTGCTTGGAATCATAATAGCAGTTTAATGTATGGCGACTGTGAATACTGAAACGTCTCTGAGCGCTTCCCAGGGAATCGCTGTTAATTGCATCCCAAAGTTAATAACAACAACGACAACAAATTACATTTGTACAGCAACACACACTGGGACCAACCCAGCATATCTCCGAGAAGGGGATGGGTAAAACCAGACGGGAGGGGTGGGGGTTTGGGGAAATGGATTGACCTGGAGTTTCATCCTTCCTTTCCAACCCTACAGATAATTTGGAAGAGAGTAGCAGCGATGCCTCCTTGCCTGTGTTTCAGATGGCTGGTGATGGGGAAAACACCAGTGAAATCGAAATCCCCCTGGTTTTCCTCTTCACCAAGGAAGGCAATGTCTTGCTCAAAGCTTTGAGGGAGCAGCAGAACGTGGATGTTCTACTGGTGGATAAATCCAAGCAGCTCGGACAAGGTCTGCAACACTCCATTCCACCAGCGGTTTCCGCTGGTCTCTCATCTCATCTCATCTGGGCTTGTGGTTTATACCGGGTCCTTCAAGTGGGTTAGCGTCTTGGAGCACTGAACAATGGCGGAGTCTGAAGCTGAGCTGGGGAGAAAAGGGAGGTGAACGTAGGCGCGGTCATAGAGGAAAGTCTTCAGGTGAAGTCTCAAGCCGGACAAAGACAGAAGAGGGGGAGGGGATTGAGGCACGGAGTTTCCAGAGGGTCGGGGCAAAATAGAGGCTGAAGAGGTTGGGAGGTGCTAGGCCATGAAGTGATTTGTAGGGGAGTGTGTGGATCTTGAAATCGTTCCATTCTGTCTGTATTGCTTTGAGTGGCTGTCGTTTTGGGTTTGTCTGTTGGGGTAGGAATATGTTTGGATGTTTGATCTCTCTTGTTCTGTTGGGATGTTGACTCCCATTATTATTTATTATTTTCCCCCTCCCTCTTCCCCTCCCTCAGAAGGTAAGAAAAAGGAAAGATCGATTGGGGAATTGAAGATCCACATCCATATTGACTCCAGTGAGGAACAAATGGCTCAGATGGAATTGGACATCAACACGGAGCGCGGTGGAAGCCATGGAGCAGGGCAGTCAGGGGAGGCTTTCCCGGAGGAGACCGTTCCCGGGGGGGAGACTTTCCCGGGGGGAGGGAGGGATGATGAGGAAGCTAGCAGGACCGATCCCCAGGGGAGTAGCGAGGGAGATCCCGACTCCGTGCCCCTCGATTGGAGGGAAGAGATGGAAGCGTTTGAGGAATTAAACTTGGACGAACTCTAAATCACTGGCTTCCAAAGACACCTCCTCCTGTCCTTAACCATGCAAAGTGTAGTGACTGTGCAGCTCGCCCTCAAAACGCACAGTCGCTACTCTTTACAGAATATTCCCGTGAAGCACTTTGAGGACTTTTCCTCCACACATGAAAGGCGCTGTACCAAATAGAAGGATTATTTTATCATCATTATTGCGTGTGGAGTCAGTTTGCAGGTACTCTGGGAAGCGCAGTCTGCTTCTGTTGATCGCGCATGGATTGATCCATCGTTCTCTGCCATCTCTCTGAACAAGAAAATCTAACTTAACTGAAGCGATTCAGGTTGCAAGCTCTGGTTTGGGGAAGAAACTATGTTTTTTTTGCACTGCCTTTGGTGGATGTAAGCGCTTATTTAAAAAGGAAGCATTGGGTTCTGGAGGTGATGGGTTTCCATATATTTTAAATATAGGAAGATTACATTGTGGTTCGAGTTTAACCAGTGATAGGAAAGCAATTTGGATGTGGCAAATAGTTTATAGCACACATGCTCTATCCTACGAAGTGCTTTTGAGACGTCCTCCCGGCGTGAAAGCCGCTGCATTAAAACACAAGGATCATTACTATTTTTCTGTCTGGAACTATCCTAGAGTCTCTCCGACTCCCCCGTTAAAGCACATCTTAAGATGTTTCTCTTTCAACCGTGTTTTTGGTCAACTTTGTCAAAGGGAGGGGAGGGGAAAAATAGAGTTGAATGGCTGAAGTATTACGAATTGTTTTTGTATATACAGGTGTATGTGTGTTTTAATACAGTAAACTCCTGATAACTCAACAGTCCAAGGGAAAGTAGCTCAGTGACTAGTTATCAGGAGCGGTGAGTTAGACATGTGTATTAATACATAAATAATTGCCATCCTGATATTGACAGCATGTTGGCTTAAGTGGTAGTGACACGTTAAGCCAGGGTCGAGTTATCAGACGTTTATTGTATTCCTACAATCCCAAGCTTTACTGTCTCTCAAAGTTTTGATTCCATATCCTTTGATCTTAGTTTGTAATTTAGTGTTGCTCACAAACTACACAGCCACTACACTTTACAGCAAGTCCTGTGAAGCACTTTGAGACGTGAGAGGTGCTATATCTTATGTAAATGTTGTTATTTGCTGAGAAAGCCTGACCTGGCATTTTGTACGTTTTTCTATTGCCATTCTATTCTGGGTTTAAGAAAATTGTGCCATTTATGAATGTTGGCAACATTCCTTGAGCACGAACCAGCTGATCCATCAGTGAATAAGTGACAAGTCTCACTGATGCTATTAATATCCAGTCACTACACTTGACACTAACTTCCTGTGAAGTCCTTTGAGATGTTTTGACAACGTGATAAAGCGCTGTGCCAAATGCAAGGATTATCATTGTTCTGTATTTCTCTCACTCGGCGTGAATAGAGAGGAAAGAATCTGAACCCACTGCTCAGGTCCCACTCACACTGCCTGTAGAGCACTTGAAATCGGTGTAAAGCGAGTGCTCTAACCACTGAGCTACAGGACTCCACGTGGTGTCCTGTAGCTCAGTGGTTAGAGCACTCGCTTTGCAAGCGAGAGACCTGAGTTCAATTCCAGGCAGAGGGTGAAACCTTGGGCAAGTTTCCTTACTCCACACAGAGCCTAATAATAATCCTCCAAAACCAAAAACAATAATAAATTGGTCATTTTCAATCTACGACTGTTTGTGGGACATTGCTGTGCGCAATTGGCTGCCGCGTTCGCCCACAAATATACAGTCAATTCACTTTACAGTGTGTTCTGTGAAGCGCTTTGGGACGTCCTCCCAACGTGAAAAACGCTATATCAAATGCAAGGTTTATTATTATTATTATAAACCGATTGCGGTGTGTGAATACGAGTGGCGTGACTTATTATCCACCCTCTCATTCTTCACCAGAATCAGGTTAGAGGTCACTGTACTTGAATTTACGGGCAATTCTACACTTTCAGTTTGCGCTTTTGGGTCCAATAACCTGCCAAAACTCACATGTGAATTATGACCACTTGTGGAGTCCTGTAGTGTAGTGGTTAGAGCACTCGGCTCGCAAGTGAGACGATCCGGGTTTGATTCCCGACCAGGGTGAATCTTAGGCAAGTTTGTTTCCTGCGCACGCACACACCTCTGTTTACCGAGCAGTGGGTAGGAACTCAGTTCTTAGTCAAATTGTAGAGTGAGAGAAAGAAGTCCTAATGGAAACTGTTGGAATTGTGCAATATATCTAATTGACATTAACTTATATATTTTTGATCTAGTATCGAGATTGATAGAGAACTGTACAAACTCTAGACGTACTGTGCCTTTATTGACTTTTATGTGGTGCGAATGGGCCAAGTAATCTTTGATATGGAACTGCGCAGTGCAGTGCGGGCCTTTTCTATAACTACTTACGTTTACATGCTTAAAATTGAATAGAGTCTTTGTTGATTTAAGAGAACGTGCCAACAATACAATGTGACGAGGCTGATGTTGACTTGTCTTGACTTGAAGTGTACGTGTTTTCTGGGCAATGCTGAAAGCACGGTGTAAAGTGAGCAACAGCTGCTGGGTTGCAGGTCTGAGACTTAAGGGGTTAACTTGATGAACACAGCTTTCAGAATCACCGGTCTCATGATCGGTGTTGGCCCAATATTACCGCAGTTTAACCCTGTGCTTACAGCATTGTGCAGAGCAGAGAACAGCCGTGGGTGAACATCGTTCAGTTGTGTTCCAACTTTGGTCGATTTTTCGTGGGAAAACGGCGAAGCTACAATTTGGGGCATTTCTTAACGGCATTCGAGCGTAAGGATCCCAAGAATCACAAATGGAGGTTTCCTTTCTCCAACGGGAATTCTATTTCCTCTGAGGGAATGCATTTAATGAACATTCCTGATTAGACACCGAACGACCCCACTTTACAGTAAATCCTGTGAAGCGCTTTTTTTGAGATTTCCTTCCGACGTGGAAGGCAGTGCGTCAAATCAAAGGCACGGTATAGCATTATTATTATAATTATCGTTGCTATTAGTCTGTCTCGCTGCCTTTGGCGGCATTTCAGAAACATCGAGGGAGCCTCAGCTTAGTTTTAAATGAACCAAAAGGTCTCCGAGGACACTCTGTCGTGCAGGCTCCGAAAAACGTTATGGATATCAAGTTCCGAGCGGGCAGCGGGGATCCCTTGCGGGTCGGTGCCGCGTGTGGAGTTTCCTTGTTTTGAGAGAAAAAAAAATATCCCGCAGCTACAATTGTAGATTGTGCTCCGAACTTTATGCCAAGCGGGAGCGTTTTGATCTCTGTTAAATGCAGGGTCAAGCTCTGGTGACTGCACATCGGGCGGGCGGGCGGGCGGGCGGGGAGTGGGCGCAGAGTTAAGGGAGCAATTTGGAGAAATTAACTCGAGAGTGTTTTGCCGGAAGGGTTTTGTCGCATTGATATATTCTGCCTCATGTTCCGCAAAAAGCCCCTTTGGGCTAAATAAACCGGACTGGAATTTCAAGAGGTTTGAGTCTGTAAAAATGTTTAATCGAGAGTCCCCTTTGGACGAAAGTCGAAGCCGAGATAATTTGTAAATTGGGTTCCAATGGACGCATTTCCAGTATATTGCAAAATATTTGACCGGTCACTGGATTCGCGGATTCGAGTGTTGTGATTGTTTTTGAGAGCAAAAAAGCGAAATGTTTTTTTTATATAAAACAGAATTTCGATTCAATTTCCTCGTTAAGTTGCAGGTGTGAAGCTGTTTGTTTTGAAAAGAATACATTTCCGCTGTTTTATTTGCAATCGTCACCCGACAGACGGACGGACCAACACAACCTCTGTCGAGGAGGACCTTTAAACTGAACCTCTGCTGTGCTTTTGTGACATTTATTTCGGGTTCTGATGAGTCTCCGCAATGCGTCTGCGGCAAGAAAGTCAACTACGGTGGTTTGGGGGGGGGGGGGTGTGGGGGGGTGTGGGGGGTGTGTTGTGGGGGGGGTGTGGGGGTGTATGTGTGGTGGGGGTGTGGGGGGGGGGTGGGGGGTGTGTGGGGGGTTGTGTGTGGGTGTATGTGTATGTGGGGGTGTGTGTGGGTGTATGTGTATGTGTGGGGGGGTGTGTGTGGGGGTGTGTGTGTGTGTGGGGGGTGGGGGTGTGTGGTGGGTGTGTGTGGGTGGGGGTGTGTGTGTGGGGGGGGTGTGGGGTGTATGTGTATGTGTGGGGGGGTGTGTGTGGGGGTGTGTGTGGGGGGGGGGTGTGGGGGGTGTGTGTGTGGGGGGGTGTGGGGGTGTGTGTGTGTGGGGGGGGGTGTGGGGTGTATGTGTATGTGTGGGGGTGTGTGGTGGGGGGTGTGTGTGGGGGGGGGGTGTGGGGGGGTGTGTGTGTGGGGGGTGTGTGTGTGTGGGGGGGGGGGTGTGGGTGTATGTGTTGTGGGGGGTGTGTGTGTGGGGGGGGGGGTGTGGGGGATAATAAGGGGTAATGTGTCCTTTACACTAAAACTGGGGCATTGTTGATGTATGTGACTTAGTTGGGGTGTTATGTACAGTATGTGTGCAATGGTCTGTGTGTGTATGTGTGTGTGGGTGTGTGGGGGGGGTGTGTGTGGGTGTGGTGTGGGGGGGGTGGGGGTGTGAGGGGTGGGGGTGTCTGTGTGTGGGTCTGTGTGTGTGTGGGGGTGTGTGGGTGGGGGCTGAGGGCAGGTGTGAGCCGGAACCCCAGTTGGGGGTCGGGCGGCTCCGGCCGGACGTGTGTTGGGGACGGGCCGGGCCCGGGGCGGAAGGGGCGGGGCCCGGGGCGGAAGGGGCGGGGCCGGCGCCATGTTCTCGGGGCTGCAGGAACTCGGCATCGCGAGCGGCGATGAACTGAAGGAAACTCTGACCAACTGCACCGAACCTCTGAAAGCCATCGATCAGTTCCAGGTGAGAGGGGGAGAGGGGGAGAGAGGGAGGGGGGGAGATGGGGGGGAGAGGGGGAGAGGGGGAGAGGGGAGGGGAGGGGGGGGAGAGGGGAGAGAGGGGGGAGAGGGGGGGGGGGAGGGGGGGGGAGGAGGGGAGAGGGGGGGGAGGGGGGAGAGGGGAGGGGGGGGAGGAGGGGGGTAGAGAGAAAGATGCGAGAGTGGGGAGAGATGGTGGAGGAGGAGGATGATGATGATGATGATGATGATGAAGGGGCTCCGTGACGAGCCGTCGGGAGGGCACGAGTTTGATCGCCTGTGTCGTGGTGACGAGAGGGGTCGAGGTCTCCGGAGCTCTCATTGTAATCACTGAAGCAGCACCGGGGGACGTGCGCTGTGTTGTATTTACGTCGCTTGTTCTCTGCTCGAAAGTTCAGGGGTACTTTTCACGTCCCGTATTTTAGCTCTGCGTTTCTTTTCCCATTTTCCCCCCCCACCACACCCCCCAGATCGAGAATGGAATCTTACTGCCGTCCCTGCAGTCGGCTCTGCCTTTCTTGGACCTGCACAGCATCCCGCGGCTCGAGTTCCACCAGTCCGTGTTTGACGAACTGCGAGAGAAGCTGCTGGATAAGGTCGCCACCATCGCATCCGAGGGAAAAGATGGAGAGAGGTAGAGCCGGGAGAGCAGGGGAGAGGGACGGAGTCGTAATGCAGCGTACGACGTCTGCGGGTCGAACGGATTTCAATCCCTTCCCAACGTTGCTCCAATGCACGTGATACAAACCCCCCCCCCCCGATCGCGTCGTCGAGACGTCTCAAAGCGCTTCACGGAATATACCGTAAAGTCAATTGACTGTGTATTTTGTGGACAAAACGCGGCTGCCGATTGCAGTGAGCGTCCCACAACCAACCAGTCGTGCATTGGGTTAATAATGATTATTATTATTATTGTTTTGAAGATACAACAAACTGGAAGATCTGTTGGGGAAATGCTTCCCACTGGTGAAAGTGCCGTCAATACAGCCGGTCGTTATGTGTGTAATGAAACACTTACCAAAGGTCAGTCATTCACGTTAACATTGTTTATGGTGCTGCAGTCAAACCAACATTCCCCCCCCCCAATGCAATGTTGTCTTTGCCCAGGGTAACACTCCTAACTACATGTCCACAGGTACCCGAAGAGAAGCTGAAGCTGGTGATGGCAGACAAGGATCTGTATAAAATCTGTGCCACTGAGGTCAAACGGCAGATCTGGCAGGACAACCAGGCGCTCTTTGGAGATGAGGTCTCGCCGCTGCTCAAGCAGTACATCGTTGAGAAGGAAAACGCCCTGTTCAGCAGTGACCTGTCAGTGCTGCACAACTTCTTCTCGGCCTCCCCCAAAGCCAGGCGCCAGGGAGAGGTAAGGACGGCTCGGAAAACACTCGTCACCAAAGCAAAGCCTGCCGCCCGCACACCGTCAGATCGAAGGGAATCCCTTCGAGTGCTGAATGTACTGCTCTCCTGTCAGTGAAAAGCTAAGGATTGTTGCCAGTAAATGCAATAAAAGTCACTTCGGCCGCCCTCCTAACCCCACCTTCCCTGCCCTCCACCCCCTCCTGATCCCTGATCCCAGCTCGGGTCCAAATCCCTGACTGTCCAACGCTTTGGGACGTCCTCCCGACATGAAAGGGGCTGCGTAAATCTCATGTGTTGTTGTTGTTGTCTAGGTTGTGCAGAAGTTAACCAACATGATTGGGAAAAACGTCAAGCTCTACGACATGGTTCTGCAGTTCCTGCGCACTCTGTTCCTGCGCACGAGGAACGTGCATTACTGCACCCTGCGGGCAGAGCTCCTGATGTCCCTGCACGACCTCGATATCAGCGAAATCTGTTCAGTCGACCCCTGTCACAAGGTACACCACCCCCTAACTGCACCAGTAAACGCGTTAACCTCAGTAAACCTCACATAAGTCGTATCAATTGGAACCACACTTTTAATATTGTGTAGAATATAAACTCTTGAACGATCGGGGCTTGGGCAGATGTACTGTTTAGGCAATGATCCAATTGATACAGATCAGACTGATGCGGGTTTTACTGTACAAACCCATTCTTTTAATGACTCTGAATATGAGATATCGCCAATCGCAATAAATGCCGTATTATACACGGCCACTTCAACTTCAGAGTGAGACGCCGTTGGCTGAGCTTCACCTTCTCACCACCTTTTCTCAGCTTGAGTGACAATAGTTGTTGTGGGGCTTCTTAACCATGCCAAGCAGCTCAGCGGGATCCCATCTCACCCCTATTAGAATCCGAGAGCCTCGAAACCAGATCGCCCCCGAATCTTCTCTGCCGCGCGGAAATCCCGCAGTTTTATTGTTGTGCCACTGGGTGACTTTGTGTGTCCTTTGCAGTTTACCTGGTGCCTGGACGCGTGTATTCGAGAGAGATTTGTGGATGCAAAGCGAGCCCGAGAGCTGCAGGGTTTCTTGGATGGAGTGAAGAAGGGACAGGAGCAGGTGCTCGGGTAAGTGTGTTCGTGGCAAACGCCGGTGATCAGCCTTTACAGCAGTGCTGTCTGGTTTTAATAATAATAATCATCCTCACATTTGATAGAGATCCTTATCGCATTATGGAGATTTATCAAAGCACTTCACACAAGATCTTATAAAGTGTAGTGACTGTATATTTTGTGGGTGAAACGGGGCAGCCAGTTACGCACAGCAGTGTCCCACAAACAGCCGTGGATTGAGTGACTAAAGTTTTTTTGTGGGGGGATTTGTGTTGGTGCTTAAAGCTCGGCTAACACTCGGGATCCTACTTACTGTTAGGTAAACAGAGACGTGTGTGTGCAGTAAGGAAACTTGCCTAATATTTCACCTTCTCCCCCCCACCCCACCGGGAATCGAACCGGGTCCTCTCACTTGCGCGCGAACCACTGCACTACGAGATGTTTGGGATTCTGCCAGCGTGCTTGAGGTTTTTTTTTTCCGTTGCTAACGTTCTGCCTCTTTCCAGCGACCTCTCGATGATACTCTGCGATCCCTTTGCGATAAACACTCTGGCCCTGAGCACTGTGAAGAACCTGCAGGAGCTGGTCAGCCAGGATGCGTTGCCTCGGGTAGGTACCAACAGCCGCTGGTTCAGATCAGGAGTGGCTTACACCGCGTCTTCTGTGTAAAACGCACTGCTGCATGTTGAAAAAAATCATCCTGTCAGAAACTGTAGCCCTCCGTTTCTGTGTATTCCCCTACATTTATGTTTTCTCTTGTTGCGCACTGGAGGTAATAATAATAATAATCCTTGCTTTTGTTCCAGCGCCTTATGTCGTTGAGGCATCTCAAAGCGCTTCACAGGATATACTGTAGAGTAAATTGACTGTATATTTCCTGTTGTTAAGTTAGCTCAGGATCTGCGTGTGGTGCTTAAAACTCTTGATTGTGGATTTGGACAGGACAGTGCTGACCTCCTCCTCCTGCTGCGAATGCTCTCACTTGGACAAGGAGCCTGGGATATGATTGACAGCCAGGTGTTCAAGGAGCCCAAACCAGTACGTGAGCAAAGCTTTGCCTTTTATGTGTGGAATTAGGTTGTGCAACGCGATAAATTGTTTGTTTGTATTAGTCGTGACCGACCGATCTCACTTCCAGTCCATTGTGTGACATCTTACGTCCTGTTTTAAGATTGTTTTTTTTCTTTGTTCCTCTGTTTGATGTTTTTAAACAGTCTGTTTCCCAACAAATAAACAATGGCTTGCAATTTTTATGATGATTTTTCAAGAATAAAAAAAGCTTGTGGTTCGTGGCATTGACACGAATCTTTACCTTTGTGCGCTGAGCACATGGAGTGATGTTGTGCTGTTTTCTGTAGGAGATCGAACTGACTACCAGGTTCCTGCCCAACCTGATGGCCTTCGTGGTGGATGATCACACTTTCAACGTGGACCAAAAGTTGCCGAGCGAGGAGAAGGTCGCCCTCGTGTACCCCACCACCCTGCCCGAGTCCTTCCTCAAGTACGTCAACAGTGAGAAGTTTGCATGTTATTTCCTTCTATATAAGCGCTCCGAGACCCTACCCCAAGTGGAGGGAGCTATATAAGTGCAAGGTGGTGGTGGTGTCGAGAGATCACTGCCCTGTCCTATCCCCGTACTCCTTCCAGCCTTTATCTTTCATGTACCCATTTACTCCCTTCTTGAAACCCACAATGGGCGCTGACTCTACCACCTTACTTGGCAGGGCATTCCACATCCCAACAACCTGTCAGCAATATTCTAGGTCACGTACGCAAAGTGTCTGTTACAGAGTAAGGCTGTTAATTCTCCACTCTTGCCAGGTTCGTCCAGGAGAATCGGGTGGCCTGTGAAATCGTGCTTTATTACGTGCTACACATCACTAAACAGAGGAACAAAAATGCCATCCTCCGTTTGCTCCCTGCTTTGGGTGAGTACGAGAGTTGTGTGCAGTTGTGATATGGTTTTCCTTTAAGCCGTGTGTTTGTACAGGATTGCATTATACAGTAAAAGAAGCGAGTTTCTATCCACCGTTCATTGTTTGTAGCTGCTTAAAATGGCACCCGGCAGCTTTTGTGGGTTAATATAACCCAATGCTAACTGCTAACTGCATCATAGTTAATATCACCATGACACTGATGTCCTGATGGGATTGTCCAGGTGACACATTTATTTAACATTATTTCATTCTCTGATGTCTCCAGTGCCCCATTCAATTAACCTGCTGGCTGGGCTACCCTTGTTTAAGATTTTAATTTGACTCATACCATGAAAAGTTATCACTCTTAGATTAGCACAGTGTTTGGGATTGAGGGAATCGTGCTAGTGGGTTTGACTGGCCAGGATATCAAATGGTGAGTATGTGTGTGTGTGTGTTTCTCTTCGTTGCAGCTGAGACCCACGGTGACATGGCATCCAGCGACATTTTCTTGCACCTGTTCACCAGCCACCTGACGTTGCTCACGGAAGAGTTCGCTTCAGAGGAGTTCTGCACCACGCTGTTCGGATTCTTCCTTACATCGATTTCCAGGTGAGAAACATTGGCTTGTAATTGCAATCAAAAACAAAGCCTCAATAAATCACTCTGGTGCTCTTGTGATGACTTGTTACCTTCTCAAATGACACAGGGCTTCACCGGTGCTCTGAACAATCGGATTCCTGCACAGAAACCTTTCTTAAGGATCGTCAGAGAGATAGTTCAGGCTCGAGTTCAGGGTTCTTTAAATTCTTGATTTTAAGGTCCCGGTCGGTGTCTTCTTTTCTAGTAAAGAGAACGTACACAGACATGTCCTTCGGCTGCTGCTCCATCTTCACCTCAAAGTGGTCCAGTCAAAGATGGTTTTGCTGCTAAAGACACTGGAACCTGGCAAACAGGTAGGGAATATCCATTTCTATTGAGCATGTGACTGATGTAAAAATAAGTGCATTTGTCAGCAATTGAAGGGAAGCTATGCTTCCTAAAAAGCTGATAATAATAATAATAATGTTTGTAATAATAATCTTGGGAGTCCTGTAGCTCAGTGGTTAGAGTACTCACTTTGCAAGCGAGATATCTGGGTTCAATTCCAGGCCGGGCGAAACTTGGGCAAGTTTCCTTACTCCACACTCCTAATAATAATCCCTCCAAAACAAAACAATAATAAATTTTCAACCCACGACTGTCTGTGGGACGCTGTTGTGCGCAATTGGCTGCCGCGTTTCGCCCACAAATATACAGTCAATTCACTTTACAGTCTATTCTGTGAAGCGCTTTGAGACGTCGAGAAGACTTGAAAAGCGCTATATCAAACGCAAGGATTATTATTGTATTTAATACAATGCCTACAACGTTGAAATGTCTCGAAGTTTTTCGCGAGGGATTGCTGTAATTGCAGCCACTGTGTATTTGGAGGAAAAAACGTCCAAGTGTCTGTTAATCACGTGTGTCCGGCAGCGAAGCTGACTGACTAACTAACTGCCTTTGTGCAGAGCACTGAGGCAGTGAAGGAGCTGTACACCCAACTCACTGAGAAGATGGAGGTGGTGAAGCAGAGCCCTGTACAAACGGGGGAAACGCCACCTCTGGACCTGCCTGTGAGGACAGTCACTGCACCCACCACCACCACCACCACCACCACCGCCTGAGAGCTGGAGCCCTTGTGCCAACACCTATTGCCAGGTTCACTGGCCCTTGTTTTGGAGTGGATCTCTGAGCGCACGGAAGTCACATCTACAGCTCTTTCCTTGTTAAACCTATAGAAGTTCAAAGAGTTGAAGTCCTGATAAAATCCACATTTTTATTGGCAGCATTTATTCTATTTAGCTTCCCCTCCTCTTTTCTCCTTCCCCCCCCCAAAAAAAAAAACAATTGCACACAACAGTGCCCCACAAATAGCCATGAAACAAATTACCAATTTTTTTTATTTGGGGGATTGTTAGAACTTTTTTATTTAGGAAGTTTTATCGGCAAGTTCAGGACTTTTGATTTTTTTTTAACCCGGTTTTACCAAGGAAACCGTTGCCTTTAGTGTGATCCAAAGTAGTAAAGAGTGGCGGGGGGGGGGGTTGAATATTGTATTTTGTACTGTATTACAGTTACTTAAATGTTTAAAAACTATGTTTTTGTTTCAATAAGGCCAACTGGAAATTTCAGTCTCAGCTCATTTCTTATTTAATGTGCAATTTAAAAAGGTGGCCATTTAAAATGATGTATCACTTTTTTTTAATGAAAAAAAATAAAAGTTTGAAATATGTACATGTTTGACTTGAACTCACTATTTGTAACGTACTTAAGAGTTGATTGTTCATTTAAGAAGGGAATAGTTTTACTTAGCACGGTGCACAAATTCTTCCCATTATCTCCTTATCTCCCCACTTTGCCCTCAGGTTTATCCCGATTAATGTCTTAACTTGAATAACACTTTAAACAGGTTGATGGGCATTTTCTCCCCCAGATACACTTATCATTTAAATGTTCATTTGGTGACAATAGATAAATGTATGATTATATATAATCAAAAATACTTTCCCGGTCAGCACAGTGCCAATACAGTCTGTTCAAATAAAATGAGTTAAAAGTCCTTTCGGTTTAAATTTTTTCAAGAGAAGAATAGGTTACATACAGCGCTGCTCTGTTTTTTTTTAAAAAAATATTTGAGGTTTGTGTGGCGTTCTCTTTTGTCAAGTGTGTTTTGTTGATGTTACTGGTGGTAGCTGACAAGTCAAACCCACTGTTGGGCAAGTGGTTCTGTTTGGAGACGTACAAACACGCACCAGAGCAATGAGTTGCTTCCTGTGCTGCAGAAACCAGTGGATTGAAGAACCAAACGAGAAAATCTGGAATCCTACAATTGCACTGAAATAGACGGGACATGAGAAAGGAATTGGAGAATTGGGAGTCTGAGGACTTCTCTGTCTAAGTAATTCAAGTCCTCCACGCCGGTTGGAAAATGTCATTCACAGCCCTTGGAAATCGGTGTGTAACTCTTCTCCGAAGCCATGGCCTTTAAAAACTGCTATCCTCTTCGTCCTCATCTTCTGTAAGCATTATCTTGGGAATGTCTGGAGGCACATCTTTCCTGGGAAACGTGGCCCTGAAGGACAAGGAGATGTTCAGTATATTGCCTGTAAAATATGTATTGTCTTTGGGGGACAAATCTTCATCACTGGCTTCTAAATAGCCCAACTCCTCAGTCCTGCTCCACTCACAGTAATCGTACTCCTGCGTGTCAGCGCTTGCAGTCACACCGTTTGTTACTTTGCTATAGCGGTGACTTTTACCAGCCATTTTGCGCCTTGAGGTGCCATTAGGCATGTCTTGCGAGCCCTCGATCCCAGCCAGAGTTCTCACTGTTGTCTTATTCGAAGAGAGGCTTGATGAACTGGGCGGTCGGCAGTGGGACTGCAGATATAATGCCTCGTTGGAGCTCTGCGATCCTCCCAAATTCGACTGCCGAAAAGTTTCCTTGAAAAAGGAATTGTCCATGCTGCTCTCTGGAGTGAACTGCAGGTCAAGTTTTGGGATGAAAATGGCGTCTCCGACGTCCTCTTCAGTAGATTCGTGGTCAAACATAATCGGTGATTTGCTGTCAGGAACCTTCGCATACTTGTCCAATGAGTCTGCCCGTGAAATAGCACCATCGCGATTCACATCTGAAGTGCACTGTTCACCTTGCAATTGGCCCATCCATGTTGGGCATGCATCCTTATCTCCATCATTAAACCAGGTGTTTTGATGGTGTCCGAAGCTCCATTCCGGTTCTACGAACCACTGCTGGTGGACATTTACCTTTGCCTCTGGTGGTCTGAAATCTGAGCAGTGCAACCAACCGTCCCTGACATCATCTTTGTTGTGGGAAAACTGTTCGCCTTCATGGTCGCTTTCATCTGTGTCCTTCCACTGTTCTTGAGAAGACTTCAGGTTCTGGTAAAACAATCCCTTCTTGTCTTCCAGAACATTGGAATCAAAGTCCATCGTCGGGATTTTTATAACTGAAAGCCGTTTGGGGGGTTCTCTCGCTGTCTCGACAGCCCGTTTGCTGTGGAGACCCAAGTCATTGACCTGATAGACCAGTAAGTCCATCACTGAGAGTTGTTCCTCTTCCATTCTGCAATTGGACAGATTGCCAGTGAGAGACTGATTTCTGTTGAAGAAAGTAAGGGGAAAATGTGTTGGCTACACTTGATCTGGGTGGATATTTCCATCTCCGTATGAGATGCACTGCTCAGGTTGTAATTACAATAGTATTTGCATGAAAATCTGTGCCACCGTTTTATTAAAATGATTGCCTGAGACCAGCAGAAGATCGAGCCTCTGCCACGACACTCTTTGCCTTTTCAACCTGAGTTTCTCGGAAGTCTATGTTTACCTGATTGTGTTCTGCTGCTTCTGAGGTAGAGACTTGAGTGTCATGTGTTGGTCAGATTTGCTTTTGCTCTTGGCCGAGCTATTTGGCGTGCTGGAGCACTGTAGTTGGTGACTGATTTTTAACCAATTGTGACTAATCGCAGGTGAAGCCATCTCTAAGGAATTCAGTTGGGGAAATAGTTGGTGCAACATTAGAATAGCAAGTACAAGAACAATTTTGTTTCATATACAGGACAAAAAANGAGCATTGCATAGCGCTAAACAGTGTTAAAGCAAACTACAACAATAACATCTGGCATTTATACAGTGCCCTTTGCAGGGCAGCATCTCAAGAGTGCTTATTATAAGTGAATATAACTTAATATGTGCGCATTAAGGCAATCAAAAGGATATAGAGGGGATGTGTGACCCACATCTGTAAGGGTTAAACAATTATGGTATTGTTTGATTTTTGTGGTCTTATTTTCAAAAGGTTTGAGCTACATGAGCTGAGGTGCAAGAGCGAGTTTCTGGGTCTTCACTGTGAGATCAAGCGCTCAGTCTCACCTTGTCGAGGACTGAAGCCCAGATGCCTGAGTCGACCCCCAGCACTCAATGGATTGATTATCTTCAGCCTTGAATAAACGGACAGAGTCAACCACTTTTCCATAGCACATAGGACTACGGCAGTCTGCCATAGTAACTACTGCATGTTACAGGGACTGGTTTGTATTGATTCCCGACAGGTAAAAAAATAATAAAGTAACGATTATTTGATAATGGCACAAATAATAATTCTTTCATTTTGTCTAATAATAATAAACCTTGCATTTGATATAGCGCTTTATCACATCGTTGAGACGCCTCAAAGCGGGATTTACTGTGTAATGACAGTATTTTTGGGCAAAAATAATTTAACCCGCAACACGCACTTGTGTTATTGTGGGTTAAATCTAGCTGGTACCTCTTCCTGTTCTGGTACCCCATGCCTGAATCTAGATTAATTTGGGTCAGCAGTTTATGTCTGAAGTGCCTCCTGATGCCGTCTTGGTTCAGTATGTCACCATCGATGATCTGGGTCTTTGAGAGATGAAACAAAAGTAAGTTGTTTGTTGATTTATTGAATACTATATTGCCCATCGCAGCAGCAATGAACCAATATATATTCCAAGTAAAGCATCTCAAATAGAATCTCAACAAAGAAACTTCTTTAAAGAAAAGTTATATTTAAAGGTAAAACATGGATGTTTCCTGTTATATTGTTTTCTCTGAGTGTCTGCGAGGTTTGATCTTAAATAGGAGTTAATTTTATCTCCCTGTTGCTCGGTCCCATTTGTCTCCTCAACGGTCAGCCACAATAAAGCCCCAGCAAGCAAAACAGGCGAGTTTCCTTCGCAGGATTTCAAAGGAAAAAAAATCTCGGCCTTCCCCTTTGATCAGTAAATCCAAGACATTTTAATTAGCCACAGCATAACAACAACAACAATTACATTTGTATCGCGCCTTTCACGTCGGGAGAACCACCCAAGGCGGTGACAAACCTGCCTTGCAGCCTATTCAGTAGAATACACATCTATTGATCGACTCACAATACAGTTATATTACGTACACTATGAGCGTTTGCAGACTGCAGAGATGATGGCGCCCTTTGGCTTGTACACACATTGACCTTCTTCACCTTTGTGTGATTCCTCATCTGAGTTGCGAGTAAATTTGCTGTTTTTCCTGATACGTTCAAAGGATCTACACCACTGGAACTTTGGCTACTTTGACAAAGAGAAAGAGAAGAGTAAAGCAACTACTTTATCAGCAGCTTTTCTCTTAAGAAAATTCACCGTAGCACAACATTCAGCTGTGGGTCTGGCTGAGTCGGTCGGGCCCTTGTCTCTGAGTTGAATTGGTTGTGAATTCAAGCCCCTCGTCGGGACTTTGAACTCACTTGGTAGACTGGGCTGACAGTGCTGAGGGGAAGTGCTGCATTGTCAGAGATGGCATCCTTCGGATGAGACATTAACGCAGTCTGCCCGTTCGGAAGATGCTAAAGATCCCTCGCGCTATTTGAAAAAAGAAGGGAGTTTCACCTGGTGTCCTGGCCAACAATCCTCCAGATAGAATTGGTCATTCACCACATGGCCGTTCGTGGGAAATTGCTATACGCAAATTGACTGTGTTTGTCCACAAAATGGGCAGTCAGTACACTTCACAGTAAAATCCCGCAAAGTGCTTTGAGCCGTACTCCTGGATCAGAAAACTTAATTTGGAAACCAATCCTCCTCTGCTCTTGAAGGGAAAACGCTTGTAAATTAAGACTGAGCTTAACAACTTTCCACAATTTGGTTATCTTAGTATTTAAACTTACAAATGGTCATAAAAGGCTAAGACTATGTGGAATTTCAGGCCTCTAATTCCCACTGCATTAGAATTCCGAAACGCGTTGAAACTACATCCCAAGAAAGGGTACTATAATAATAGCCTTTATATTTTCCTCTTCAGACAAAGTACCTTTGAGGCAAGCGATACAAGGCGGGGGTGACTTCAATAAAGTGATCACCATTTTGCATGAACATAATTGCTTGACTTTTAAGACAAAGTTTTAAAACTTTCAAATTCGTAAAAAGTCCAAGAGATCTCGAAACTTTTGATAAGGACGCTTTACTACGCCTTCAATCAATGTTCGCCAGCGATCTTCCCTGTAAACGTGAGCTGGCCTTGTCTTCAATCAAATGAGACCTTAATGTCTCTACCGCAGGGCACTTTAATCTCCAGCCAAGAACACACTCAAATGAGTGTATTTATTTCCCTTCTTTTTTGGCACCAGGGGAAGTTAATGATGAAACATAAACTGACAAAGGGGTGTTTGAGGAGAAGGAGAAAATAAGACGCATCAAGCGAAACTTGCTTTACCTCTTTGTGCATCTTAATCTTTGGCCTCTGAGTGCAGTGTCCTGTTTCAGACCTCTGATGTAACTCTCGGATTCAAACTGTGTTGGTTGACAGAACTCAGCCTTTGGTATTTTGATCTGGAAGCAAGAAAGTCTGTCATTTAGGGAAGTGAGTGACAAAACCCCATCGGAAAAGTGACCCACGGAAAAGGTAAGCTCATCATTTATCCCCACCTTCCCCTCCCTCCCCAATGCCTAATGTGCTGTTGTAATCATTCCATGGACCAACTATGTAGACTTGGCTTCATCGATTGAAGATCTACGACACAATCCCTTTAGTAACGGTGTCTGCAACAGTGGACATTACATTCCTAAATAAGACCAAATGGACTTATACTTTAGGGGCATTTTGAGAACATTCTCTAATCCTTTCTCTGCCCCCCATTCCTTCCTTGCCCCCTCTCTCACCTCGGTTTTCACTGCAATCCCTGCAGATATCAGAAAGATGGGGGTTGGGGGATGGTGGGCAGTGTTGTTTGATCGCAGCAGAGTTACAACAGGAGAACATCGATAAAACACTTGGTGCCCTATTACAAAAAATTGGCTCAACATTATGCAGATAAATCATCCTGACACTAAACTGGGTCACTATGCTTTTTCGAAGCAAATGTAAAATATGCTGGCATATTACTAACTCAGCAAAACAGTCAGAAATAAATTGTCTAACTAACTCCCTAGCCCCTATGACCGCTTCCCCAGTCCAGCTCTCATCTGTTTTGTTTTTAAATCGCCGCGTCCCACTTTATTTTAAATAGCGAGATTTAAGTTCAACATCGTTGATCACAGCTCTGATTTGCAAAGCCTGACCAGATTGACCTTGGAAGTTTGCCCGCAGGAAGCTTGGCAGACAATGCTGCCTAATGACAGGCCATGCGGTTTTAGCTGGTTAATCTCCACCCCTGGTCGCACACACTATGTTCCCCAAGCCTTGGCTCTCACCAACCCGCACCTCGTAATCTCCGGTATTAGATAAAACAGGGGTGCATCACTCCAGCTGGAGATTGCACATCTCATTCCAGTCAACCGGAAAATTTCCATGCGTCGGTGGTGCAAGTATGTGGAACTCATTGTGATCTGGGGATGTGTCAGACACCCGGCTAACAAAAAAAATGGCACCAATGGGAAGGGGAAACGTCCAGGAATGGTGTACCAAAGTTCAAATTTTAAAAAAAATTAATTATAAAATTGTTTTTATTCCCCACTTAAATAATTCACGATGTAAATTAGGCAAACCTGAAGCAGGTTTCCTTACTCCACACTGTTAAGCTTGCAGTAAGTAGGTAGTAGGATTAGGGGATCACTTTCCGGGTGTAATAATCCCTCAAAAAAATCCACGGTTGTTTGTGGGACACTGCACTGCTGTGCGCAATTGGCTGCCACGTTAGGGTTAGGGTTAGCAAAATACACACTACACAATCCACTTTACAATATATCCTGGAAAGCGCTTTGAGATATCTCAACGACTTGATAAGGCGCTATATCAAATACAAGGATTATTATTATAATTAGTTAAAATAATGCCTTGTCCGAGTGTGGGAAATGAATTACTTACAATGATTTTGTTGTGGGTGTGGGGAGCTGCAGATTTATCATGTTTCCGTGGTTTACTGTTGAAACTCTTCAAGGAAGTTTGTAGGTCTGAATTGTTTGTTTTCTCTAAGCAGGAGTTTCTGAACTCTTTCTCAGATTGGATCTGACGCTTGGATTTTTTCCATAAATGAACACTGACTTTCCTATTTATTTTCTAACAAAACGTTACAGTGAAACGTCAGTATTGATCATTCATGGCACTGTGGTTTTTGTGGGTTGTTTGGGGCATGGTTAAAGGAAAAACAGAGAGGAGACAGACCGAAGGGTAGTTAAAGATATAGAAATGCAGAGATGGGGGAAAACAGATCAAGAAAACGGGAGAGAAAAACAGACCAAGACTAAAATCAAGGGGAGAAATTCCATGTGGGACTCGATTTTTATTTTAGATTTTTATTTTTAATTTTAGATTGCGTTTCGCCCACAAAATATACAGTCAGTCCACTTTACAGCATATCCTGTGAAGCGCTTTGAGACTTCTCGACGACATGATAAGGCGCTGGGTGTCAAATGCCAGGATTATTATTATGATTTACTAATGCTAATATTCTTAGCATTTCAAAGCATTTTGTTAAATTCACTCTTAACCTGGAAGCCAGTCTCCCCTCTGTAGTTAGTTCTTAAAATAATACAGAAAAAAACCCAGCTTAAATTATGCCTTTATTTAAGAAATTGCCAAATTCTGGCTGCTAAATGCTTAGTAAGGAAACAGAGCAAATTTGGAGCCAGGTGTGATTTCTATCCTTCAAAGAGAGAGAGAGAGGGAGAGAGACGGAGAGAAACCTGAAACAAACCAAGCAGTGCACTGAGCAAATTGATTCTAAGAGAGGAAGATGTATACAGCATTTGAAAAGGAGCAATTGATTAAAAGCCGGGAAGCTAAAAAGATTATTTGGTGATAATCTGACAGCAGTGATTTGATAGCAGGCAGTTAGATTCAGACGTCTTTTTTTTTTACCCCCTTAGAAGCTGGTGACTGTAGATACTCCTGGTTCACATCAGTAATAGTTGCCATTGAGACGGACAGACTCTCGCTGCTATGTCCTGTCCTGTCTGTCAGGTTATGACTCTACTGCCTTGTGAGCAACTTGCGGCAAAAGCAGTTTAAACCTGTAGCATCTCTGGTTACCATGGACTCAGCCTCAGGAAAGCAAGTGCGGAACATTCCCCGCCACACAATGGGTAGATCACAGAGCTGGTGATCAGAGCGTAGGTTCCAAATTTGTTTGAAGCCATCAGTTAACTCGGCCACTTTGACTCTTAAAACCACGACTTGTAAAGACAGCAACGTCCACGTCATAAATCTTAGCATTTTCACCTCATCAGCTTTCACTGTTTCTGACGATTCCTGAAATGGGGTTTGAACCCACATTAATGTTTAATTACATTAATCAAGTGCAATGAAATGGCTTGTTTAAATTGTGCAGTGGTGAGGATAATAATAATTGATTATAAGCCTTGCATTTGATATAGCGCCTAATCATGTCGTTGAGACGTCTCAAAGTGCTTCACGGAATAGATCGTGAAGTGGAGTGACTGTATTTTGTGGGACATCGGCCAAAAGTGATGAGATGTGAGAGGTTAAGTGTGTGTCACTGACAGATTAGAAACGTACCTCCACTAGTTAGTTCAGAATCAGAAAATATGAACCATACAACAACAACTTGCATTGACACAGTGCCCCTTTACGTAGGGTAGCAGCTCGTGGAGTTTAAATAGAAGTGCAGTGAATTAGAGACTGTATTTACAATTTTTTTTCCAAATGCTGCAAGAAATGAGAGCAAATCGAAATGCAAGTGAGATTTTTCCCCAGAGATCTCCAGTCAGTGTAAGACCTTGGCATTAAATCAGAGACCGTCTAAAACATTTGGATATTTTGGTAATAACATTTCATGGAAGATATGTGTGTGAGTGTGGGTGGGGGTGTGTGGGGGGGGGTGTCACGGAGACATGACGTATGATATGCCTGCAGGAGTGTGATTAACGTTAAAGCCTTTTTACGTTGTGTGTGTGTGTGTCTGAATTTCATTGCTACGGGTTTTGTATCCTCACAACAGCAGCTGTTTCCATGGAGACACATTTCATCCTTTCATCCTCCTCACTGCAAGGAGGACCAATTGGCTGTTGATTAAACCCAGCAAATTGCTCTAAATATCCCAGCACGCACGCCTGCTATTGAACCAGCCCAGTCCCAATCCAGCCCTGGATTCAAAGCCCCTCTTCGTATTATTATTTTTTTTGCAAAATATTTTGTGTTTTCAGGTGCATGTTAAGAAATTCTGCATTTTATCTGCACACTGACACACGCCTCCCCTTTATATTGCAATTACTCAAGGGATGTAATCCAACCACACATGCATTAAGCATAACTAAAACGCACACAACGATATGCAGATCTGACTCGACAGTGTTTTGTGGCTTATTTATATTTGCAAAAGCCGGCTGAATTAAGCTTGCGAGGGAGACAGACACCAGAGGTAAGGTCAGGTTTTCCCTTTGCTGGGATGCTCAGTACTGTAATATGCTTTAATCCATCCATCCATACTTCGCTTTCCTCCCTCCCTCCCTCCCTCCCTCCCACCCTCCCTCCCTCTCTCCAATAACACTGTTGAACCATCATTTAACAGATTTTTAAACGGTGTTGTCATCATATGCCTTGAAGCAACTTTATTTTTCGTGTCATAACCTCAGTATCGTACCTCTCTTTTTTTTCTAATCGAGCAGGCTATTAGCATGGATGACATTGCAGTAATTCATCCCTATTTCTGCTGGAGAAGTAATACTTAATAGTCCATTAAAGTGCACAAGGTTTGGCCTTTGCTGACGTGTTGGTGCCGGGTGCTTTAAGTAAGCCGAATGATGCTCCTTCTTCAGACAGAATCGATTACTAGCTTTTCAATTGCTCTCTCTCTCTCTCTCTCTCTCCCTTTCTGTAGCTTGAATTGTTGCAGTTCTCCTCTGCCTCAGCCCTGGTTCTCTCGTTAAAACACATTGTGAGAGTCACTCAATGCCTTCCCTGTCCAAAGGCAGCAATCCTCACTCTCCAAGAATGGAGCCGGGCGTTTTGATCTTCCTGCTGTACGTTGTGATTGTCCATGAATTGGTTTGCGGTTGGATGGAGTACAAAAGGCAAGCAGCCAAACCCAAAAAACAAGCAAGTCCCGTCTGGTCCTCGGGGTGAGTACTGCAGCTGACAAGTTCAATTTATTTATTTAATTACTATCAATAATTATAATCCTTGCATTTGATATAAAATATATTTCGCCCACAAAATACACCGTCAATCCACTTTACAATCTATTCTGTGACGCTCTTTGAGACATCTCAACGACTTGATAAGGCATTGTATCAAATGCAAGGATTATTATTGTTATTATTAACAGGAGCTGAAGGGGAGGATTCTCTGCCCCCAGTGACTGTTCTGCCTTTCCAGGTCCTGCCGATGAGCCAGGCTGGGTGTGTTGTCAATCAGCAGTGATTGCCCTGGGATACTGTGGACCCTCCTGGCTCAGGAACTGGACGACCGAAACCCCCACCGAGGACTGGCTTGATTCCAATATTTCGCTGTCAGACATGACTCCTTGGAGCCAGTTCAGCCCCAAGGAGCTCCTGCTTAACCACCTTCTTTTCACAGTTTGTGAAACTATCAAACCGACTCGATGTTGCACGTGTATTGGCGTGTCAGCTTAGAGTTTGTAACTTCAAAGTCCTGGGGTTTGTTAACGTTTTACAAACTAAATGTGACATTGGTTTCTGTCATTTGACAGTCACCAAAAGATTGACTTTTCTGTGAGTTTCTGATAGCTCTTCCCATCTGATCGGCAGGTATGTGAAGTGCAGGAGCCCGGCTAACACCAGGTGGCCAACCCACACCATGAAACGGGAGAAGTTCAGGGACTGGAAGAAGTCTGGACGTATTGTGAGGAAAGCGTGAAACAGCAATGTAACTCAGTGCTATACTTGTCAAGGTGGGGAGATCTGTTACATCCCTAACGTCTGCACAAAGCTGTCAATCCAGAACCCATCAGAGTGCGGTGGCGGAGCCTGTCACACCAAATGTCTTGTGTCATATAATTGTTGCAAATGAAACAACTGACATTGAAAACAATTCTAATTGTTTTACGTGTTCAGGGTTATGTCTGAACAAAGCTGTTCTGTGTTATTCCTTGTGTTTTTTTCTGTTTGTTACGTGGCAATAGATGACAGGAATACAAGGATATCTGCAAGAGTAACTCAGTGCTGCCGTCCAGTGGCACAATGTCTGGGACCGACCCCGAGATCTGTTTTACTTGGGGATGGTGCTGTGCAATCGGAAAGCATTGGAACATAGGAACAGGAGGAGGCCATTTAGCCCCTCGAGCCTGTTCCGCCATTGTATAAGATCAGGCTTTGTACCTCAACTCCAATTACCCGCTTTTGCCCCCCGGCTGTTTGTGGGGACGCTGCTGTGCGCATCGGCTGCCATGTTTCGCCCACAAATATACAGTCAATTCGCTTTACAGTATATTCTGGGAAGCGCTTTGAGATGTCTAGAAGACGTGATAAGGTGCTCTATCAAATGCAAGGATTATTATAATATCCCTTGATACCCTTACCTGAGAAATATCTATCCACCTAAGACAGATTACACAAACTCGAGCATTTTTCTACCATGTGGTGAGATGTGAAAGCAGAATGGGAGTCAAAACCCTTTCGTTGGTCTGTATCTCCAGTCAGACACCTGTGATTGTATCACCTTTTTACTCTCTGAGTACTCAACAATTAATTTTGCTCACAAAATAACATCAATCTAAATGTTGTCCACGCTGACGCAGCAACAACAACAACAACAACAACAATACAAGGTTAGCACAGTAGAAGACTGCGATGTAGATTATCTATATATAAAAGCATGTCATAATAAAGCCTGTGCTTTGTATTATACACATTGGATCCAGACTTGTATTTTATCGTTTAAGATGATTCTAATCTGCATCAGTTGCTTTATGTTTCAGTTTATTACAGATGATTTAGAATATGAGAGCAATACAGTATTTCAGACAATAATAATCCTTGCATTTTGAAATCCGCTATTTCTAGCAGGAGAGCTGACCGATATTAAGAATTAGCTGAATTCTTGAGAACATTCCAGTCCTGCTCGTTTGGGATGTTGGATATAACTCCTTATTCTGCTCTGTGCACTCCATATAGTGAATATGTTGTTGGGGCTCGATTCCATTCTGTTCCACTTAGCAAATTCTGCAAAACATATCAATGTGCATTTACAAATAATAATAATAATAATCCTTGCATTTGATATAGCTCCTTATCACGTCGTTGAGACGTCTCAAAGCGCTTGTATTGTAATGTGAATTGACTGTGTATTTTGTGGGCGAAAAGCGAGGGGCAACTGCGCACAGCAGCGTCCCACAAAGAGTAATGATTGAGTGATATCAAATGCGAGGATTATTATTGAGAAATAACTAGCTACATCAGAACACCAGAAAATAACTGACATGATCCTAATCTTCAATAAAAACAGGAGGGGTCTAAGACTTAGATTTACGGACCGGTTAGCATGACATCCATTACAAATCTGGAGTCAATTACGAAGGAAGCAATTTGGGAACTTCCAGCCAGACTCAGGGTAATAAATGGGGACGGGTCTCGTTTCTTGAAAGAGAGGTCACTTTCAATAAAATTTGCTGGCGTATTTTGGGATGGTAATGGCTTAGACAATGTAATTGATATCCTATATCTTCAATTTCTGATGCTTAACAGTCCCTCATGAAAGCAATGTGAGTATAGTGAAGGCTCCATGGACCATGATTGATGTTGCAAACTGGATGCAGCATTGGTTTGTCAATCCTGTAGAGAGCAGAAGGGGGTTAATACAGGTAGAGTTTGTGTTGGGCAATACAATGATGACAGTATATCCTTCATGTAGGACAGTGTCTTGGAGCGCCGCACAGAGGCAGGGTTGGACCCCGAGCAAGGGAGAAGGGGAAGGTGACCATAGGTGCGGTCACAGAGGTAGATTTTAAATTGAGATTTAAAGATTCGCCCACCAAATATACAGTCAATTCACTTTTCAGTATATTCTGTGAAGCTTTGAGATGTCTGAAAAAGACAGAAGGATTAATGTAGGCAATAATGGCTAACAGAACACCAAGGGGATGAATCCTGCCCATGTGCTCCTCGCTTTGCTCCCTGGTGTTTCTGAAAGTCTTGGTGTATTTTTTTTATATCAATCTGCACCTGAACTGTGCATGTGACACAGAGAGAAGGATTTGCCAGGGTGGCAGATTCTGTCAGCAAATTCAAAAGAGAATTTGGTAGATATTCAGAAACTGTGAGGGACATGAGAGTCAGACTAGTGCAGTATTTTTTTCGGGTCCAATTTGTGTTATTTCTTGAAAGGATTCCTCAATAAGTAATTTAACTCAAACAAATAGGAATTCCTTCTGGTAATCAGAAGTACATCACACATTGGAAGAGGCTATTGAGTGAATTTGAAAAGGAATTTAAAAAAAATGGGGTTGAGTATCTCTGCTGCAATGCAATCATCTTCTGGAGAAGAGTTTCCCTGAATCAGAGAGAATTCTAACAGGAGTCCTCATTGATAATGAAAGAGGATGTGGCCAAAGCCCCCAAAAGCTGGAAGGATGTGAAAACACAAAATTAGTTTTTTGGTCAGTTGACTGTCTGACATTTGCGGAAACTCATTAGCATGCTGAAGGTCTCCAAACCAAACTGAGAATTCCCTGCCTCCCACCTATACATGGAAATCCCACAGATAGATTGTTGGAATGTAATGTGCACTCTCTCCCTGGAGGGACACATCCTGCTGACCTAAACCACAAAGAGTGGAAATGCCTGTGATTCTTGTGCTTAACATCTTTTGACAGTGTTAGAACCCGTTTTTAATGTTAATGAAGAAATGTAATGAGTCAAACAGAACTGAACGACGCAGCTTAACTCCTGATCTGGGCTGAGTTAGAAGATGGCATGATCGACTGTGTCGAACGCGGCGGAGAGGTCCAGAAGACAAGGAGGCAGAGAGAGCCCTGGTCACAGATAGAGAGGATGTCGTTTGTGACTTTCATAAGGCGCAGTCTCTGTACTGTGCGCGGAAACCGGACTGGAGGGGTTCGAAGAGGGAGTGGGAGGAGAGGTGTGCGCGGAGTTAGTTGGCAACAAAGCGTTCTAGAATTTTTGAGAGGAAGGGCAGGTTAGAAGTAGGGTGGTAATGGCTGGGGTTTGAGGGATCCAGGGAGGGTTTTTTCAGGAGGGGATAATGCTCAATCAATATATATATAGTAGGCTTCTTGCAAGGTCATGATCATGGGTTTCTCTATGTGTTTGACCACAAGATAATCATCCCCATTTGGTCGGGGTCAGTATGAGTCTGAGTTTGAATGAGCTGATCTTTTGAACTATAATAATAATCCCGGCATTTGATATAGCGCTTTTCACGTCTTTTAGACGTCCCAAAGCGCTTCACAGAATAGACTGTAAAGTGAATTGACTGTATATTTGTGGGCGAACGCGGCAGCCAATTGCGCACAGCAATGTCCCACAAACAGTCGTGGATTGAAATGACCAATTTTTTTTTGAGGAATTATTAGTCGTTTACAATACTTACACGGCCAGAACCATCCATGTCCATTATTCGTCTTTTGGTCTGTAGAATTGAGGATATATCGACCTCCGAAGTCTCATTGATGGAGCCAGAAAATATAATAGTTTTTTTAAAAATTAAAAAAATTTTTTTTTTTTTTAAAATAACAGAAAAGAATAGTGGAGCTGGAGAGGAGTGTGTTGGAGTAATCCGGGGGGGGGGGGGGGAGGTGACAAACGCACGAGGGTTTCAGCTGCATTTGGGGTAAGGTACGGTCGGAGATGGGCAATGTGGGGGTGGTGGAAGAAGGCGGTTATTATTATAATAATAATTATATTTAAGTATTTTTCACGTGTGCAGTGAGCGAGTGCGCACACATGTCAGTAATGTGGTAAACGAGAAGTGGTGAACAACTTTTCGCTTTAACTAAAACTTACAATAAACACAAGTTTTCTCGTCACAACATACAAGTCATCTCTGAAAAAGGATCCGCATAATAGCGATCCTAAGTGGAGGCCAGGAAGTGTGATCAGAGGTGTTGATGGTGTTGAAAGAAAAAAACGTCAACACCTCTGATCTCAATGGCTCCTGTCCTCTACCTAATTCCTTCCTTTCTCTTCCTTTCACCGTCCCCTTCTCTGCTTGTGTTTATAAACTCTCTGTGCCGACATACCCCAGTTCTGACAAAAGATCATCGACCTGAAACGTTAATTCACTTTCCTCTCTCAATAGTTGCTGCCTGACCTGCTGAGTGTTGCCAGCCATTTGTGTTTTTATTTCAGTCTAACAAGGTAATGTATTAGCTGAGCCTGTTCAACTGGCACAAAATCTTCATTCAGATTAGGACAAACCAGTTGTTGGTCTGTAAACTGGACTTCAGGTAGTGTTCAGAATTCTTTCGCTCTGTCTAATATAATAATAATCATAATAATAATAATCCTTGCATTTGATATAGCGCTTTTCACGTCTTCTAGACGTCTCCAAGCGCTTCACAGTCATAAATTTTATTATGCTGATCTATTTTTAAGTATTTCTATCTGAAACTATTTGAATTAGCTCATATCATGTGGTGTATGATTCCACTTCCTTTATGTTTTCCTTTCTTGAAAGTGTATTTAATTTCTCTTCCACTTAAGAGATCTGAACATGACTGACATGCCCTCCGATTCGTTAAGTTGGGATTGGCATTCCGAGGACTCGGGGGCCAATGAAATCTGCCAACCTGAGCAAATTGGTATTCTCAACTCGACTCTCCTGAGTTTGGCCTTTGTGATCGGTACCATTTTGAACGGCGCAAGTTTGTATATTTTCTGGTTTTGTATCAGGAAATGGAGCCCTGGACTAATCCTGCAGTTCAACTTGGCATTGGCAGACGTTCTTGTAACTCCTTCTATACCCTTCATGATCGCCTATTCTTCACTGTCATACTGGCCTTTTGGACCGTTTCTCTGTCAGCTGAAACTCTTCTTACTGAAAGCCAACAATTTCAGTAGCATTTATTTCCTCACTTTGATTAGCATCCACAGATATCATATGATCGTACACTGCACAACAAAAACATGGTTCAAGGAAGCGTGGTTTATAAAGTTAGTTTGTGTTGTTGTGTGGCTTCTAGTGCTGTTCCAAGGAATTCCATTCTTCTTTATCCTCAAGACATCTGAAATCAACAACGCTACCCAGTGTCTGGGCATACATCAGAACGATCTGCTATTTTCATACTTCGTGTGGGACATGGTCATGGTGTCAATCGGATATATTATTCCACTTATAGTGTCCATCATCTGCTACAGTTTGCTGAGCTGCTTTATCGTTAGACTGAAGCACAACCAGCTGAAGAGCAAGAACATGAAACTAAAGTCCTTGCGAATGATTGTTGTGTCCTTTGTGTTACTTGTGATCTGTTTCCTGCCTGTGCACATATCCAGGACGGTGGCAGTTACAGTCAGGTTCTTCCACCCCGAGCAGTCCAAGTACTTAAACTTTGTCAAATCCATTTATTATAAATGCTTGGTGCTGTCCAGCTTCAACTGTTGCTTGGATCCTTTGCTTTATTTTTTCACTTCTAAGAAATTTAAGGGATCACTCAAGCGGGTTATGATGCCTACCAGGTCCTGTGCCAAGATGTGAATCGTAGCTTAACCCTTTCAAAACTCAGATTCAATTAAAAAATAACGGGCATGGTAGGAACTGGATAATGGGATTGATAATAGCAATAATAATAATATCCTTGCACTTGATATAGCGCCTTGTCTTGTCTTTGAGACATCTCAAAGCTTCACAGAATATACTGCAAAGTGAATTACTGCATATTTTATGGGCGAAACACGTGCGGAAAATGGCTGCTATGTTTCGCCCACAAAATACAGTCAAATCACTTTACATTGCATCCTGCGAAACCCTTTGAAACACATCAATCATGTGATAAGGCGCTATATCAAATGCAAGGATGATTATTAAATTACAATAAGAGGACATGACAACACTTGTGTTTAAGCAGAGATCAGATTAATTTACGTGTTCTAGATGCGATATTGTGTAAATACCTGTAATAATCAGTAACGCTGAAGTGAAAAGAATATGCTATAATTTTAATTGTGTTTGCCATATTATTAAGAGCATTTACCATGTAGCTTTGAGTAGGACTAAAAGTCATGTTCAGTGTAAAAATATAATAAAGCTTCTCATTTGTTTGCAATAATAACTAATGTTCAAGTGACATTTCTGCTTTTTATATATATATAAATATATATATATATATATTTGTTAGCCAATTCGCTCCCTTGGAATTGGGGCTGGAGAAACAAGTGGGGATTGTCTTGGGGTTCTGGGTGAGGATAGGAATGTGGACCTGATGGAATATTTGAATGGGAACAGATTCTGTGTCTGTTCCGGGATGACTAGAGGTAAGGCCTTGATGACTTTTTCTTGTAAGAAGATCAGAAATACATCTCAGATCCCCAGCACTGTCCACTTTGGACTTTTGGAGCTAATTGAACCCCATGTCTGAGTAATTTCTTTCTCTCCTATTGCACCGTATCAGTTCCCTTTTAGTCCCAGTTGAATAATTAGTGTAAAGCTCCTTCCTCATTGTTATTTGAAGAGGGTCTTCAAATAGATTGTGGTTTCCTGCATTATGTAATGAAAAATGCCATATTATTGAGACAAACTATCCATACGAATCACCTACGCTTAAGACAATACGCTATTTAAACAATAACCTAAACTTATATTTAGGTTGCAAGAAACTGTAGCCAACTGCTGATTGAGAAGGCCTTTTAAATAATACACAATTGTTGAACGGCCCAATAGTCTGCACTTGACCCACAATTATGACACTATCTGTACTTGAACATGACAGCAGAGGTTTTTCTTTAAAAACTGAACAAGCCGGAAGTTGATTGAAATAAAAAAAAAGAATAGAAATAAAAACCTGACTTATATATTTTGTTCCCTCGGCAGGTCCTGCAGCTCCCGACTGGACCACATTGTGGTTGCCACATATACTGCAAGTGGTTTGAATAGGCCGACCATTTTGTCATAGCCACAAGGGCTGGGAGAGAAATAACAGAACAGACAAGATTGGTTTAGGTGTCGTTACAAACTCAACCTATTGTGAGTGTTATAAATAAGTATTCTACAAAGTCTTCTTTGCGTACAGTTTTACACCCACTCTTGTGGGCATTATCACTCATACGCAGCCTTACTGCTAATCGGTGGTACGATCAATTAATATCTTTCACGTTTGAACTGCAATCTACGAATCACCTCAATCGAGTTACCATCAGCAAAGCATGTTGCAGTTTGTACAAAAGGGAGTTTATTTTGGTTCGAAGTGTGGAAACACTTTGCTGAGCTGCAATCAACTAGAAAATATACTGTTTTTCCACATTGTTTTTTAAAAAAACTTGAACCAAGTTGTATCTTGTGATACTATTGGTACCTTTAAATACCGCATCAGTTAAGTAAGAAATGAGAGAGTTCGGATGCATGCCAATAATGTGTCCTGGAAACTGGTAAAAGAGAAGTTATTCTGACTTTGACTCATTACAGAAACAGGATTTGGATAGCTGGTTACACCCAGCAGTCTAACAAGCGATGTATTATCAGTTGTGTCTGTTCAGCTGACGAGAAACATTCGTCTAAACCTGGATAAAATGTCTTCAAGCTGGTTTAAAGGTAGGGTTCAGATTTCTATCACTCTCTTTAATATATAAAGGCTAAATGTATGCCATAAAATGTATTATTGAGTTAACAAAGGTTTCAGATGGGAGCAGGATTGGGTGAGGCTATGATAATGAAGTATACAGAATCAATCACTCACATGCAGTGATGTTAGCTGTGTATAAAATTTAAAAAAGTAAACCCGAACAATACTTCTGGATGCACCAAGACTGCAGACAAGAAAACATGGGTTTAGGGTTGCTAGATTAAAGGCAGTACAGAGGAGAATGAGAATGATCCCCAATGCTAGAGGAATGGGTCTGAGCAAATGCTCCGAGATGCTGCCCCGTGGCACTATATAAGCACAGATGTGGTTGAATGAGCTATCAGCAAGGATTAGACAAGCTAGGACTCTTCCTTCTTGAAATAATAATAATAAACCTTGCCTTTGATATAGCGCTTTTCACGTCGGGAGGACGTCCCAAAGCGCTTCACAGAACACACTGTAAAGTGAATTGACTGTATATTTGTGGGCGAACGCGGCAGCCAATTGCACACAGCAATGTCCCACAAACAGTCGTGGATTGAAAATGACCAATTTATTATTGTATTGTTTTGGAGGGATTATTATTAGGCTCTGTGTGGAGTAAGGAAACTTGCCCAAGGTTTCGCCCTGACCTGCCGGGGATTGAACTCTGGGCTCTCGCTTGCAAAGCGAGTGCTCTAACCACTGAGCTGCAGGACTCCACAGCACTGAAAGAAGACATCTGAGAAGGAACCTTGTAGAGGTACTGCACATCTATATAGTTTATATGGGATTGGAAAAGTAAACTCAGAACAATACTGTTGTATTGATTTGAAAAATGTACACTCTCTTTTCTCGAAGGAAAATGAACTGAAGCAACTGGATTAGTTCTTCAACGTTGCTGGCCCAGGAGCAACAAAAACTTCTTGCAATGATCTTCAATATTTCAATCAGCGATAAGACTTGTAAGCCTCAGCAGCAAAGTATTTTAATCCCCATCTTCCTATGTGTGATTTTTGTCCTGGGTTTCATTCTAAATACCATGAGTTTGTGGACATTTTGGTTTCGCTTCAAGCAATGGAAAACGGGCATGATCCTCCAGTTTAACCTGGCTTTAGCTGATGCCATCATAGCTCCCGCCGCACCCTTGCTGATCACCTACTTCTCAATATCCCACTGGCCCTTTGGACAATTTCTATGTCAACTGCAAGTGTTCCTATTGAGCACACACATCTATGGGAGTGTTTACTTTCTCACCCTGATTAGTGTGCACAGATATATCACAGTCGCACACGTAACCAGGGTGAGCATGTTTAAGGTAACAAAATCAATGAAGATCATTTGCGCAGCGGTCTGGATGTTCCTTTTTGTACAAGGATTACCATTTTTTTTTGTCCTCAAAACATCTGAACTGTACAATGTCACCAAATGTTTAAGCATACATCAGACTGAACATTCAATGATATATTTTGTGTGGTCCATGGTCATTGCATTCCCTGGATTCATCATCCCAGTCACAGTTTCGATCACTTGCTACGCTTTGCTCGGATCCTACATAGCAAAGATGAACTCCAGCCTTTCAAAAAAAAGAGCTGCAAAGATGAAAGCGATGTGGATGATTGTGATATCCCTTGTTGTGTTTATCATTTGCTGTCTGCCAATTCAAGTGACACGTATAACTGCTGTAATAGTTAAACTCTTCTACCCTGAGAAATGCCAGCTGCTATACAAAATGGAAAATAGTTATTATATGACTTTAACATTGGTCAATTTGAATTGTTGCCTGGATCCTCTACTTTATTGGTTTTTAAGTAAGAAATTCCAAGAGTCATTTAAAAGCAATCTGGATGTATTCAGATGATTATGCAAAACATGTTGTTGCGGATCTATAAAAATAGCAAGTTTGGCTAATCCTTTTGAAAAGGAACTGCACAAATTGTTGGCAATAAAAAATGATTCAGTGCTCTTAGATGATGAGTCAAATGTGATGAAATAATACTTTGGGAAATTGGATAGTTACATGAATCAGTGGTTTGCTTTTGCCTGAAACTTACTGTTACAATGCTTTTATACGTTTATTTCATTAAATTCTTGTATGTGAATTCTAGTAAAATGTGATTTGTTCAAAATCATTTTAACTTGTGTTCTTGATTAACAGCAACAACAAATTACATTTGTTTAGCACCTTTCACGTCGGGAGGACATTCTGTTAATTACGTTTGATTTGGAAACATAATGAAGAGTACGCTCATACAGTAGGTTTGGAAAGTATCAGGTTGGATATACTTTAAGTTTCTCACAGACAGCAGCTTTTGAAGGAAATGGTGACCACAGCACAGCTTCTGCAGATCCTTCAGATAGTTCACAGGCCATTTCAGAAGGTGAGAGAGGCTGCAAACACATATATATGTTACGTTTTGTGACCATTTGCAACACAACCAAACAGCATTACGTTGCTAGTTCAAAATAATTTATTAGTTCAGTTCCCATCTGCATTGACATTTTGGCTGCAAATTGAAATTTAACAGATTAATTTGAAAAGATATCTTAAACGGAGCTGATATATGCGAACAGTTTTAAGATATTTTGAATTTTTGATTCCTGCTAAAATTTACTGTTGTTTGGGTAAGTTTTATAATCACAAGATTGGTCTGGATGAAGAAGGAAGGTCCAATTGGCCAATCTGATCTAATCCCTCCATTAAGACTTACCGAGCAGCTCATCCAATGACGGAGTAGTTAAGGGCACAGCCTGCTATAACACTAGGTTGTACAGACCTCAAAATCACATTGTAAACTTATTTTCTCCCTCATGCAAGTAGAATGACATTTCCATTAAATCCCCATGAGATATTCTATGACAGCCAACACTGGAATCCTGCCGCACTAGTCTAGTAGGACCATTCAGGCTCATACTTAGTAGCTGAAATTTATTCTAGCCATTGGCAGTATTGCCATATACAGTCGTGGATTGAAAATGACCAATTTATTTATTTTTGTTTGTTTTTGGAGGGATTATTATTAGGCGTAATATAGTATAATATTGAAAATGCTGGAGACCAGAAAAAANGGAAATATTTGAAATCCACTTATCCAAAATGATCATTTTTGTTGGGTATTTATTGAAATGCTCTGGACTTCTAGCATTTCTGTTTTGAATTTGCTGATCACATTTGTGGAGTCCTGTAGCTCAGTGGTTAGAGCACTCGCTTTGCAAGCGAGAGACCTGAGTTCAATTCCAGGCAGAGGGCGAAACCTTGGGCAAGTTTCCTTACTCCACACAGAGCCTAATAATAATCCCTCCAAAAACCAAAAACAATAATAAATTGGTCATTTTCAATCCACGACTGTTTGTGGGACATTGCTGTGCGCAATTGGCTGCCGCGTTCGCCCACAAATATACAGTCAATTCACTTTACAGTATATTCTGTGAAGCGCTTTGGGACGTCCTCCCGACGTGAAAAGCGCTATATCAAATGCAAGGATTATTATTATTATTATTATCACCAGCCGTAGCTGCAATGACGTTGTTCAGCCACAGAGTGAGGCTACCATATCAGAAACGTCAAAACAGCCAGCAAAATCATACCAGTTAACAAATCTACAAAGAGGTGTAGGGATTCCAGGAAGATTTCCATCGTTTTCTCAGCCTCCTGGAACAGGTGTTATTTCCTTTTCATCACATATACCTACCAAAAGATACACGCACATAAGCAAAAGTATTCCTAAACTCACTCTTGAGTCATGGAGTGATTTTAATGGATGTCCTCTGTCCTCAGTGATCCAAGACTGCTTCCTATCCTAGGCTTTTCAACCTCCCCTAATTCCTTGGTCCATTGGTTTTATGACAAGTATTTTCCAGCACCTTGGGACGTCCTCCTGACGTGAAAGGCACCATACAAATGTAATCGTGTTGTTGTTTTGGCAAGCTGACAATTCCAAATGTTATGGTCACATCTCTCCGTGGTGTAATAAGCGTGGGGATTCCTATTAAAGCTGTCTTGTTGTCCTTTTGGACTATTGTCTAGAAACTCTTTACTGCGATAAAGCTAAAATTTTACCAGATTAATTCACTCAATTGTTTTCCACCCAAATATTTTCTCTCTGAGTCTGCTGTATTAAAGTATGGCAAATATCCTACCTTTTGTCTTTTTTTAAAATAATGCATTCCTCTGACATTTGTCAGCGATGCACTTACCTTTTGTGAAGTATTCCTCGCCCCATAAAAGACCTGAACTACGTATGTAACTTAATTGGCAACTCACGTCATGGCTGTTTGTGGGACTTGGCTGTGTGCAAAATGGCTGCTGAGTTTCCCTACAGAATACGCATTCACTCCGCTTGAGAGCAATCACCTGTGAAGCATTTTGAGAGGTTTCAACATTTTTGGCCATTAGTCAAATACACTAAAACTCTGGCTAGCCAGAGCAACGGTAGGGAGATCCCATTTGGTGAGCTGAATTTCTGACTAAACTCCATATAAACCACACTTCCTTCATCCACTCTCCGTTACTTCAGCAAGAAACTCTATCAGGTTTGTTAGACATGATTTGCCTTGAACAAACCCGCGTTGGCTGTCCTTTATTAATACCTATATGTTTCAAAGTGAGAATTTATTTTGTCTTGGATTATAGTCTCTAGAAGATTCCCCACTACTGACTGACTGGCTGGTAGTTGCCGGTTTATCCTTCTGAACCTTGTTGTACAGGGGAGGAGTAACATTTGCAACCCTCCAGTCCTCTGGCACCACCCTGTTTGTGGCCAGAACCTCCGTTCTTCTGCACATGGGAATCAAAGTTGATATCCCCAGCCATTGAAGACCAACAAGCGAGGCGGGGGGAAGGGGGTCTGGCTCGGTATGGATTATCTGGAGTCAAATAAGCCAGGGGTTTATGATATAATGATTCTTATCCTTTTATACCCTTATTTCTTGCACACTATGGGCCTTAATATGTCAGGTAGAAGTAACCAGACAAACAATTATTGCTTTTAACTATCACTCAAAAAGTAGCAAAGTAACTTTTTCCTCCTTACCTCCTTACATTCCCAGCCTGTGTTGTCCATATTTTCTTGTTATCGTGTATACAGCAATAATGCAGATTATCAAAACACTTGATTTAACAAAGAAGCAGGGGGAGGTCAAATGCAATGATTAGTATAGCATTAAACATGTCACAGCTTCTCCCGTCTAGTAAGATTACCTTTTATAGCTTCTGATGAAAAGTAAAATCTGCGCTTAGTAGTAATTTATTGAAAAAATGCATTCAGAAAGATAAATTAGCCTTATGATCTCATCATTTGGATGAAGGGACACACCCAAAAATCTCGGCTCAACTTTCTCTTGAGAAGCTGAATGATCTCCTGTGCAGTTCAGCTTTATTCATTTTCATATCGAATTTTCATCATTCAGTTTTTTAAAAATGTTACCTGTCCGGGTCAAATTCATTAAAAATCCGCTTTGCCGCAGATGGGATTTTGACCTGTTTTATGTAAGGTGATCAAGCAATAACTGCAAAATATTGCACCCACCCCACACCCCCACACACACACACACATTTCTACTGTTTACTAGTGCCCATATATCTTGGACAATGTCCTCCTGTTCAGACACTGTTATATTGTTGTCAAGTTCCCTCGAGGTGCAGCCTAGTTTCTAATTAAACTCGCTGGTTGATAATCCGAATTAGATTACTATCTTGGCCTTCTCCCAAAATTGGAAAATATTAGCTCGACAGCATAGGATTTAACTGTGGTTCTTGATTTCAGTGTTATTTTCTACATTCCTATTTCCCCAGATCTCCCTTTCCTCTGTTCCCTTTAGCCGATTCGATCCATACATCCACCATTCAGAAAACGATACGCAATCACCGTTTCCTACACCCGAATGAAATCCACACCATGTCTTTTCTGCTCCCAGCAGCTGTGAATGCCCATTGGAAAAAAAAACTCTTGTAACTGCTGGGTGGGAATGATTGAAATATGAAGTTATTGACACTTTGAAAGAGGACAAAGAAACATTATTGGCCACCGAAATAATTTTACAATTATGCAAAAGCTTCTCTTGATAAAAAACTGATTTCACCTCAAGGCTTCTCTCTGATTATGATTGACCAAAAAAGTGTGAGTTGGTTTATCCATATAATTATGAGCTTTTCCTTGTGAGTGAATTTGTTAATAATCCAGTTAACATGAGTCTCCACAATTTGACAAAATTCCAAACCCACATTTGTGCTTCCACGCTTTTTTATTCAGCTTTAGTATCCAGTTCTCACCATTTCAAAGACTATTGTCAGCTTGCTTATTCAAAGCAACCAAGGTTTAATTCAAAGCGAAGGATTGTTTGTACTGAATTCACTGGAAACACAACCTCTGTATTCTCCCCATGGAACTCAGTGCTGAATGAGATCTGATGTTACACATTTCTTATTGCCTGATAATGCATAACAAAGGTGCATTCTCCAATATTCCCATCGGTTGGTGAATCAGAAGAAGGCAGCATAGGATCAGTATTGTCACTGGAAGAATTAAGAGGCTAAAAAAAATACACAACATGGAAAAACATGGAAGGCTTTGCCGTAAGTGGCTACTGAAGCGATGTTCGTAACAACATTTAATATAATAATAATCCTCGCATTTGATATAGTGCCTTATCGTGTCTTTGAGAGAGCCATTGCCTCCCAGCCTCGCTCTTTCTTCTCCTCTCACTCCCTCCATGAACCCCTCCAATCGGAAACTGCTCTGGTCAAGGTCACAAACGACATCCTGACCATATGTGACCAGGGCTCCCTCTGCCTCCTCGTCCTCCTCGAACTCTCCGCCGCCTTTGACACCGTGGACCACTCAATCCTCCTCCGTCACCTCTCCTCCCACCTCAATCTTCAAGGTTCTGTCCTTGACTGGTTTAGGTCCTACCTTTTATACTGCCTCCACTTCGTTGCGGCAAACGGCTTTTCCTCCAGCCCCCGCACTGTCTCGTGCGGTGTTCCTCAGTGCTTTGTCCTCGGTCCCCTCCTCTTCACCCTCTACATGCTCCCCCTTGGTGCCGTCATCCGCAGACATGGGGTAAATTTCCATATGTATGTGGATGACACCCAACTCTATCTCTCTGCCTCCACCCTGAACTCCAGGACCACTGGCGCCCTGACCGACTGCCTGTCCGACATCAAGTCCTGGACGAGGGCCAACTTTCTCCAACTCAACGTCAGCAAGACCTGATTGGCTCGCGCCAGTGCCTCCACACCTTAGGCGCTGGCAGCATCAGCCTCCACGGCTGCACACTCACCCTCACTAAGCCAGTCAGGAACCTGGGTGTCTTGTTTGACCTTGAATTGTCCTTTCTCCCCCACATCCGTGCCATGACCGGCACTGCCTACCACCACCTCCACAATATTGCCAGACTACGCCACTGCCTCAGCCCTCGGGCTGCCAAAACCCTCACCCTCGCATTCGTCACCTCAAGGCTTGATTACGGGAACTCCCTCTTCATCGGCCTTCCCAACTCTTCCCTTCACAAGCTACAGATCATCCAAAACTCTGCAGCTCGTATACTCTCACGAACTAGGCTCTATGACCCCATCATTCCCACCCTCGCCCGACCCCACTGGCTCCCCATCCCCCAGAGGTTCGAGTTCAAGATCCTCGTCTTCACCTTTAAGACCATCCATGGCCTTGCCCCCTCCTACCTCTCTGACCTGCTGACTCCCTACCAACCTGCCCGCTCCCCCCGTTCATCAGGCTCCGGCCTGCTCCATGTCTCCCGCCCGACCCGCCCTACCATCGGTGGCTGGGCTTTCAGCCTCTCTGCCCCCACACTCTGGAACTCCATCCCACGATCCTTTCGCCTCACTTCCTCCGTTACATCCTTCAAGGCCGATCTCAAGACCCTTCTCTTCGACTGTGCCTTTGGTCTCCCTCCCACCTATCTGCCTTCCCTCAACGCTACACCATTCCTACCCCATGCTCGGGCCCCAATATCTGACTGTTCAAGCGCTTTGGGACGTCCTCCCAAAGTGAAAGGCGCTCTATAAACGTAATTTTATTATTGTTGTTCAAAGCTTCACAGAATATACTGTAAAGTGAATTGACTATATATTTTGTGCGCGAAACATTTAAAAGGGAATTGGATTAGTAATCAAAGGGAAAGGCTGGAAAACATTATAGGGAGGAGGCAGACAATTAGCGTAAGAATGATTAGCTTCAGTGGATCGCAAGATTGGACCTGCGCACTGACGAGTTAACTCGGTGATGCTGGGCGGAAGTCACTCCTAAAGAATAGATGACACTTCAAAGTTCAACATCTGTTTGAAAATGTTTTAACTCTGCAAATGTTTGCGTCCTTGCCAAATCTATGGCAAACAAATGTACGTGGAGTTGACTGTATAGGTGTGTCTATCTTTACATTAGCATTAAGCTTTCGGTAAATACAAGAATCCTGTGTGAGCTCCTGTTTCACATCATTCTCAGCTTTCTTCAGCCATTGATTTTAAATGCTTCTTTGCCATGTCTTGGTCACGAACAATATGCTGCCACGAATAGTAATAATCCTCGTATTTGAGACAGCACTTTATCACGTTGTTGAGACTTTCATAGCTCTTCACAGAATATATTGTAAAGTGGATTGACTGTGTATGTTGTGGGCGAAATGCGGCCGCCAATCGTGCACAGCAGTGTCCCACAGACAGCCGTGGATTGAGTGGCCCCACTTTTTTTTATTTTTGAACAGATTATTACCCCAGGAAAGCGATCTGCCAATTGACTAACAACCGAGTTCCTCCTTGGATGTCGGGACGTCCTCCTGACGTGAAGAGCGCAATACTAATGTGATTGGTTGTTGTTGTGAGGTAAACAGAGTAAGGAAATTTGCCTAAAGTTTCACCCCTGCACGGGAATCAAATCCAGGTCCTCGTGCCTTCGAGACGAGCGCGCTAACCGCTCCCTTAGAGGGCACTACTATAAACATTAACGTAGGAAGGTCCTGTCAAAAGCCCAGGTAATAATAATAATAATAATCCTTGCATTTGATATAGCGCTTTTCACGTCGGGAGGACGTCCCAAAGCGCTTCGCAGAACACACTGTAAAGTGAATTGACTGTATATTTGTGGGCGAACGCGGCAGCCAATTGCGCACAGCAATGTCCCACAAAGTGTCGTAGATTGAAAATGACCAATTTATTATTGTTTTTGGAGGGATTATTATTAGGCTCTGTGTGGAGTAAGGAAACTTGCCCAAGGTTTCGCCCTCTGCCTGGAATTGAACTCAGGTCTCTCGCTCGCAAAGCGAGTGCTCTCACCACTGAGCTACACGACTCCACGGGGTAACACCAGGTCACCTTATGATGCATTTCACAAGAGTGAGATCCTATTGATTTAACACGTGTGAGCAATTATATCTGAGTGGGACAAACGGTTGAAATGATTTCCAGTTAAAAAAAAAAAATTGCTTGGCTTGTTTTTCTGCCAAGGAAACAAAATGTTCTCAGCCCCAGAGCAGACTCAGCAGTGTTTCCCTCCCTCCCTCCCTCTCTCTCTCTGGGTGGGTGGGTGGGTGGGTGGATAGTTAGCAAAAAAAAAGGATCATTTCCGAAACGAGTTGCATCAGTCTGGGCCAATGGAAAGTGTTCTCCTGAGCAAACAAGTGTGGTATAAATACTGCTTCCAGGCGGACTGTCCCACTGAGCTGCAGGAGAGTGGCAGAGAGCTGAGGGGTCTGTGTCTCAGGCTGTTGCCTTTTTGGGGGGGAACGACTCGATCCGTTTGCTGCGTGTGGGTTTATTTTCATTCTTTTAAGATCTATATATATATATAAAAAAGTCCACTTTCGCAGCAGTGATGTCGGTGTCCGCGAGCTCCAAACTCAGCAAAACGTTGCGGGAACAGTACTTCAAACTTCCTCAGGGAAACGCGGTGCAAGTGACCTACGTGTGGATCGATGGCAGTGGAGAAGGATTGCGGTGTAAGACCAAAACCCTGTATTCTGAACCCAAGACAGTACAAGGTGATGTGTGTGTGTGTGTGTGTGTGTCTTCCCCTCTGACAGCTCAGTCTGTCTGCGCTCCTGTCCGATGTCTCCTCTGCCCTCCTCTCCTCTGCCCTCCTCTCCTCTGCCCTCCTCTCCTCTGCCCTCCTCTCCTCTGCCCTCCCCTCCTCTGCCCTCCCCTTCTCTGCCCTCCCTCCTCTGCCCTCCTCTCCTCTGCCCTCCTCTCCTCTCCTCTGCCCTCCTCTCCTCTGCCCTCCTCTGCCCTCTCGGCCGCTCTGCCCTCAGTGGCTATTCCCGATCCTGACGGTGTTGTGTTGTGGGCAGATATCCCGGAGTGGAATTTCGATGGTTCCAGCACTGACCAGGCGGAGGGGTCCAACAGCGACATGTACCTGGTCCCGGTCAGTATGTTCAGGGACCCCTTCTGTCGGGATCCCAACAAACTGGTGCTGTGTGAAGTGCTCAAGTACAACCGCAAACCTGCAGGTAAAGGGGGGGTTGGGGTGGGGGGGGGTTGGGGGGTGGGAGGTGTTTTGGGGGGGGGATGTTGGGGGGTGTTAAAAGTTGTTTTAATGCAATATCACACTCGGCTTTAACTCCTTTTTTTTAAAATTACACATTTAACACCGGATTTCATGTCTGGATCCCGAGTCAGTGTCGGGACCTCAATTCAGATCTCCTTAACCAAACAATTCAGATTTCCTTAACCAAACCCAGAGGGTTACGAGCCTTTCCTTTGGGGCTACAGTACTCGGAAACAGTAAAGTGTTTTGTCGGTGTGTTTGCGTGGCGGAGGGAGGAGGGCGGAGGGAGGGAGGAGGAGGGTGGAGGGAGGGAGGGAGTGGAGGGAGGAGGGGGAGAGCAAACGCTCATTGTAACTTGAGTTGTTTTGCAGAAACTAATCTGAGGCACACGTGTAACCAGGCGATGGACCAGGCGAGGCAGTCCCGGCCCTGGTTCGGATTGGAACAGGAATATACTTTGTTTGGAATCGATAAACGTCCCTATGGATGGCCTCAGAACGGATTTCCGGGACCGCAAGGTTAGAGACCCCCTGTTACCCACCCACCGGGTTCACCTGTCCCCCAACCGCCAAACCAATTGGGGGTTGTTTTTTTTGGGAGAAAAAAATAAAAACATTTCACTTTTAGTGGCTATCGGTCTCCGCGCTGCTGGAGGTCTGGAACCTGCGGTGTTTGTTTCTGTGCCTTTAATGCTGGAAACCCACCACAATTGTCAATCTAATGTGGGGGGAAAAAAGGTTATTCCTGATTTGTAGCACATTTATAAAGCTCTGCTGCTGGTTTTCAGAGCACAAGCAATTGGGGATGAGCTGTTGCCCACCGTGTGATGGCGGTGCGATATAAATAGAAGAGGTACAGGTATACCAAACCAGGTCTGAAAAGTTGCTTTTATCACAGAAAGGACCAAAGGCAGAGGAGCTGAGCTTTGCTCTTTAATGCAGCTGTGAAGGGGTTTAGAATTGGAACCCCTATGTTTCTGATTTCTTAAGAAGTGGGGGTGATTACTTCCTAATGATTGATTTGCACCACCATGAAACGTTTAGGAGGGGGGAAATAAAATACCAATAGACCCACCACAGCGGAGACGAGGAGGTGCAACTGAATATCAGATGCCTTTGCTCCTGTACATTGTCCCCTTCCTCCACTGCTGTTCTAGAAGTAGTGATCAGAGAGAAGTAAAGTTTCAATAGCCCAGCACATTTTGGTTTAAATCAGTGAGGTTAAGCCTGCTCAGCCCATTAGCCAAATTAAACCCAATGTGTTCCACTTAATGAGCGAGGGTTGTCCCTGCAGACAAGTCCCTCCTCTCCAAACTATTTCCAGGCCCCAAATTGGCAAAGGACAATGCAGACCTAAGCCATGGCTTCACAACCACCCAATCAGGTCGGGTGACTGGATGGCCTCTCTGGCAGGGCAAGCCTGGCCTGAACCTAGTGACCAAATGCTCAAGTGAGCTCAGCTTCCCCTTAATGAGGACAGTTCACACTCTTCAGGTTGGAAGTACTGCAATATTAATCCCAACCAACAGAGGGTTGAAAGCACAGCTGTTGCCAGGAGCTCACTCCTTCCCATAATCCTCATTTATGGGTGAGATTTGGTCATGGTAACCAACACAAGTGGATCTCAACAGGAGAACTTTTCTGGCATTTGCTAGTTCAAGGACTAATTGATAAGAACAGATACGAATTACACTTGATTCCGAGAAGCCCAGCACATGTGGGAAGCATTTGTCAATGTGTCACTTCTGCAATGTGTTCTATGTGTGTATGGAATGTGTTTTGGCTCCACTGCTCCCTTTCTCATTCCTTGCTTGCTGCAGTAGCAACGAGAGAGAGAGGGACCCATTGCTGAAATGGTGCTGATAAACTGAGCAATGGAAAACTCAGCTTTTTTTTGGCAAACTTTAGTGGAAAAAGTGGCATGTTGCAACATCTTGAGACTGCATTTTAAAATCCTGTAAACAGTGTTCTGGAGTTCTGCATAAATGACTGGGTTGCAGGATGGAAACCTTGCAACAATTTTCTCGAGGATTGCATTAAACGGGTTAAATCGAATCCAGGATTATTCATGGTCGGACTGAAAGGGCCTCTGTTCTGCTCCATTTCTTAAACAGTAAAACTCACATAAGTCGTATCAGTTGGGACCATAACATTTAATATAACATGCTTGAAGTCTGAATTACAGGCAAACTCTTAAATCTTATACAATCAGATTTAATCTACTCTGCATATGCGTAATTCACTACAGGCAGTAAGTGCAGCCAACATGTGGTGATGGGTCAAGACTACGTTTCCCGCAATTCAATGCGTCTTGGCCAGTCGCTGCATGTGCACTTACTGGCAAGCATTGAATAACGGAAGACTAAGTTCTTCCGCGCAAGCGGCGACAGATCAAGACTGTTTCCAGTAAGTGTCCATGCGTCAATGGGTAAATGTCATTTCCCGTGATTCAATGCAGCTGTTAAGTGTGGGAGTAATGGACAGGGAAGAAGCGTTAAGAGATGATAAATCCAGTTAGTGCAAAGAAATCCAAGTGATTTTGGTATAAAACTGAATGGAACTCGATTGCATATACGAATAAAGCGATTATACGACTTATAAAGATAAGACTTGCACAAGTTTTACTGTACAACCAATTTTCTGTTGCAGGACCCTATTATTGTGGTGTTGGAGCAGACAGAGTATATGGTAGAGATATAGTGGAATCTCACTACAGAGCCTGCATGTACGCTGATGTGAAGATATCGGGCACCAATGCTGAGGTCATGCCATCTCAGGTAGATAACTGAGGCTTGAAATTATTCATGACCACTCTTAAAATGTAGAAGTGTGCAGCATTTATGTAAAAAAAATGTGTGGCCAAGTACAGAAAAATATGCTTACAAATATGGATTGAACTGAACTAGAAATGCAACAAAAACAAATTGCATTTATATAGCTCCTTCCATAGTGGGAGGATGTCCCAAGTCACTGAAGATGAGATATTCTTCTACAAGCTTTTGTGGTTTAACTATTCGTTGTGGAGGGTTGAGTTCTGGCAGATTACCAGCAAACTGCTGGGCCAGTTGGGTGGGGGAGGGTGTGAGGGTTTATTTTATTGGTGTGCCTGGGGGTGGTCTCTATCATTTTGCGATTTTTGAAGGCCTTTGCCTGAAGGAAAAAGCCCCCAGACCTACTTGTAGACTGCATGACATAGGTTCCAGTTAGTGACTATTTTCTCTGACTGGCAGATTTTCACAGTGGCTGTAGATGTGTTGTGGATTTAGTAGTGCAATAGTGGAATGCAGCATGTTTAAACTTGTGTGTTCGCTGGCTGGGGTGCCAAGATTATCAGCGGCGTATCCATGGATCTAGACATAATTGCACTTTAGCATTCCCCAATATTGGAAAATTGCAATGTTGGTATTAATTTGGGATCGAGGTTTCTGCTGTTCTTCCCAACTGACTGAACTAAAGAATTTTCCAAAATTCTACAATTTTTTTTAAAAGAATTTTTGGACCTCAATCAATGTTTTGCCTTTTGTATCTAACTTTTTCCTTTTTTTCCCCCTTCAACGTTTGTCATTCTTAATCACCTCATTTGTCTCCTTCCTTCCCAGTGGGAATTCCAAATAGGGCCATGTGAAGGAATCGAGATGGGTGATCACTTGTGGATTGCCAGATACATCCTTCACCGTGTTTGTGAAGACTTTGGTGTTATGGCCACGTTTGATCCAAAGCCGATAACTGGAAACTGGAATGGAGCTGGGTGCCATGCCAACTTCAGCACAGAGGAAATGAGGAAAGAAGGAGGGCTCAAGTAAGTCTTTCAGTTCTCTAATTCTGCACATTCTCATTTGAGAAACTACTTCAACCCACTCCACTGAGAGTCAATGAATTTGTCTGTGCCAATGAGTGTCAGGAACACTGAATTGTCCAGGTAAACGATTCTCTCTCCTCAGGGTAATTGTAGCATTGAACCTAGTAGCTCCTTATGCTTTTACCAATACCATTGATAAATAAAGGAAACCATAAGATTATTAGGATACAAGATGGGAAAATGACCTTTTATGACTCATTTAAGAAACTGTTTAATTTTGTGATGAGAAGTCGGGAGATTGAATATTTTGAAAGATTTTGAAAGATTGAATATTTTGAAAGATTGAATATTTTGAAAGGATGAAAGGATGATCACATGGGCCAAATGGTCTTCACCAACCAAAATATTGGCATCATGTGAACGTGGGCTGAATTGAGTTCTAAAATTTTAATATTGAACTTTTCAGGTACATTGAAGAAGCAATTGAAAAGCTGAGTAAGAGGCATGCCTACCACATCTGTGTGTATGATCCGAATGAAGGAAAGGATAATTCTAGAAGGCTGACTGGATTGCACGAAACCTCAAGTATCCACGATTTCTCGGCCGGCGTAGCAAACCGTGGGGCCAGTATCAGGATCCCACGTCAAGTTGGCCAGGATCGTTGTGGATACTTCGAGGACAGAAGACCATCTGCAAACTGTGACCCTTATGCTGTCACAGAAGCTCTCGTCAGGACCTGCATCCTAAATGAAACTGGGAATGGGCAAAAAGTTGCTATAAAATAAAACTTCAGAGAAGAATGGGACTTAAAACTAAAGGACTCCATAGGATTTTTTTAAAAGGTTGAGAATAGAAACTTTCTCATTTGGTCAAAAATCACTATTAGACATGAGCTGTTTTTTTCCCGAGGTGCTTACTGCATACTTGTATGGTGATGTGTATTTAATACTTATTCTGGGTTGGAGACTTTTTGATACACTGCTTTTTGTATTCTTACATTACCTTAAATGGTAATATTTTATTCTCAATTTGGGTTGTGTACCAATTGTGTGAGTTTAAAAGGGGTAAGTTTTCTGGGGTTTTGGGATCTGCTACTCATTTAAACACAACAATTTTAAGTGTTTTATAAACCATAGTAGAATATTTCTTTTTGAATGTACACTAAAGTTTCTTCTAGAATGAAAACTCTAAAGTCTGGTTCTACTCTGAGCTTTACAAACCTCCTCAAAGACTAATGGAGAAAGGATACATGATTGTAACTTGGACTTTCTGAGTAGCTAACATAACAGTGGATGGCATTTAATGTTCAGTCTAATGCTGCTAATGGATGGAATAAACATATTGGATACAAGGTTTGTACCTAAAGGTGTTCTTTTATTATATAAAAAATAACACTTTGATATTCACTCAAATTAAATCAATGTTTTACTTGCCCTGCTTTGACGTATCTGTGCTCCTCGCAACATTTGATCAGTTTATAGCATAAACATATTGCTTTGTTACTAAATTGGATTGGCAAAGAGCAGTGTCATAAACAGAATGTCTGTTCCAGAACCTAAAGAACTTGTTTTTTTTATATCGAGGAAGGAAAACGGCTGGATGCCCCCGCTTCTGTAGAAATATTGCCTTGATGCAAAGTGTTGATGTGTTGTTTATGATCAAAGTGATGTTCAACCTCTTCTTAACTGATGCTGCAGAGAACATATCCACAAATAGCAGTGAACTTTCTCCCAAGCAAATAAGTAAATGTTTTGGGATGCTACAATAAATACATTTGCATAGTCCCAAGAGTGGCACGACCGTTTTCCATCAAATAACTTAAGCCTAAACATTGCAACAGTGACAAAGTGCATTTATATAGTGCCTTTCATTATCAGATGTTGAAGTGTTTCATTGACCATAGGAATGTGTATCAAATGCACAAGGAAATAGGCCTTTAAGAGGTGTCTGAAGGTTAGGAGAAAAAGATGAAGATGACTATTTTAGAAGATCACCATTAATCTATTTTCCAGAAATCCAACAGGTTTTTTTTAAATACAAAATTATTAATGGTTGTGGTTATGATCCTGCTTTATTTATTTTATTTCTGGTACTACATTTGACTAAAAAGGAGCTTTGCTACAGTTTATTGCAGGTACCATTTAAGGGGAGCATCTTTCAGAGTGGGACAATCAGGTAATATTGAGTCAAACTGCTGTGCTTGGACTGTCGCTGTCTGTTGTGGGTAATGCACTGCTCTTGTCATCAGTCTGTCTGCTGCTGAACCTGAAGCAATAGAAAAGCTCCAAGAGGACAGAAAGCCTTCACCCGAGCTTTTTTTTGCACCAATTGGTGTTATGTTGTAGTCAGTGTTAAGCTAATAGTGTGACACAAATAAATAATCCTTACATTTGAGACGGTGCTTTTCATGTCAGAAGGACATCTCAAAGCACTTCACAGTATTTAATGTAAAGTGTATTTCGTAGGCAAACCCAACCCCCAATTTTGTACACAGCAATGTCCAGCCATGAAGTCAATGACATTTTAAAATTTAATTTATGGGAATTGTTGTCCAGGGCACTACATCACAACAGTCTCGCACCTGATGTAAAATGCCAAATTGATACCAGCAGCACAATATATACAGTATGATTGCATTACTTGATAAGCATGAAGCACTTTTACTTTTATTCATCTTTGTAGATATAATACCGTAGATGATTTTAAGGTATGAAAAATAATCCCTTGTGTATGTACATATGTAGATATATACAGGTACAATAATTGTAGTAAGTGCAAGATTTTAGATTAAAATCGCTTCACAAACTGATGGCAAAGATTTATATTTATTGCAGAGTATCTGTTTTTCACAATGAACAAACTGCTTAAAAAATTAATTTGATCCTTTTTTATTTATTTGCAGAGTCCTATTTTGGACACTAAAGTAGTGTATAATTATTTCTATTGTATTTTTTAAAACAGGAGGGAGAATATAACTAAGCCAACTGATTTGAGAAAAAAATGCCCTTTGCATTAAGCTGTGTGTGTCTTCATAGAATTATACAGCACAGGAGGCCATTCGTCCCACTGTGTCTGTGCCGGCCCTTTGAAAAGAGCTTCCAATTCAATCCCATTCCCCTGTGCTCTCCCCATAGCCCTGCAAACTTGTCGTCCCCAAATAATTATCTACTACTCTCTTAAAAGCTGTTCGAATCAGCTTCCACCAGCGTTTCAGGCAATGCATTCCAGATCCGAACAACTCTGTGCGAAAACATTTCTCCTCACCCTCTTTCTTTTAACATCTATTTTAAATCTGTCCTCAGGTTACCGACCCACCCGCCAGTGGAATAGTTTCTCCTTGTTCACCCTATCAAATCCCCTCATCATTTTGAAAACTTGTATTAAGTCTCTTAACCTTCTCTGCTCCAAGGAGAATAATCCTCGCTTCTCTCGCCTCTCCTGATAACTGAGGTCCCTCATTCCTGGTACCATCCTGGTAAATCTCCTTTGCTCCCACTCCAATGCCTTGACGTCCTTCCAAAAGTGTGGGGCCCAGAACTGAACACAGTCTCTCGCTGAGGCCTAACCAGTGTTTTATAGAAAGGTTTATCAAAACTTTCTGACTTGTGTATTCTTTGCTCCTATTTATAAAGCCTAGTATCCCATATGCTTTTTTAACAGCTTTATCTGCCTGTCCTGCCACCTTTAAAGATTTACTTTATGAACCCCCAGGTCTCTCTGTTCCTTCACCCCCTTTAAGAATGTACCCATCAGCTTATATATATATATATATATAGCGCTCTGAGACACCTTCCGGCGTGGAGGGTGCTATATAAATCCAAGTTGTTGTTGTCACATATTGCCTCTCCACAATTTCACATTTCTCCACATTAAACTTCATCTGCCACACGTCTGCCCATTTTACTAGTCTGTCTACGTCCATTTGCAGTCTGCTACTATTCTCCTCACTGTTTACTACTTTTCCCAGCTTAGTATCATCTGCGAACTTCAAAATTGTGCTCCCTCTACCCAAGTCCAGATCATTTACATAGATCACAAACACCAGTGGTCCCAGTACCGAACCCTGGGGGACACCACTGAACACTTCCCCCTCCAGTCAGAAAAACAATTTCAACCAAACTTGCACTTGGTAATCAAATTACGTACATAACAAGTATCAGGAACATAAGAGAACCAAAGTATGTTTACAGCATTCAGTTCATGGTGCCAAGTTTTACACGCTCCTCTCACGAGTGGTATTTACTAAATTCCTTGGCTTGTTCACCCGCTTAAATAGTTTTTTTTTCAAGTTTATACCCAATTCCCATTTATATTGCTGTTTACATTCATTTTCTGCCCACAAAATATATAGTGGTCAGTGAAAATTATGCTTCAGGGTCACCTCTCTCCAGCTATTTGTTTGAGATGCGTTTGTTCCAGTCCTTGAATGTAATAAACTGCAAAGTACTGCCTCTCCGGTGCAGCCTGTGTACATGCACAGCAGGACTGGAGTCCCGAGAGTTATTGGTTGTGTAATAATTTTCATTTAGAACAGAAACCGTACAGGTTAGAGTTCCAGAAAGAGTGAAAAATAAAAACATTTCAGAATAATAGAACAGGAGAGGCTACGCAGATGTCAAACCCGTTCCATCAGTTTATTTGATCGTGGCAGATTTTTAAAATCCCATTTCCCTGATCTCTTCACCCCCCCCTTCCCACCCCACGTACTCCTGTTACTTTCTATGTGCTAATCTGTTTCCGCAGATCTACTGTTTCTCTCCCCTCCTCCCGCGCACAACCTGTTCTTTGTATCCTTTGCCAATTTCTCAAGTTACTCTCATGGATAGTTTCTGAAGTTGACCACAAGGGGGTAACAGCTTGAGATGTAAACCATCCACTGTTCCAACCACCAACATTAGAATTGATTTGGTGTGGAATCAAGGTTGAAAGTTGTGTCTTGGAAATACGGGCACAACTGTTACAGATTGATGCATTGGATTAGATATTGTGTAATATTCTGTCTCATAATTAAGGAATTATATTAAAAATTTGCTTAATTAATGGGCTTTATCTTGAGGACACTAACTTAATTACAATTAAATAGTTCCTCAACTCTCTTTTAAGACTTTCATCTGGTCCTTGACAAACCTCCACAATATCGCCTTGCTAAATTTACCCTCCACAAACTCTTAGGTCGCTCCCTATTCCCTCGAGGATCAATTTCAAAATTCTTGTTCAAACATTCAAATGTGTCTACACCCTTGCCCCATCCTAGTCAGCTCCTCTCCCTCCCTCCCCTCTGCTAATTCAAGCCCACTGCACAACTCTCTCCTCCCCAACAATGGTGCACAGGTTTTCAGCCACTTTGCTATGCGCTTTCTAGGACTCTTCAAAATCCATCTGCTTTACATCTGCCACACAAGGAGAATGGCCTATTTTGGTAAGGCACTGGAGGGTTGCCAACACTTATGGAAACATGTCTAGCAATGATGGGATGGGTTTGAGCATAAAATTAGTGAGAAACTAAACCCACAGGGAGCAACTGCAGTCATTATTTCAATGACCATTACAATTATTCATGAAATTATATAATTTTATCTTCTATTACGAGGGGTGGTGAGAGCTGAGATTGGTACGATAAATCTTTCTGATCATATTCCTGACTGGGTACAGTCAATGCTAATCTTGATCAACTGAATATAGATTTAATGAATCTCTGGTAGTTGATGAAACTTGGGAGCAGATGCTGAGATTCAATTTAGAAAATTACATGAGAACTACATGACACTCCATGGTCCTGCCAGCTTCTCAAGTTGTAGAATTATTCTTTACAGAAAAAGAGGAAGCAAAGGAGTGTCAATGATTTGGAAGGACAACCTAAAAANGCTAGAGATCTTGCATGAAAAACAAATGCTAAGATCAAGCTGCTATAGGATCTGAAAGCAGAAACAAATTCAATTCAGTGCTGAGCAATTATATAATTTACACTATTCAGAAGCAGTTTGTCACTCCAAGCAGAGCAATAAACATACACATCTGTGGCAAATAGACACAAGAAAAAGATATTAATTGAATCAAAGCAAAAAAAGGACGTTTATATGATAGAAATCAATATAGTTTTTTAACAGTTCTATTCAGAACTATGTGGATCTCAAGGGTGAATTGAAAGGAAGGTTAAAAAGGAATTTTTGCAATTTCTAAACCTCCTCAAGCTGAAACTCAAGGTAGGAAGTAATTAGATTTCCTTTTCTCTCAAAGAGAGATACATACAGAGAGCTATAAATTTGCTCCCTGTGGGGAAGGGATCAGGAACTGATGATTACACTGCAGGCTTTTACTTGAGACGTTGGCAGGACCATGAAGTGTCATAAGGAGTTCAGGGCACATCAACTCCCTACAATGACAACTAAGGGTATTTAAAGCAGCTCCTGAGAAAAAGTGTCAGTTTTAGCACTTAAATTAGCTGTAATATCTGCTCTCCTAAAATCTAGACAAGACCAAATGCAATGTGGAAGCTATTAACTCCCCTCTCTCATCAATACAAACTGTAGCTCTCCAAGATGCTACCCTGCGTGAAGGACGCCTAATAAGAAAGTTGTTGTTGCCATAGTCCCAGTGGCTTTGGTAGACAATTTGTTCATGTCTTTGATGGGTAGCAATCAAGACAGGATTTATGAAGTGGTATTCATCTGTGAGTAACAAATGCTAATTCTCTAATGCAATAGCAACGTAAAGAATATTTGAAAATTGCATGGCACCCACAACAAGAAGATTGCACTTATAGAGCGCCTTTCATGTCGGGAGGACGTCCCAAGGCGCTGGACAGTTGGGTCAGGACCTGAGCATTGGGGGGGAATGGTCAGGGTGAGGGGAGGGAAAGGAGGGAGCGAGGAGGGGGTAGAGAGTAGAGAGGGGAGCTGAAGGCACGGTTGAAGAGAAAGGCCTTGAGACCGGCCTTGAAGGAGGAAAGGGAGGAAGCGGCGAAGGCACTGGGGATGGAGTTCCAGAGCCTCGGGGCTGAGAGGCTGAAGGCCACCGATGGTAGGGCAGTTGGGGCGGGGGATGTGGAGCAGACCGGAGCCGGAGGAACGGAGGGTACGGGCAGGTAGGGAGGGGGATAGTAGGGCGGAGAGGGAGGAGGGAGCGAGGCCGTGAATGGCCGTGTAGGTGAGGATGAGGATCTTGAATTCGATTCTCTGGGGGATGGGGAGCAGTGGAGGCGAGCGAGGGTGGGAGTGAGGGCGAGGGTGAGGGTGGGAGTGAGGGTGAGGGCGAGGGTGCGGGTGGGAGTGAGGGTGCGGGCGGGAGTGATGTGGTGAGGGACAGTATACGAGCTGCAGAGTTCTGAATGACCGGCAGTGTGGAGGGAGGTGGCGGGAAGGCCGACGAGGAGAGAGTCCCCATAGTCCAGCCTTGAGGTGATAAAGGCGTGGACCAGAGTGTCAGCCGCGTGAGGGGTGAGGGAGTGCCGTAGTCCGGCCATGTTCCGGAGGTGGTGGAAGGCGGTGCCCGTTGTGGCGCGGACGTGGGGAAAGAAAGGACAGCTCACCTATTCTGATGCTGAAACGATCAAGCGTCGGCCACATTGCCTGCGACCGTCAAATGAGTCAAAACAAATCTGAAAACTTTATGAGACCGCATGACCCGAACCTTAAGCACTATTAAGGTGTTGTGGACCCGGTTTAGGTCGAAATGACATCATTCAGTTCCTGCAGTGACGCGGCGCCCTATCAGGACCGTGAGAAGCCACACCTCGGAAATCATGAGTGAGCAATGCTGTGAGTGTCACACGGAGTGTCGGCCACCCCCTGTGGGACTGGGATCCCCACTGACGTGTCTGTCCTACGTGTCAGATCCCAAAGGCCACCTGTTTCCAGGGCAATAAGAAACGATGCAGAGTTTTAACTGAGCGCCGAACATTCCCACCCGCACTGAACTCCGCACTCCATAACCCTCCGTAACCCCCTAACGATTTAGGGGCCTGAAGACCTTCCTCTTCGACCGCCACCTACGGTCACCTCCCCCCTCCCCCTCCCCCCGGCCCGGCCTCCACCACCGTTAAGCGCTCCGAGGCGCCTGCCAGCCGCGGCTGAGCGGAAGCCATCGCGTCCCTCACCCGCTCCCCTCATCCTCGTGGCCCTCACGTTGGGGCCCCTCGACAGCCCGCGAAGCGCGGCGCGAAGGGGGGGGGGGGGTGGCAGTTGACGTACATAGGCGCTGTGCGTGCGCGCGGCGCGAAGGGTGGGGGGGGGGGGTGGCAGTTGACGTACATAGGCGCTGTGCGTGCGTGCGTGCGCGCGCGCGTGGCGCGAAGGCGGTGACCGTTGACGTACGGGCGCTGTGCGTGCGCGAGGGGAGGGCGGGAGGAAGAAAGGAAGGAAGGAGGAGGGAGGCGGCGGCGGCACCAGGAGCTGCGCGAGGCTCCGCGCTCGCGCTCTCTCACTGACTCACTCACTCACTCACTCACTCGCCCTCCCCTCCTCCCTCCCCTCCCGCTTAGTCTGTCGGTCGGTCTCTCACGGTCGCAGAAGGGGGTGGGGGCTCGAGGTTGGTTCGCCGTCGGGGGGTCCGGGCGGCCATGGGGAAAGTTCAGGAGTTGAGCATCACTTTGAAGAACAGCAAAGTGGTGTACGGGCCCGGGGAGTTCATCTCGGGGGAGGTGGGCTTCAAGCTGGCGGCCCACCTCAACTTCAGAGGTGAGTGACACGGGGAGAGGCTCCCGCGGCTTCAACTTCCTGTGGCCTGGGCTTCGCTATCTCCCTCCCACCCGACTTGTCCCAAGGCCTTAAGGAAGAGTAAAGAGGGCAAAGTGGATGGGTGGGAGAGTAACTACTCCGCCCCCCCCCCCATCCAAACCCCCCTCCCAACCTCCGCCCCCAAACTACTCCCCCCTCCCAACCACTCCCCCCCACCAACCGCTCCCCCCCCCACCAACCCAAACCCCCCCCTCCCAACTCCCCCCTCCCAACCCCCCCCCCCAAAACCAACTCCCCCCTCCCAACCCCCCCCCCCAAAACCAACTCCCCCCTCCCAACCCCCCCCCCCCAAAACCAACTCCCCCCAACACCCCCCCAACTCCCCCTCCCAACCCCCCCCCCCAACCCCCCCCCAACCCCCCCCCTCAAAACCAACCCACCCCTCCCAACCAACTCCTGCCCACAAGCTTGTGTGTCTGCGACGGTACGTGTGAGGTTGGTGGGGGGGGTGGGGAGAGGGAGAAGAGAGAAAGAGAAGGACTACAGATCAGAAGGGAATGGGGGAGAGAAGGAGGAAGCAGAAGTGGGGATGAAAAGGGAATAAAGAGGTGATTGGGGCAGCATTGAAAGGAGATGTTCTCAAACACACACACACACACACAACACTGAGCAATGAAGAGCCAACGGGCACAGCTGCAAGATAACTGGGAAAAGCAGGAGTAATAATAATAACAATAATAATCCTTGTATTTGACATAGCGCCTTATCCTGTGGTTGAGAGGTCTCAAAGCGCTTCACAGGATACACTGTAAAGTGAGTTGACTGTGTACTTTGTGGCAAGTAAGTGCAGTTATGGAATTTTTTTAGGGGAATCTGAGGAGAGATTAAAGGGAGTTCAAGGGGAAGGAGGGAGAGAAGCGCACAGTTGTTTATTTTAAAGTATTTCGTAAACATTGCGTGCATTTAAAGTGGCTATCTGAGGCAGATTAACAGGGCTAACTGCAAATTATCTGCAGTATTTCTGTACTTCTTTTTAGAACAATGAGCTTTTAACCCACTTGGATGAATAATGGGTGCCTCGGAGTGATTATAAAGCTGTAATCGCCTTTGTTTCAGATGATATTATTAAGACAGGTTGAATGTTGTATAAAGTTTCCTGAACTCTCTGATTACAGCCTTGAAATCACTCTGGTTACATTCTCTCTCTCTGCTCCTCCAGCATGTTGGATTTATCACTTTGTTGTCAGCTGCCATGTACCCTGTGCTTTGGATGTAGGATAGTGCAACGGGAAAGGATTAATGGTCTTGCTATAATCACTGCCAGTTTTATTCAGTGGTAATCACTTGATCGCTAGGAGATAAAAGATTGTATATTGCAGGGGTGTCAAACTCAGCTGGCCACAAGGTTCATTTAAGTTAACACTATTCACTTGGTGGGCTGCATCATTTTTTTAAAAAAGTTGCATGTGCAGTGTGTCATTGTGCTTTTGTATGTTATAATCTTTCATTAACAGCAACCGTTGCAGATGTGTTGTCTTGGCGTACCATTCAGTGAAAAATTAACCTTCTGTCCAATGATCTTGAAATATCCTGCTCCTCCTGCACCTTTCGCTTCCGTGACATCTCAAACTACGTTTTGACAACTTATTTCAAATTTAATACAAAGTAAAAGAAATTTTTAATATGACTTTGCTTCGCTATACTACTCAATGTTAGGAGTGCGCCTTTACATGTGTATGGGAGCAAATGTATTCTGTACGCCATCTGATTGGCTATTTTTACTAACCCTGTGAGCTGTTATTGGCTTAATGGCAATGTTACTTATGCAATGCAGAATGCACAGGTATTAATATATGCCTTATATTAAAAAGAGGAGGGTTGTTTAAAGAAAAAGTATAGTACAGTGTATGAACTCGATTTTAGAAACTAATTGACGTGCCGCCAAATATCACCCCATGGTCCGCCAGTATGGTTGATACTCTTGGTATATTGTGGATTTACTGCCATTGGGTCACTTACTGTTGATGCAGTCAGAGTTTCCGTTGGTCGACAACAACAACAACTTGCACTTATATAGTGCCCTCCATGCCGGATAGAGTCTCAGAGCGCTTGTAGTCAAACAACAAGAACAAAGTTTGAATTGCTGATCTCTAAGATTGTTGCTGTCCCTTCAGAATTGTGATACATTTTTAGCTGTATTTTATTGTGGGATATGATTAAGAATATCGGTGGATTGGGATGAGGAGTTATGGAAGAATGCACTGTCCTCCATACAATTTCATTTTAACAAGTTGTGTTGGGGAAAATGGTAGCATACTAGCTTTAGCAGAAATTGTACTTATGTAATTTAAGAAGTTGCAGTGTCCAAATGAGCAGGATAGAATTGTGTAGCACTTAGCAGAACATGTAGGGAGGGCTTGGTGTTTCTAAGCTGTTTACTTTTCTCAATGATTGCGTAATAGGAATATGCCCCTAACCTCTGTAACCCAAGTATGTATGTATGACACAACATCTGAAACACTTCCCCCCCCACCCATCTTATCCCTGTTATGTCAAAATTCTGCCTCAAAATGTACCTCTTCAAAGGTGCTATTATCATCTTCTCTATCCTCCCCTCACTCCCTTAGATGGTATCTGATCCCATCCCTTGTAAAGTGCTTGAAAGTGTGCTGTATAAATGCACGTTGTTGTTTATTGCATATTAGTAGACTTTAGACATTAAAGGAAGTAAACATTTTAAAGTACATTATGCTTCAACTGCAATGCTTGGTTGATTACCTGTGACAGATCCAATGTCATGTCTGCGGGATGGCAATCTAGTCAACTGTGGGGAACATCACAGCTGAACGCAATCCTTCACACTGGTGCACATTTTCTCGCAGGGGGCCCTAGATATCCATCAGCAGCAGGAACTCTAACTAATTAACAGTAGAGACAAGTATTTGAACCCATGACACACATTTCTACTAAGAGAGTTCAAAGTATTGTTGAGACTTGTTTGACAGGCATATAAATCTAGAGGATCAATATAAAATTTGCCAGATACACAATAATGGCATTCTTTTGTAGATTTTCAGGATGATGAATATCATTTGTAAATTCAGTGCAAAGTTCCAATGTTTAAAAATACTTTGAAGGCATCATATCTTTCTTCAAAAGTTGCAAAAGCAATTTTTTTAAAGCACATTGAATTCATTGCCCACTATTTCAAGAAAGCTGTGAGGCAGCAATGAATAAGGCAGACAGGATGCTGGGCTCTACTGCTAATTTAGTTGAGTTTGGATACCCAGAAGTCATAGTCGGACTGTTTGGTCTTCTGTTCAGCCTTAGAAGAATGACCCCATGATCTAATAGAATGGCGAGACAAGCTTGGAGGGCTGAATGGCCTGTTCCTATGAACTATTAGAAAAATTAGGGCTCTTCAGCCTTGAAAGACGATGACTCCGTGGGACCTTATTGAGATGCTTAATATTTTCAATGGGATTGAAAAACTAAACCCAGAACAATACTTCAAGATACACCAAGATAATAGAACAAAAGGACATGGGTTTAGAGTTGTAAAGGGCAATTTCAGGACAGATACCAGGTAAAAATAAAATTGAACAAAAATAGCTCAGGTTATGTATATATATAATATATTACATTGTATATATTACATGATGTGTGTGTGTATATATATATATATATATATATATGGTTCCAAACTTCCTCTCTCAAACAAAAAGATTGTTGAAACTTTTATTTAATAAAGTTCTCTTGGAACTTTTTCTTTTGAAATACAATGGCATAGTTTGAGTGGTCAGTCTCTTTAATTTAAACAGTGCCAAATGGAACTCCCACAGGGGCATAGAATGAAGGAAAATTCTGTGCACATTTATTGGTTAGTAATTAACCTAAGGTGGATTGAGGTTTTTTTAAAAAAAGATTTCTGAGTGGGATGTTGACCTTTTTATAAAAATTTGATTTTTTCTGGAGCAGTCAACGGTAACCTTGATGAAAGTTAGTCCACACTGGAGGCAAAGTATGAATTGACTATTGTTGGTATGTCAGGTCATGCATTTCAGTTAATGAATTACAAAATTGCACCATAATGAATCCAGAGGTTTTGCATTAAAGGCTCAAATAAATCTACCAGAAACACCAGTACAAAGGATCCCCTGTTTTACGGGTATAGTATGCAATATTTGCCAGTTGCAGTGCTAAACACTGCGCATAAAAGAAGTCGATGGTGAACCAGTTGAACAAGTTTAAATATCTTGTGCTGCAAACTATTTAGTGTTCCTATCAATGTAACTGAGTTACTGGATGTGCGGTTTTTGGGAGATGCCAAGTTGAGGAGTGAGTGGGAAGGGGTGGGGCGGTGGAGGAAGAGGTTTATTTTCTGTCACTTTAGTGCTGTTGGCAAAAGTAAAATATGGCTTTACAGAAAATATGGCTGTGGGTGTGTTAACTTTTCTTACCATTTGCCTCTCACTCTAGCTGTAAAAGTGAACTGCATTGGATCTTGCGGTGTGTCCAACAAAGCAAATGACACAGTATGGCAGGCAGAGGAGCAGTATTTCAGCAGTACACTTGTTGTCGCAGAAAAAGGTAAGAAATTACATTATCCAACCTCCCCTTCATGAAACCCAATTTTGAAATATTGGCTGTCAGCTTGAAGAGGTTGAGCATCTTATTGAAGCAGTACTTGAAATGGAAAAGGAGTGTTTCAAACATCATATTACGTTTTTTGTTTTGGCCTGGAATTGACTGTTAAATCAGTTCTTTTCAGTTTTTTGTTTATGATGTTTACATGGTGTTGAAGTACTAACTGCAGGCCTGGTGGCACTTCAATGGACTCTTCTTGTAGACTCTCTTTGGGCTATTTCTCTGCTCAGGGTGTCAACTCTAGGTCCACCAATAGAATCATTGCAGCAAATTGTGAAATGACTGAACCGAAATCAAGCAGTGAGTTTGCAGATTAAAGATTCACTAATCCACATTGAATCATTAACCAATAATGTTTTTTGTTGTTGGTGGCCTTGAAACAGTGGTACAGAATGTATTTAGGGAATGACATAAAAGGTCCTGTGAAATGGGGAATTAATAATAGAACACGATTGATTGAAAATACTTGGCCAAATTGATGCATTTAGCCATAGTGACTTTCTATTTATAGAAATAAAATATATTTACAATTTACAGCAACTAAGATTAGATAGGGTTTTACTGATGGGAAGAATGTAATTTTTATCTTCTGTCCTCTTACTCACTACACCCCCCCGCCCACCACCACCATCTGAAACCAATGACCTCGGTGGGCCATAGCTGATCAGCAGACCTGGGTACCTTATCCAATCAGCTGGCCATTCTTCTGGAGCCCAGACAGTAATTTTTTTCCAACATGATACTGTATAAGGAATTGTTTTACTTCCTGTTATGTCATGGGAGCGCTGCCATTTCATCTCTGCTTCCTCATTTGCTGCTCCAATTAAATTAGTTATGGAGAGAGCCATGGGTGTTCAATTATTTTAGCAGAGAGCCAACTAAACACCAGGAAAACATAGTCAGTTTAATACCGTTTCTATAAAGATTTTACCAGAATACTAGAATATTTTCTATTATGGTTAATCATATAATATGAAAGATTTGCAAGCAGTATAATGTTTATTTTAGTTTTCAGTTGAAAAGAACATGTTGAGGTTCCATTTCTAATAAGTTTGGCAAATGTTTAAGTGAAAGCGCAATGGAGCTTTATACTAAAACTGCCTTTGAAAAGGGGATTTGTTTAGTTATTTTGCCTTTCTCAGTTCCTTCAGTGTTTCTGTATTGACTGGTGTGATTTTAACAAGAATGTAGTGATGTATTTGTGCAGCATCAAGTTGATAAGCATTGATTTATTTATGAAGCACTAACACTGCAACAAAGCATCACGTTAGGGGTATAATCTTCAGTTGGTCTATAAATGGCTGGCTGTAAGCGGGGTGTGGGAGTCCACAGTGCACTAATTAAGTTTTCTCCAATGAACATGCTCTGCTCTGAAGGATATAAAACAAAAGGTGCACAGAAGATCATGTGAGTGGGAATTTAGGCAAATCTGTGCTATTTGGATATTTGTGTTTACAGTATGAAGGGAACTCACTAAATTAAGAGGCTCTGTTCTTTGTTCAAACCTAATGCAAATTGAAAAGGGGAGATTGAATACAAATCATTTTTTTAAAAAAAGTTCTTCCTCATAAGTTTAACTTCTATATGAACTATGGGATTTATTCACCAGGCACAGAAAAAACATTACCTGAAGGCATAATGAAATTAGCTCCTTTGTTTAGTCATTTTATTCGAGTGATCTTCCCTGTGCTGATGGATGTAAACTCACTTAGAACCACATGCTGAGTTCTTTTGTTATCATCATTAGCAGCAGCCTTGACTGTTGTCCATACATATAAGATCATTTTATTTCTATGCTTGTGATAAATTTTTGTATTGTTTATTATAGTTTGTGGGTGTACAGTTTTCATGTGAGCTTAGCTTGGTTTGTAGCATTGTGGCCTCTGAGTTAGTAGGTTGAGTTCAAGCACCAAATCATATCTGGGTTGCCACTCTACTGCAGGGCTGGAGGGATCATTTGCATTGTCAAAGATGTCATCCCTCTAATGAGATTTTAATTTGAGATATGCCCGTCTGGGTGATCATTATCTATGACACTATTCAAAACGAGAAGGAAGTTTCTCTTGATGTTCATCAAGTGTACAAACTCAGCCAATGATCTTCCAGATAAATAGAAGTTACTGGGAACACACAGCAGGTCAGGCAGCATCTATGGAGAAATCGGGTCCACGGCCCTTTGTCAGAACCGAGTTCTGACAAAGGGTCGTGGACCTGAAACCTTGACTTGCTTTTCTTTCTCCAAAGATGCTGCCTGACCTTCTGTTTTTGTTTCAGATTTCCAGCATCTGCAGTATTATGCGTTTTGTTTCCAGATAAATAGGTTTGCTTCCTCGCCATCTGTGGGACAGTGCCAGACATGAATTGGCTGATGCATTTGTTTACAAATATAGTTAACTCTACAGCGATTCCATGTGAAACGTGTTGAGATGTTTCATTTTTTAGGCATTCTATCACTGAATTTTGATCAAGTGCTATCTTCCTTCCATCTTTTACACCTGTGTAATGTGAGACATTCTGACTGACTTTGGGCTGGTCTTTGGTTTGTTAGAAGTTACATCCAATCTGTTTACAATATTCTATTGTGATTTCCTCAGAACAATGGTCAGAAAACTGCCCAAAGTCTGCATATCCAATTATGTAGAAATGAAAATTTCAACGTTACTTATGAGCTTCTAAAATAAACTATGCAACTGCCTCTCATGGAGAAAACTGTCTAAGTAAATGCTTCTAACTGAGAGTGAATCAGAAAACCTAAACAAATCTTTTCGAACACGCCCATTCAGTTTGGTGCATGATTTGCATTACAACAACAACAACAACAAGATTCCATTTATAGAGCGCCTTTCACGTCAGGAGGACGTCCCAAGGCGCTGCACAGTTGGGTCATGACCCGAGCAGGGGGGAAATGGTCAGGGTGAGGGGAGGGAAAGGAGGGAGAGAGGAGGGGGGAAATGGTCAGGGTGAGGGGAGGGAAGGGAGGGAGCGAGGAGGGGGAAGAGAGTCGAGAGGGGAGCTGAAGGCACGGTCAAAGAGAATGCCTTTTGGTCCAGGAGAGGGCCAGAACGTTAGGCAACATTGATAGTCAGGGACCAGGGGAAAACAGTTTTCTCTCCTCACCCCTACATGCAGAATGCTTGTTTGCTTAAATCCAGAAACTGCTCTGAAAAAGGGCAGAAAAACACAATGTTCTATTTCCATGACTTTGCAGGTCCCCAAACACACAGGAAACACTCTGTTGAGCTGATTTGACTTGTGTTGTAAGAAATGTTATCCAGGTCAAGAGAGTATTTTGTTGCACATGATTTTCCTGTTTTTTTTATTCCTTGAGAACTTGACATTGATGATAATTGTATTTAAGATACTTCAGGGATTGCATCTGGGAAACCGGCATATCTGACTTCCAAAGGCATGTACGTTTTATGTGATTCTTGAACCTGCCTGAAAGATTAGGTTTAAAAATAGCTTTCATCAGTAGCTGATTTACTCTCATTACCATTGCCTTCATGTTAACAATCAGGGTATATTCACCAATGTCAATTTTTTGTAATATTTCAAAGAAAGATTTTAATTTTGTGACTGAAATTTAGGTTTTAGACATCTGTGCGCAACTAATTATTTTGTTAGTGCGAATATTGTAACTGGCAATTATTTTATAATTAAAATATTTTACTGGGAATCTGTAAACCCGATTCCCTGTTATGTACATTTAATGTATTTTAGATATTGCATCGAGTATTTTCATTGCATGAATATTTTAGTGGTGGTCACTCAATGTTGGTTAGGTGTTAGATGTCTCGAAGACACGGTGGGGCGCTTTATCAAGTGCAAGGATTATTATTGTGGAGTCCTGTAGCTTAGTGGTTAGAGCACTCGCCTCGCAAGCAAGAGACCTGGGTTCGATTCCCGGCAGGGTGAAACATTTGGCAAGTTTCCTTACTCCACACGCCTCCATTTACCTAGCAGTAAGTAGGAACCCGGTTGTTAGTTAATTGGCAGATCGCTTTTCCAGGGTTAATAATTCCTTCAAACAAAAATAATAATTTGGTCCCTCAATCCACGACTGTTTGAGGGACATTGCTGTATGCAATTGGCTGTCGCGTTTCACCCACAAAATATACAATCTTACAGTGTATTCTGTGAAGCGCTTTGAGACGTCTCAAAGACGTGATAAGGCGTTATATCAAATGCAAGGATTGTTATTATTATTCACCCACATAAGTGGTGGAAACAAGGGTATGCACATTTTCATATGCATATTTTCCTAATCAAAACTTTATGAAAGCCCTTATATAGTAAAATTTGCTGATCAATCAGATTATAAGTAATCCTCGCAGTGTTCATTTACAAGTGGTTCTGTTTGCTTAACATGGCTTATTGTGTGAAAAGCAGAAACTGGTAACCCCTTCCCCAAAAAATAGCAATTGGATAGACACAGAATTTAGCTATGCAGTGGCTTGTTGTAAATATCTTCTCCCCCAACAAACCATAAAAGAAAATTTACAATACTCAGAAAAAAGAAGCATACGTATATAAAAATCCAAGTTTCCATTTTCTGTCTTTTTAAATTAGAATATATTTCCTTAATGGATGTCCCATATGTTAGATGCAGTGTTGCCTTTGGCATTTTCTTGGCTTGGTTTTCAGACCATTCTGGTACTTGAAGATGAGGTAATGCTTAACTCTTGTGTTTTCATTATCTTAACTGCATTTAGCGTAAACATTTAATATTGCAACACAATTGATACACATTTTACTGTTGAATTAAAATGAATTAAAACATATTAACAAATGCTTTGAGGATTAGACATTGCCTACAGGTCAATTTTTACTTTATGTAATCAGAAGTGTGATTTTCTTAAAAACAAAACAAAATGTAAAACATTTAAGAAATAATACAAGAATCATTCTTGTTACAACAGCTTTGCAGTGTCCTGGTAAAATGGTGTTACATTGTAAGTTGCCCAAAAATGTCATAGTGGAAAAAAATCTTATTAAAATAACATTTTAAATTCATTGTTTTATTTTATTTCTATCTGCACAGCGTCTTTGTCAGCTGGGGAATACACGTATCCATTCCAGTTTCTCCTTCCAGGTAAGCTAATGTTTACAAGATGTGGGATGTTGATCTTGAGATTGCAAAACATATCAGACCCAGCAATCAGCTGATAATTGTGCAGTCTGTCCAGATTTGCTCTTGTCTTGTTCCTTAAACAACAGAGTTAGGTGTGCTTAAAGCAGGGCCACTACACACTCTAGGTTATTGACAACACACAAGAGTCCTATTGATCTTCTGTTCTCTTTCCTGTTCTTTCTTCACTCCCCCTCCCCTCCCCCAGCTATTCCAGATACTATTTTTAGTGCAATAGAGTGGTTATATACTAACTTTCACCACAAATGTCACAATGTGGGGGGTAGGCATGGGGGGGACTATTAATCTAACCTTTTAGATTCATCAGCTTTTTTCAGACGTAGAATGTCGGTGCCCTTTTGGACTTGCAAGCACAGCTATTAAGCATTGCCCTTTATTGGTAAACATCAGGTAGAAATGTTGGCAAATCTGCAACCATACCTTCAGATAAACCCTGACATCATTCTTTCAGTGCCTTGGAAGCTATTTCTTTGTGCCAGAAGATATTTTTCCACCAGTTCAAGATTCAGACAAGGAGGACATGCCAAAAACAATGTTCCTAATGGTAATCCTTCTTTAAAAAAAAGTCCCATCAACCACACATTAGTGCTCCTCACCTGCTAGATTATATAATCATTGAACATAAACTTTTTTTTACACCTTTGAATGTAAGGAACATTTCATTCCTTCAAGCAATAAATTTTGTGCTGGAAGCAAGTTACCTCCTGTAGTAATGGTTTGGGGTCTTCAAAAGGGATACTGGGTGCTTTTATAAGTCCTTGAGGAAATACCCTGCAAGTTGGTTCCCCAGCTGACAGAGACAGAAAGTATTTAATGTTCACATTTTTCTTTATAAAGTCCGATTTCCCTTTCACTGTATTTATTTCTTCCTCCTTCCCTTCACCCTCTACTAATAGCAATAAAAGAAAGACTTCTGGTGGTTTGTATATAGCAATTCTGCGGTTAATGCTATTCGCTCCCCCCCCCACCCCCCCGCATTACATTGAGGTAAACGCATTCTGAACGTTGTTGTTTCTATTCTACCTGACAGTACAACTGAGATGGAAACTAGTTTGAATTACATATTTAAGATAACTTTAGAAGGGGGATGCATAAAAGAACCTAGTAAATATTTAACCCCTGCTGGGGTCTCTCTTCCTCCATTACCTGACTTTATGCCATGGTTTTGCAGAACTAACCATGACGTGGTTAGCATGTGTTCCCCTTCTCTTTTTAGACAGATGGCACCTAAACCAAAAGCCGCCTGACCTAAAACCAGAATTAGCACTTGCGGAGATGCTTGGGAGAATGTGCATCTGCACCGAGACCGGCTACAGTATTGCCGAGAGAAACACTTTGGTGTCCTTTATTTATTGGATTATGTCAAATTACTTTGAAATGGAATACCACTTGTAGAGTATATTAAGGTATTGAACTAGCCTGTGAGTAAAATATGTGCTTTTTTTCTTTTAAGCAACTGCTCCGACTTCATTTGAAGGTCCCTTTGGGAAGATAAGTTATCGCATTAGAGCTACAGTTGAAACTCCTCGCTTCTCAAAAGATTACAAAGCTGAGAAAGTGTTTTACATTCTTAATCTGCTCAACCTAAATGAGATCAATGACATTGAGGTGAGAACAATTTGCTTGGTTTGGCATAAGGGAATGATACTATGAGCTTCACTTTTTTAATATAGACTGATAGAGTAACAGCGACTGTAATGTAGAAATGTTTCTCAAGCAATTGTTTTGTTAAAGGCTGCTTTTGAAAACTAAGCCTTCAGAAAAGCCTGCATTTATTGACACAAATTGAGTTGTCCTTTTAAAGTCAACTTTATTATAGTTAAATGACCAAATATTGTCTCCCATTACTGAAAAATGCATGCTAGTTTAAAACAAATCGTTTGGATCCACTCTTAAGTTGACAATCATTGTATGTATTAATGTTACTATGTTCTCTGTTGTCCTGCCTCATTCATCCCTTCCTCATTCAAGTTGTCCTAATTAACAAAACTCCCTCATCCAAATTCACCACAACAAATACAGATAAATTGACCAACCCATCTTGTGGATATTGCTGGTGCAAATTAACTGCCACATTTGCTCTATAAAAACATTCCCTTAATTTCTAATTCATTTGCAAACAGCATTGGGACCATCACCCTAAGCAAAAAGTGTTGTATAAATTCAAACTGTTTTGTAAAAGACTGCATATCTTACAAATCTTTTACATTCCTGCATTTAGAATTTGTCTTTTTGATCTGCAATATAAACAGAATAGTTTTGCAAAGGGGAAGGGAGAAGTGTTTGAATCACAGACGAGTCTGAAGCTGACTCCCTTCCTGTTTCTGTATGCATTGTCACTTTTCAGCAGTTTTAGAGGATTTGTCTTTGCTCGTAGGTTTTTGAATTTAATGTACAATGGGGCCAAATATAAAGTAAGTCAATATTCTTGCCAACATGTTTTAAGTGTATTTATGGGTAGGTTCATGTCCAAGTGTAAATTTTAAATCAAAAAATGCATATGGGTTATCAAGCAGCAGATTTGCAGGTTGCTGGGAGGTAATTAGGGTAGCAGCAGTCATTGCTTTGACTCCTGCAGTAAATTGAGTTTTTGGGAAAACATTTCTGTAGCAAATGAGACATATCGAACATTCAATCAGTCTGTGCTCCAACTGAGGTATGAGCCAACTTCGACTTGAACTCTTTAAATTCTGCTGTGTGCTAATTTGCTGGCAATTTTGAACTAAATGCTCCTTCAAATGCTGCACAACCAATCTGAACAAAGCTGTTCTCTGTTTGCTCCTGGCCATTGCCACTTGTTCCTGGTACCTGAACAGTCAGCAGCAAAGGATACGGCATCAAATAGACTTTGCTCCCTGCAAGAATTCTTTGAATTTTTTTCACAGTTGCTGCTACCTCACTCTGATTGGACTTTGCTGCCCCTTTAATAGGTGAATTTTATTAATGTGTTATCTGCACAGCTGCAAAAGAAATTAAGCAACTTGAAGTTAATGTGGAAATTAGCTATAATTGCAAAATCATGACTCAGCGGTAAGGTGGATAAGGTACATACTACTGTAGCCTTTGAAAAACTGCTAATTACAGTATTCTGATTGTGAGATCAGGCCCTCAAATGTGCCTTTGTCCCATTTAATATTTACTTTACAGTTATTTTTGCTGGGAACAAGATTGTAATCAGTAATCTAGAGAATAATGGGTGTACATGTGCAGTTCAGATCTAATCACAGGAAGTCAACCTCCTAGCTACTGGGCAAGAAACTACAAAAGCAACAACAAATTGCATTTATGTAGCGCCTTTCCTGTCAGGCCAATAAAATTACAAAGGGTCTCTTACAGGAAGGCACAACTTTGTAGTTAGAGAAATGATAGGATAATTAACAACACCAGATTGCATTTATATAGTTCTGACGAAGAGTCGTGGACCCGAATCGTTGACTCACTTTCCTTTCTCCATGGATGCTGCCTGACCTGCTGAGTGTTCCCAGTGAATTCTGTTTTTGTTTTGCATTTATATAGTGCCATTCCTGTTGGGAGGACATCCCAAGGCATTGGACAGTCGAATGCTTGCACCCGAGCTGGGGATTGGATTCAAGAGGGGTGGGAAGGGGGTGCAAGGGGAATGGGAGTGGGAAGATGACCAAAGGCAAGGTTAAAGAGTAAGGTCCCCTGAAGAGTAATGGACCCTGAAGAAGACAAAACAAAGGGACTGTGGCATGCAGTTACAGAGGGTGGGAGTAGAAAGGTTGAAGTCCTGACTGCCATGTCCCGACTGGTGGAATGGGCCTGGTGAGGGGCATGAAGCAGGCCTGCGACGCAGAGGGATTGGGTGTGTTGGTAAAGTTTTAGCAGGTTGCAGAGGTAGAGTGGGACATGACTGGAGGGCTTTAAAAGTGAAGATGAGGATCGCATGTTGGGGAGGAGAATCTGTACAGAAATACAGATATGTACGTTGCCATATTAAGGTCTGTGCCAATAAGTTAAATTATTTCCCTGAAAATATTGTCCTCTGATCTTAAAGTGAAGTACAAATTGAATTAAGCTAAAGGTTTTACTTCTGCATATTGGCACAGAACTGCCTTCAGTAATGACCCTAACCCTCTCCTCCAAAAAAAGCAGGCCCTGATCTTCAAAAGCATTATACGTGCAGTATATACACAAGCCTATCTGCTTGTGAAGTAGATTACTTACATTGATTTTTAAATGATGTTTGTTTTTGTTTACAGCAACCGAATGTCATGCATGTGAATAAGAAGTTCAGCTACATGCTTGTGAAGAGTGGGACTGCGTCTTTAACAGTGAGCACTGACCTTAAAGGCTACACTTCAGGACAGATCATACAGCTGACTACAGCTATCCAAAACCAGTCTGGGAAAGACTTGGGTAACATTGTGGCCAGTCTCATCCAGGTAATTTTAAGGAAGATCTAAGATTACTGCAGTTTTGAGGTTTTCATCCAGTTAAGCGACATGTATTGAACTGACAAACCTTCAAATAACCTGGGAATCTTTGACTATCTTTTTTTTTGTAACTCGTATTTCATGAAGACATTGCAGGAATTAGTTGACTGCACAAGTATGGAGCTTCTCGGTGAATAAAGAGCAATTCATTCAGGATAAACTAGGATCATGGCATCTAAAGTTTGTTAACTTACAAGGAACCACAGTACTTTAGAAAATGAAGGAAGCGTTTGATTAATATTCAAACAATTAAACTGCCCTACATTTGTCTCTAAACAAGGTGTGCCTTGCAAAGCCTTATTAAACTGGAGCATTTGAAATTCGATAAGCATCCATTTGACGACCAGTCAGGTTTCTCACAGTTTAGCTCACAGCCCATTTTTAATTCATATTTCAGTTCAACCATTTTGCGTATATGTATGTTGGCTTCCAAAATACATTGCTAGTTCCTCAAAAACTTGATTTCAAAATCTCTTAAATTTGCATGGGGGCTGATGTTCAGTGCACTGATAAAATGTAGGAGACCTTTCTCGAGAATGTCATTTAGCATTAATTGTCTGACATTCTGATTCAGATTAACATTCGAATGTGACTTCTGATGCTCACAATAAAGGGTTATAGGAAGTAAAACACACCGATCTTCATGGAACGACATTGATTTACTGATCTATTTCTCTACCTCTCTTGTTGTGCTCCCCTTGCCTGCCTCCTCTCCCCTGCAGAAGTAGGAATGAGGAATGTCAGCTGAATTGCAGGCAGTTTTCAGAATTTATACCTTTTAGAATGTGTGTTTCAGTGTTGGAAATATTAATTTACCTGACTGATTTGCAAGGAAAGGGTTAAGATTTCCTGTAAAGCACAATGAAAAGTTTCCTCCATTTACAGCAATTTTCCTCCATTTACAGCTCATTATGCTGAACCAATACGTGTGGCTAAATTTACAGTAAATTGCGTGAGCTGAGAGTTTCCAGTCAAATGAGAACAATTCTGAAATGTTAATTTCCAACTCTCTTGAATAGTAATTGTCTTGCTATCATGTTATGTAGAGCTGCTACTGTATGTGCTTTGTATCCTTCCTTCTCTTTCCCTGCCTCCCACAGAAAACATGACTTGTAACGAGTGCAGTTATGCATTTTAGCATGAGAGAATTAATTGAAAATATGCACGTGAATAATTCAATGATTGAGCAGGAATTACAACAGAAACTTGCATTCATATCGGGTATAGGATAATGTCTTGGGTAATGTCTCGGATCACCTTACAAGGGTGGGGTTGGCACCAAGCAAAGAAGGGGGAACTATGAGGTGGTCATAGGCGTATGAAGGGGTAGGAGCAACTTAGAGCTTTAATTCCAGAGTATGTTGGAAAGAGCCAAGGCTTGGAACCCCAGAATGTGTCATCAGCAGTATCCTGGAGTAATGCTGACTCGCCTGGTTCAGGATCCAGACTACTATGAGAGTTACAGAGGATTAACAGTTAACACTAACATAACACATATTAAACAACTAGATTATTGCAATATCAGAGCTGTCAGTTAGAGCGGTGAAAGTGATGTTTTCTGCTCTTCGCTGCAAACTCTTTTGTTCTGCTTCTCAGAATTGTTGTGTACAAAACTGCACAAAATCTGCCTGCCGCAAACTGGTTCACCTTGTAACCTACGAGGAAAATTGTAATGTTCTATAATTATTGGAAACATTGATGTATGTTTGATAAAAAGTTTGCAAGTTTCAAATCAACTAATCTTGTAGTATTTCACATTAACACGAGTTCTGTTTCCCTAATCAAAATGTGCCTTTTTTATTTCCCTTTCCTCTCTTCTCCCCCACTGTTACACATGATTGGTTGGATATAAGAAGCCATATCTTCTCGGATTTCAATGTTGTGGTCTCCTTCCATTGGCAGTTCTTAACTCTTGTCGATAAGAGCGTCAGATTTATCAAGTGATATTTCAGTGTATCGAATAATTGAGTGTCAAGTGGCCTCTCTGGTTCTTTTTCATTTGCTGCTTAACAAAGATTTTAAAATATGGATTCAATGTTACCTTTTACCGTCAATGGGCCATTTTTTTGTGTGTGCACTAGATTGTAGTATTTAATGTAATTGAAGGGAAAATTTCTGACTCTTAACTCATGTCACAGAAAGCGACCTATAAATCAAAGCGCGCCATCTATGACCTGCGAACAATCGCAGAAGTTGAAGGATCAGGAGTGAAGTCTTGGAAGCAAGCAGAATGGAGAGAGCAGATCATTGTGCCACCGTTACCTCAGTCATCTCTGCATGGTTGCAATCTAATACAAATTGATTACTTAATTCAGGTGAGTCTTCAGATTAAGAGGCAGAGTGGGGGGAATGTGGTCATGATAAGGTTTTACATCTTTAAATTTGAAATACTTTTGGAGAAAATAAAAGCGAGCTCCTTGCTTTTCTCATCTTGTTTCTTTTTTCTCCCCTTCCCGAAAATAATTGCACTGAACTTTTGCTGACTGTTAGCTCAAGACTGTTACCTGATTATTTAATGCAAAGCACTTTTAAGAATCGTGCCTCTGATTCCTGAGCCGATTGGTCTGTGTGAGTGAGACTGATCTGTGTGAGTGAGACTGAACATTGCAGCCTCATTCACGACCATCAGGCTATACTGGCCAGAACTCTTAACACATGCAGAGACCTGCATCTTGCCATATATTTTCTCTTCCTTTTACTGTGCCCTTTATAAATCCACTTCACTGTACATGTTTAGTTGATAGATGGAGCATGGGTAAACAATTGGGTTCCACTATAGAAGTCGCTGCCTACTAATAAAGTGATGTAGGCAACCATTGATATCATGTTGGATTCCACATGTGTGGAGGACTGTATGATGAAAATGTACCTTGGTTTGTTTTGCCAGGTTTCTATCCGATCGCCGGAGATATTAGTCAGTTTGCCAATTTATATTGGAAACATTGCCGTGAACAGTCCGCCACTTACTCCCTCCAGAGAACTCCAGTGTGCTTCACCCTTGGTCGTCCCCACAGCCCCTCCAGTTGAAGACGATAGTGCTAGTGGTCATCAGCCCATGGACCGTGTAGTTCTTCCAACCAAAAGCCACTCTCAGCAACAGACATCACCTCATGCATTCAGTTACACGTCTGGGATGAACTTGCCAGACTGTGAGAGTGGCACTGGTGGACATCTTCCGGGTCCCATGCTTTGTGTTTCAACTGGTGCTACAGTCCCTTACTATGCAGATGGCCCCGTGGTCACAGTTCCTTCTGAAAATACCTTGATCCTACCTCCTGAATATAGTTCAACATGGGGATATCCATACGGTAAGTTTGATTTGGTACTGCCATGGTTCAAACCAAGGCTACTGTTTAGCGTATTATTTTAACGGATCAGCAATGAAACAGTCGTAATAAATATGATTATGAGTTTCCATCTTTCTTTACATTATCCTGAACTAAATCATAAGTGAATGTCGGTCTTATAACATAAAAAATGATTTTTTTTTACTTCTAACTCCCATGCCAGATCCACCCCCAACATATGAGGAGAGCTGCAGTAGTGCAAACTCCAGCATGAGCACAGGAAATTAAAGTGCTGATTCAAACCTTTGAAAGAAACTGAGGTAATACTACTCCTGTGCAGGAATGCCTTCTGAAGTTTTTTTTCAGGAAAACACAAGCAAACATTACAGCACTTCAGAAGAGTTTGGGATTGAAGATTGCAGGAATGTGTGATGTCTAGATGGATAGTTGAGCCACAAAAATCTTTTCAGCTAGCATTAATCTGTGATGAATGGAAGCCTGCACATGCTACCTATGAACTACTTTCACAGTGTCTTTGCTCAGACACTGACTGTTTTACTGTTGTGTACCACGCTTTTCGGGATGGTATCGACTCCGAATACCAAGTCAAGAATGTTAAAAGACCATGGATATAAATAAGTGCAGAATGCCTCCAACTTCACATAAATGCATTATCCTCTTAATGTTATGCGACAGCTGCACCTTAACCATAATTATGGGTGAATTGAATGACCTTTTCACAATCAGTCTCGTCGCTGAGTAGCCATGCCGCTAATACTGAAGGCTGCTCGCAGGCAACTCTGGGTGATTAAAAATCCAAGGTGCAGTAATGATTGCTCTTTAGAATGCGAGTTATAGAACTGGAAGGTCTTGTTCCAGATGTTGATGCAGAAAAGCAATCGTGACATGAGTCTAGCCGCACCTTTGCTCCGGTATTGATGGAATGATAAAGATAAGATTTGTCTGACGTAATAACCCGGACAGGGTTGTTGGCAGTTCATGGATGGAAGGAGTACTCATTATATGGCCCACAGACCAACTGACAGATCCACAGCTGCACTTCCCCGTTCTCCCTCACCTGCTCACACTCCTGATTTAGATCAGAAGCCCGATCCACTCTTGCACTCCAGATAAATACAGCACAGAAACATAAATGAAAAGCTTCTCATAGCGTTACAGGCCTTGGGATTCTCCAATAGAAGAGCCTTCCATGTTTTTAAAGGAGGCTGAGAAACTGAGTGCCTTGTACATCTAACAACTAGAGCTGACTCTGGATCCAATTAATGCGGGGCATTAGTATTTTTTATTAGTACTGAGCACTAATATCGCACAGTTACCTTAGTCCATCTGGATCTTTGACAAAATGTAATGAGTACCGCTGATTACATGGTAAACGTTCCACTTACTGATGAGAATAAATAAATCCAATATCCTTACAGTTTGAAGTGCTATTAAGTTGCACCTTTATACAATCGTGATTTCACAAGATGCTCTGTATAAATTGGAATATGTTTTGGTAACCGTGCGATGCATCTTTAATCTAGCACAACACACACAACAGGTATAAATTCCTGCCGAATATCTTTTTAATTACTATTCTCAAAGCCTTACTGAAACCAGCCCGGAGCCAAACTACTTGCTGAAAATGTTGACTTTGCAATTTTTNCTACTATTTGAAATGTTCAGGATTTTAAATTTTTTGTGTGCGTGTGCAAAATGTGTGAAATAATCTTGTTGAATCTCCATATAAGCACAGGTTGGGTTTGGAAAGATGCCTTGCTGGTTGAACTGAGATTCCTGCTTCTATGAAACTTAGCAATCTGCAGCAAGTGACTGCATTTATAATGGTTAAAATGCTGGAAAATGATTCTTAGCACACAGGAAGTGGAATTGCTAGTTTTGGTGACTGTATGTCCAAAACTGATTAAAACGGTAACATTATTCATGGTAATGCATAAAATCGAATTCTTACATTCTGCACTCAACAAAGTGTCTTCTGTCCAGGCTCTTAATGAACCCACAGATTGGGTGCGTTCAAGAGCGCAACTGGCTGTAGCTGCTAAACCTGTTCTGGAGTAGGAACTCTTTATCAGTTTGTTAGATAGTTTACAATAAAAGAGTTTGGAGGAGAAAGGGAAGGGAAAGACTTCTGGCAGAGCCATAGAAATTATAGGATTTTATTGGAGGGAAGTGGGGAATGGTGAGTATATTCAGGCACGCTCCTCACATTTACTGTATATACTGCACTATAATGTGCTCCTGCTGTTAAGGGACTTTGAAATAAGATATTGCAGTGTTTTTAATCCATGCCTATAATGCAGCACAATACTATATTCAAAAATGAAGTAGAATACACTGAATATCTAGGTGGCAATGCTGGTGGTTAATATGACTTGTAATGCTGCTATTTAGACATTAGTGGAGTCCTGTAGCTCAGTGGTTAGAGCACTCACTTCGCAAGCAAGAGACCTGGGTTCGATTCCAGCAGGGTGGTACCTTGGGCAAATTTCCTTGCTCCACAGACCTGATAAGAATCTCTGAAGAAAAAANGTAATAGTTTGGTCACTCAGTCCACGGCTGTTTATGGGACGCTGTACACAATTGGCTGCCACGTTTTGCCCACAAAAATAAAGTCAATTTACTTTATACAATATATTCTGTGAGACATCTCAAAGACGTGGAAAGTTCTATATTAAACGCACGGATTGTTATCTACATTTTGTTGGGAGGAGGGAAAAATCTTAAACTAACAGAGGGTTGTTTCTTTGACTGTATTTGAACTGACTTAAACAAGTTGTTTTTGCTTATGATTTTCTCAATAACTTTTAATCTCTTTAGTTCTAACCCGCTTGATTTTGTTTCAGAATTGTTGTCCTGTTTCTATGTATTATTTTATCCATGTATGAGTGTAGATTTATAAATATATTTTAACTAAAAGGGAGTGCAGGATAATAAAAATTAATGTGTTTCAGCACATTCCCATGCTTGGTAGAATTGTGGCATATTTAAGGACTTTGGCAACTCCCATACTTAAATTTTGTTTCAACAAGAAACCTGTTGCATCCTTGCACCATAATTTCCAGTTAGTATTTTTGGTCATCTGGATGCTTCTGACCAGCTTTTCTGTAATTGATTTAGTGTATACCTTGTAAGTTGCAGTGTTGCAAGCATCATAGGCTGACATTTGTGACATTGTAGAACTGAGCAATAAGCTGACTGACTGATAAATTCAATGGGCTGGTATCAAATTCAAGCTTCAGGACCTAACCAAACCTAAGTCTGATTTTTCATGCATTATTCATTTGAAAAAACTGAGAAGCTGTAAATTTTAACGCAATCTTTGGGAAAACAACTCAACAGGTAGAAACAGGAACGGAATGAGTTAAGCTTATTCTATTTCTCTTCTGATAAATGCTTGGATTTGCCTTTTAAAGATCTGAGAAAAAATAATGTGTCAGAGTTACAGACATAACTATTTTGGAGTGAACACTTCATTTTCATTTTAATGGTAAAGTTTCTTACAGAAAACCAAAGGTTTTTGTTTGTCAGTACTTAGTTTGTAAGATATTCCATTCCTTTCCAATTTGTGGAACAACAGTTTAATATCCTCACCTGCTGCAATAGGAAATGAACTGAATAGTGCATTGTGTGGTTGTTCACTTCCTCATTTCTCTCCCCACACACGTACACATGGTTGTTTGCATTATACATACCATCCACGCCTTGACATTCACACACGATGGGGCGGGTGGTGGAACAGGGAAGTAATATTGAGAATAATGCATTTCATGATCGCAAAATCCAAGGAGCCTTTCTTGCACTTGCACAAGAGAATGGTTGAACTGAAGAACAGTTGAGGTTTGCACCAGTAATATAGAAAGGGACTAAAATAGTGTGTGTGTTTTTGTGTGTGTGTTTTTTATTAAAAACTCCAAGCCTATGTTGGGCTCAGATGTTTAAGGGAGCATTTGTCAAATTAAATCCTATTATCCCAGTGTTGTGCCTTTTTGTACTTACTTGGACACTGAAAATTTTTCATCCTGATAGGAGCACTTGTCTCTCACTTGTGCATTAAGACCTTTTAATCCTGTGGGGAACCCAGGAACATTCATTCAGTCTCATAATTGCATTTAATTTTGTAATTCTTGTTGTTGAATCTGGTGGGTTTTTTNCATTTACCCTTCTCTTTTCCATCTCCCCAGAATCTTCGCTCCTGTTAAGAGATTAACTTTGAGAATCCTTAATCATGAATTTCAAGCACATTCGATTAGGTCTTATCCAATCATTGTCTTATGCACTGGAGCAAATGATTGCCTTACCAACATGTTCCTTTACAATCCTATCCAACATATTTACTTCATTTTATCTAAAATAGAGCTATTATGAACCAAGCCTAAATGTGCTCACTGCATAAATGGCCAGTGATTCTAACCTTTTTAGAATTGAGGGTTCATGCATGGGGGTGTGGTGGGGGGGGGGGCAAGTGTAAGCTGTGAAATGAATGCTCACTTTGTGTGACTCGTGTGTACTTGGAAATTGGAACGTAGCACTGAAAGAGGACATTATTCCAAACGTTCGTTGTTCAGACTGTCCCCTCGATTGCAATCGCTACCTCTGACTAGAAACCCATTTCTACTGCAGGATTGGCGCATGTAGGAATATGTGGGCATTGAGTGTTACCAAGAAAACATTACCAAAAAAATTGCTTCAAGAGTTTTTAAAAAAATATGTAGTATGCGATGATTCTGTATAGAATCTTACTGTAATTTTGTGATCTTTTTGATTGCTTACGATTTTTGAGTACTGAGGATGCTTTTCGGCCACTAAATTTCACGTCCAAAAAGGCTCTAAATCTTCCTATTAACATTGAAGACATAAAAAGTAGCTGTGTCCTGAATGGTTGTCTATCTGAGCTGAAAGTATTCACCTCAGATATTTCTCACAAGCAGTTTATTTAATGTATGTAGCTGTACACTGGAATGCGTGTTTTAATCAACAGTTCTGGGTAACTATCGTGCCTCAGTTCATTTCTAGATTTGCTCCTATTCCTTTTCTCCCGCGCGCCCCCCCCCCACAACTGGTTTGCAACTGATCAGCAGCTTAGACTGTTGTCATCCCAGTAAACGGCCTTAGTCCCTCAGTACTCCATGATTTTATCACTGATTATCAATAACATATCTATTAAGAGAATGAATTGTTACCATTTTATGGATTTGAACAGGGTTCGGTTTTATTACCACAGCTACACAGCTGTGGTGTCTGCTGCACATAGACGGAAAATGGCTTTAAAACCTTACCAATGCACACTTGGGTTTATAGCTTTATAAATGTCTTAATTTCAACTGTCTGTACACATTGTCCTTTTTTATTGTTTTGATGTCTTTTTGTATTAAACCCTTGATTTGTTGATGCACCTTAGTATTAGTAGTTGATGCAATTGTATGAAAATGTACTACCAGAGTAGTGGGAAAATTCTGTACTAATAAAATCTTTTCTTTTACAATGGTGTTCTTTTGTGCTCATTGAAGTGTTGCTGCTACAGTAGATAGAACTGGCCCAGGGTTTCTGCGAACAGCATTGATTGTATCAATGCTCCTGGCTAAATTGTTCTCTGAGATCTGACGCTGCCTTAACAGAATGTACTTATTTAAAATGGTTTGCTTAGGGCTCAAATCGCCTTGGGTTGCTGTTTTTATGCAGCAGGTGAGTTACTTCAGACCGGAGCAAGCGATCTTCCCAAACACATTCCAGCAATTTTAAATCGTCCACACAAAACAGCTTCCATCACAAAATTCAATTTAAAACAGCTGCTGTGGGCCCCAACTGCACGCTTCTCACTAACGTACACCAGCTCTCAATCTCTTCAGTGTAAAAGAGCCAAGTTACATTGTGCTCACTTTGTGCTCAGTTGACGTACTCCCCCACTCTTTTGAACTCCCTCTCTATCCGTCTTTAAATCCCTCCTAAACACCTTCCTCTTTGACGCTACCACAATCACCTCACTTGCACGGTGTCTGACACTGTGCCTATTAAAGCTCTAAGGCGTTATCCATGTGAAGGGCGCTATATAAATTCAGGATACTGTTGAGTAAGGAGCACATTGTTTGGGATTACAGTAAAGATTTTGCTGCCCGTATAGTAAAGCGACCGCCAGATGTAGGCCATTACATTTTGAATAACAATCGCAAAATCGTTTTCAATGCCTGTTGTCTGCCAACATTCTCGATTTTATTTTCCAGCTGATCTGAGTTTGAATAACCAGCAGAATAATGGCCGTCTCGGAGCAAATCTTCAAACAATGCAGACAAACTCCAGTTTTGTAACAGAAGCTCTGGAGTTCAGCCGTTTTTTTTCAATGCAAAGCAGTCCTCTGAACTCTCAGCTTGTGTTGCAGCTTTATAACCCGTGGTATTTGACTAGGAATAGAATTTCCCTGTAATCAGCTACAAATTATTTCAAAACCCAGCTTCCAACAAATGCTCTTCTGTGCATTTTAGTGATGAACTACATTAGCCACCAGATTAACTCACAACCTTGGAACGGACTCGAAGCTTTTTTTAAAGAATGGCAATCTTTTTCAAAAAGGAATCTGGTAGAACGCCCAACAACTTTCACAAGAAAAAAACAGCAGAAGGCTATATGGGATAAAATTGACAGTGTATTGCAAAACTTCTAGGAAACTTATATTCCCCAGTGCGTGTTTTTGAAATTGATATTTGGTTTGACGTATGCAATTTCTTTCTACTCTTTCCGTACTTGGTTTGCACTGATTAGGATTTAGCTCTGCTTTGAAATGCAAGGTTAACCTTGCATTAACATGTTCGGAGTTTGCCCCTTCTCTGAACTCAACGCATATAGCTTCATGTGTGAGGTGATCTCTGAGAATACTTTGCCCTTCCTGTAATCGGACGGTCTGTTTTTATCAGTGGCCATATCAGTCTGGGATGCCAT